TTGCGCTTGCCGCATTCATCCACGCGACAGTAGACCTCACCGTAATGAATCTGAACCTCACCACCCGCATTCTAAGCAGTTAGCAAGCACTTGTCAAGTAGTTAGAAAGTAGTTAGAAACTCACGGTATCAAACTCAGGCAACTTGAGGTGCCCGGCTTCGACTTCACGCAAGTACCACACGTACCAGGACTATTTCATTCGAAATTTATCAGTTTTTCATCAAAAAAATCACTTTGGAATCACTTTTTTATCATACAAATGATAATAAGCAATAAATAAGACCTTAATAAGCAGTTATACTTACATTTTCGCTCAGTTGAGCCATGGTTGCGGATGTGGGGAAGAAGAGGGAAATGATTGGTGGTGGGAGGTGTGGTGTGTAAGTGTACTGAAAAAGGTGATGTGGAATGAAATTTTCTGTTTGTGTGGGTAACCGGGTCGCTTGGAAGTCACATGATCAAACTGCTTATTAAGCAGTTTTCGTTCCACGCGACCCGAAAAAGCAGCACAGCTGATCTGCAACCACCCGCATGACGGTGGAGATACATCATGAACGGCAGCGACCACATCGGCATTCTCCCAGTTCAGATCAACTTGTTCCAGTGTATGCTTCGACCGAGCGGATTCGATAAACCAACCATGCTGATCCGAGGTATGAGTGACAACGAGGTCCATCATAAGCTTCATATTGTGTTTATGGAGGGCTTCAATCAGCAAGTCGACATCAGCCATGGTTCCATAGCGCGGGTCGATTTCTTTATAGTCCGATATATCGTAGCCCATATCGATTTGCGGAGATTTGTAAACTAAACGATGATGTTAAATTAGCGACCGAGAAAGAGCCGGCGGCTATCGATAATGGGCTTCCTTGTGCCCTGCGCATGAACGTAGAACAAGGAAGGATGCTACTCACTAGGGCTTGTCCAGACCACATCCACTCCCAGACTCTTCAATTATGGCACTTTCTCTGCTATGCCACGCAAATCGCCCCAGCCATCTGCCTGAGATGGAGGTTTACTGCTCTTGAAACTTGCGGGATAGACTTGGTAAACCACCGCTTCCTTCCACCACTTTGGGGTTGCATAATGAGACGATGTCATGCTTGTAACGTCGAGGTTAATGATTAGGAGGCCTATAGGATTATTTGGTGGAAGAGGTTCGTAGCCAAACTTCTCGACTCCACCTACCAACCACCAGGTAAGAAGTTGTCAATCGTTGACTGCCGGGTGTCGGGGGGTCGGGCTCGGACTAATTATAGTCAGACAACATCCTCTAGTTTTCGCCGCAGTAGGACTTTGTGCATAAGTTTGCAGCGCTAAGTTGTAACTGCACCGGTATGGTTAACATGTAGGGCAACTTATGTTGTCAACGAGTACATCCCAGTGGATAGGACCTGAAAGTCCACTACAGTCCCATCATGGATACTTTCTCCGTACTGTCACCCACTGGGACCAGTCTTGCAACGTAATCCTACCGGGAAGAGGGACCTATCTGGACACAAGCTTGCGGGCGCGGAAGCGTCCCGCCGGAGTTTAGGCTCGGTCGCTACATCACCTGTCCGAATGAAACTATCTTCCATTGGCCGGATAACCAATCTACGATAAGCGCGGCTTTCCTTTCGATGCAATAGGCCTAGCGCTGAACTTTAGTAATGCACGGTTCGGCACTGAAACTTCACATAATTGAGGTCCTGCAGATATTCCGCGTGCGAAATATCAAGGCCATAGGTAGCGCCATTTTCGTCCTTGTTGTTTCCAGTGATGACTGGGACGTCATGAGCCAGGCCGTTCATCAGGATGTTGAGGTAGGTGTCCGGCATCGCGTAATAATCCAGGACGGCCTCAAACATGATCGTGTCATCACGGGTTGTGCCGGTCGCCCCGTCGATCAATGCCTCCATGCTGAGGTTGCGGGCTTCGGCGATGCTGGAAACTCCCAATTCGACAGATAGGTATCACCGTCCCCCAGCGCATCTTCCAGCGTGGTGTAGGCTTCGGCGAGGCTGGTGCACAGGGGGTCGTGGGGGTCCCGGACACCGCTCTCAATGATGGCGCCGACAATCAGATCACGGGTCAAATTGCTGTACAAGATGTGCTGAGTGGCTGCAGAGCCGGCTGACTGACTTGGACTGTGATGTGATCTGGATCACCTCCAAAGGCCTCGATGTTGGCATGAATCCATTTCAAGGCAGCAAACTGATCCAGCATCCCCCAGTTGCCCGAGCTATTAGACCCGGTCACCTTCTCGAATTCTTCCGAGAGCTGGGAATGGGCGAGCCAGCCAAACGGGCCAGTGCGGTAATTATAGTTGACAAAGACGATTCCCTTGTCCGCCATACCACCGCCGTCAAAGAGAGGATCGGCCGCGGTTGACTCGGCGGGATAACTCCACATGACCACAGGTAGCTTCGCATCAGTGGAGTTTGCCGGACTCCAGATATTGAGATTGAGACAATCCTCATCAATGGTGTAGCTATAGTCTCAGGTCGTGGCCGAAGGACAGACAGGGCCCCAGTTGCGCGCATCCAGCGTCTGGTTCCATGGGCTCGCGGGCTGCGGCGCTTTCCAGCGGTTGGCCCCGCCGGTGCTCGCAGCAAAGGGAATGCCCTTCCACACGGTGATGTCCCTTGAATGGGTTAGGTTGCCGGTGTTGCTGCTATTAAAAGCCGGTTAACCCTGGACCGAACCATATTTGGTCTCTATCACGGTTTCGTAGAGCGCCGCGAAAGAAACAGATATGAGACTGCAAAGCGTGGGGAGGGTGTTGCGCAGCATCTTGTCGATACCTGAATGGGGGAGATATCAATCAGGAGAACGGAACGATGGATGTCATGCTCCTGAAATTCAAGGGACTACTGAGCTGGAACTCGACAATTATAGTTTATGGTCTTTTCGACTGCCACTCCCCGGCCGCTTGCTTGCTGTGAATTCCTGGACCGTGCAAGCCTTTTTCACAAAGTCCAGCATATCGTAGAGGTCTGTGATGATGCATGCACTATATCTGAGAAAATGGACTGCATCATCGCCATCGTCACCACGGCTCACTAACAGAGGGGCTTCAATCGTACCAGCCAGGCTGGGTTCTGCAAGAACGGAGATGAAGCTTGCGTAACTCATCAGCGCGGGAGCATGGAAAAGGGAAAGGCCTACGCAGCACCGGGGAAATATTCGCGAATCAGGATGCTATCCAAGGAGTAATTTCTCCGCAGTGTCCAGAAGGCTCGGTGATGAAGTCAATTTCAACCTGCGACCTCCGATCGAGCCGTAGATTAGTGGGTCCATTTTGCCTTATGAGGAAATTTCCAGGAGGTTAAGGCCGAGGCCGAGGCTCCAGGAGGTTAAGGCCGAGGACGAGGCTACCTTAGGCTACCTTACCTGGCTATTCTCATCGATGTTGATGCGAGGTGCTTTCCACCTTGGTTTCATCTTCGACGACATCTCACCTCACGTACGCGTCCTGATTGAACTGAAACCTGCAAGGTTTGCGTCCAGATTCTCCATACCGGAGTAGTTCTGAACTGTCCCACCCGCAACCCTAGATAAAAAGCATCAAGTACCGGCAGTGTTCAACAGCTTGCCACTTTTCTACCTTAACATCACATCCACAGCCTATTGATCTTTATCTGGAATCTTCCGCCATGAAAGGTCTTCTCGCCCTAACAACGGCGTTAGGCGCTGCACATGCTTCTAGTCTCGTTGATATTTGCACTGATGCCTACATCAAGGCCGCTTTGCCCGCCGAAGGCACCTTTCAAGGCATATCTATGGTTTCCAGCTCAGTCTCGACGAAGCTACATGCCAACGTGACCATCAGCAGCACGAATTTCTTCCCCGCTGCTACCATCAGCTATTGCGATGTTACCTTCAACTACACCCACATTGGCCGGAATGATCGAGTGGCTCTCACGTACTGGTTGCCCGCTCCGGCCGATTTCCAGAATCGATTTCTCACCACCGGAGGCGAGGCCTACGAGATCAACGAGGGCTCCGGCACCTCTGGCTCTTTACCTGGTGGTGTGATGTACGGGGCAGTTTCCGGTCTCACCGACGGTGGCTTCAATGGGCAATCCTTTGACGATGTCTTTCTTCTCGCTAATGGCACTGTTGACTGGCAAAACACCTTTATGTTCGGCTATCAAGGGATCCATGAGATGATGGAAATCGGCCGTGAACTTACCCGCAGTGTGTATAACACTGGGCAAGACAAGCTCTATACCTACTACCAATCATGCTCCGAGGGGGGCCGTGAGGGCTGGTCGCAGGCCCAGCGGTACGGCTTTGATTACGACGGCATTATCGTCGGTGCGCCTGCCTTCCGTTTTGCCCACCAGCAGATTAATCACCTCGTGCCCAACGTGGTCACACAGACTATGAACTACTATCCGCCTCCTTGTGAGTTGGAGCTCATCGTCAATGCCACCATCGCTGCCTGTGATCCGCTGGATGGGCGCGCGGATGGGGTCATTGCCCGCTCGGACCTGTGCAAGCTGCACTTCAATCTCACCTCCCTGATCGGTGCCCCATACTACTGCGCGGCCAGCTCGGGCGGCAGCAGCCTGGGGCTCGGGTTTAGCAAGCGGCAGTCTATGGGCGCGACCCCGGCACAAAATGGCACCGTCACTGCAGAGGCGGTGGAATTGGTTCAGACGCTGCTTGCCGGCCTGAAAGACAGCCAGGGCCGTCAGGCCTACTTGTACTTTCAACCCGGGGCGGACTTCGACGATGTTGAAACCACCTACGACTCACAGACCGACTCTTGGGGCCTCAGCATTGATGGTAATGGGGGCGAGTTTGTGGCCAGATTTTTGAATCTGCAGGACGTGAGCTCGCTGTCTTCTCTCGACAATGTTACTTATGACACCATTCGCGACTGGATGCAGATGGGGTGGACCATGTACGAAGATACCCTGATGACCCACAACCCCGATCTCAGTGCCCTCCAGCAGGCTGGAGGCAAGATCCTGCACTTTCACGGCGAACAGGACCCCAGTGTGCCCACCGCCTCCTCCGTTCACTACTACGAGGCGGTCCGCAAGATCATGTTCCCTAACGAGACTCTTGACACAAGTGCCGCTGCCCTGGGCGAGTTTTATCGGCTGTATCTTGTCCCCGGCATGGCCCACTGCGGCACCAACAGTGAACAACCAAACGGGCCCTTCCCCCAAACGAACCTGGCTGTCATGATCGATTGGGTAGAGAACGGTGTGGTCCCCGTGACGTTGAATTCGACGGTTCTCCAGGGAGACAATGAAGGTGAGCGCCAGCAAATCTGTGCCTGGCCACTGCGCCCTCTCTGGTCCAACAACGGGACTAGTATGAATTGTGTGTTCGACCAGGCCTCGTACGACACTTGGATCTACGACTTTGACGCCTACAAGCTTCCTCTATACTAAGAGGAGGACATCCGTTGACCTCACTTGTTGGGTGTTTCCAGGGACTCCGGGGTCGATGAGTCTCAGGCTCGCATTGTCGTTCGCGTTCGCATCTACCACATTTGGTAGCCTTCGGCACTACGTTCCTTGGTGATAACCCACAATGGGCCATGCTCTCAATTCCTTCTCCTTCTCACACGCCTCAAAATCTTTGTTTGCAACATTTCGATATCCGTGCACTTGTATTACAGTATGAAGAACTCAAGATAGGTCGAGAATAAATTGTAGCACTCACTGCCTCTTGAATTCAGCTGCTATTCTAACCTCAAACAAGAGATCCCCATCTGCTTAATCAATAGCAATAAACGCATCAGAGTGACATTGCACCTCATTACAGAGATCCATAATCACAACCACCCGCGGTGTCAACTGTGCTGTGTTAGTAGCACAAGCGCGGCGACCGCACCGGAAGTGTCGGTGACGTTAAGAAAGTTCTGGCAGTTAGACTAGAGTTCTTCGCCCTCAGTCGGCAACGCAATGGCCTAATCGGACAGATCGAGCAGCCTCACACCAGACCTGGGCTCAGTTAGTTTTGGTGAATGGCGGTTCCGTTCCGTGTGGTTGCGCTTTTGTTGTATATCCTAGTTCGCGTGGTAAAAACCAATGAAAGAGTTGATTACCGAGTCTGGCTTCCAGAAGCAGGACCATTGGTCTGGGCCTTCGCCTGGTCGAATAGCAGAAAATGGTAGAGAAAAGAAAGATATTTGTCGATTTGTCCATGGACCCGAAATTTGTACAAGAGTGTATAAAAGGCATAAAAAGCTTCAGGAACGTACATATAGGTTACTTGGTCATACCATAACAATCACTCGGTACTTATAGCCTTTATATTTACACCTAAATCACGCAGATTCAAACCATGGGATGGCTTACTTCTGTTAGTTGACTCCGGTTGCTAGATCAATGGATGTTGTAGACGTCTCAATAATCCTGAGCCATCTTCCCACTTGTAGTGAACGGTATCTCCCCAACCTATTCCAGGGCTTGACCACGAGTTGATCGTTACTTCATCCCGCGTCCTCGTCATGGCATGCGATTCCAGAGTTCTTGTAACCCCAAGAGTATTTAATATAACTCAAAGGTTCCTTTTCAACGTCTTCAAGCACGGCTGAGCCATCGTCACTTTACAAGGTTCCCAAGTGAGCTTCATTCAGAAGTTGTAATACTCCTTTTATGTGAGCTTCTTTGCCTCCATACTTTCAGGCGCCTCAAGAGATCTGAGATTGGTGGCTATCAGTTCAGGCAGTTATCATGAAGCACCTTTCACGATAGAAAACACCAAGCATAAATCAATCTTTGCGCGGGAGTCCAACACTTACTGGAAATTGGGGTGAACGAAGTATACGAGACTACGGAGCGCGGTGCATAATCCCTTCGCAGGCCGAGTGCCTGCAATGCCCAGTTCAAAGAGTAGACACCCACTAGAAGCATACATCCCATGTGTTAGTAGCCAGTCCAGGCCGCTTTCGAGTCTGTTAGGGCTTGAAACACCCAATCTAGCAACCCTCCTCCAGCCAAGTCCAATGTGATCAGTCGATCCCCGGTCGGAAATCGGCGTTCAATCTCCATACCCAAGCCATTGTCGGCCCACACTCTTCGGACCGTCCCAACATCCCCGAGTACCTCGCGGAACGCACAGCCAATGGGTTGAAATCTCGTCCACAAGCCCTCCATCACAGATAGCCGCTTTTCCGTTGCGGTGATAATGAGCGCCCTGCATTGTTCCGCATCGACTGTAATTGGCTTCTCGACCAGAACATGCTTTCCGGCCTCGAGTGCCATCATGGCATTCTGGTAGTGGTGGGAATCTGGCGTAGCGATGTAGACCGCTTCACATGAGGTGGATAGAAGAGAGGAGTAAGAGCCTTAGGGGATAACGTGTTTGGGCGTACGGATTTTCTCAAGAAAGGTGCAAGCTGTGGATAGAAAGGTGGAAGATGCCACTCCAGTGAGGATGTGGTCGATAGGTGAGAAAGGGCGTGGGTTGAGGAGATCGAGAGCAAACTCTAGGATGAAAGATCAGCCTTGTCTGGCTATTCGTCCCATGTGTTGTATTTTCCAACGTGGGGGCAATTGAGACGAGCACTCACTTTCGGCCATCCGACCCGTTGAGAGAATAACCCCAGATCAAGGTCAAGGGGGGCTGCTCTTGTGAATTCATGGTGGGCAAGGCTGGTCCGTGCCTGCAAATTGGCATGAACGCAGATAAAAAGGAGCCGGTCATAGTGCTCACCATGCATAGATATATTTAAGTAGTAGTACTGAGCCAGCCTGCGTACGACCCGAAAACCTACCATCGTCAATCGCCTGCTAAAGTCATCTAGCCTATGAGCTCTATGGAGCAGCTTATCCATGTATCTGGAACTTCTAGCTTGGGTATAAGTCAAACAAGAAAATGCATGACTTACAGTATGCTCTTCCTGACTACATTGTGATGGCGGGAAAGATTGCGGGTGGGGCGGCAGCAGGGTGGATGAGGATTTGCTATTGGTGGGAGGCTCAATTCCGCAATACCCGCAAAGATCCATCATCGAAAGGTGAAACGTCATCTTCGGGACTTTAAGTTATCTCACCACTGAATCCATGATCCTCCCTTGAAACCTATATTTTCCACCTGTTCTCACCAGACTACTGGAGTCGTGCATCCAGAATGATGGCCCACACTTCTCGACTTGCAACCACCTTCTCCCGCGCGTATCCATGGGTGAAAAGCCCCTTGGTGGTCAGCGCGCCGATGCGGGTGATGGCCGGTCCAGCATTGGCGGTCAGCGTCTCACAAGCTGGCGGCCTCGGCTTTCTGGGCCCGCGAGTGAAAACCCACGAGATGCTGGCCGACTTGCAAGACACTTCCGACCGCGTCAAAGCCCTGCAACATCAATCATGGGCCGAGAGTCCTGTTCTGCCGGTCGGCGTGGGGTTTCAGCTCTGGAGTGATGACCCAGAGATCGCCATTGCCGCCATTGAGCAATATAAACCGTGTGCCGCATGGCTATACGCCCCTCGCGACCCGCAACGAGACTACGACATATGGTCGCGTCGGATTCGCACCGTCTCCGCTCAAACCCAGATCTGGATTCAGATAGGGACTCTAGCGGAGGCCAGAGCACTGTTGCAGGGTCAGGAATTGCCCGACGTGATTGTCGTGCAAGGAGCGGAGGCAGGCGGCCACGGTCGGGCTCGCGACGGACTGGGGTTGATTACTCTTCTCCCCGAGGTCGCCGACTTGGTGGCTGGACAGATCCCTCTCTTCGGAGCGGGAGGCATTGCTGATGGGCGCGGTGCTTCGGCGGCTCTCTGTCTAGGAGCGTCCGGGGTGGTGATGGGGACCCGGTTCCTGGCCTCTGAAGAAGCCCGCATCAGTGCCGGTTACCAGCAAGAAATCGTGCGCGCCAGCGACGGGGCCGTTTCGACCACCAAGACCATGCTGTACAACCATTTACGTGGCACGATGGGCTGGCCAGCGGAGTACAGCCCCCGAACCATCATCAACCAGTCTTTCATCGAACATCAACAGGGGCGACCGTTTGAGGAGCTGAAGGAACTGCACGATCAAGCCCTCAAGGCAGGCGACAGTGGCTGGGGTCCAGCCGGTCGACTGGCCACCTACGCTGGAGCATCCATTGGCTTAATACACAAAGTCCAAAGTGCGGCAACCATTGTAAAAGAGGTGCAAGAAGAGGTAAAAGCAAAATTACCTGGGACGGTTGGAGGTGAGGAGGCAGGCGTGTAAGGTAACTTAGAGAGTAGGGGGTCTCTGTTTGCCTGGGTTAGTTTACAAACCACCCACTACAGTTTTAATAGCAAGTCAATAAGCAGCATTTGTTTGTATGCGGGGGAGTGGGGATCTGCAAACACGGGGACTAACGGGGGGGTGGGGGTGTGATGACGTCACTTCTTCCCTCTTTCTTTCTTTCTTTCCTTTCATTCTGTCTCTGTCTCTCTCTGTCCCCCCATATCGTCAATTCTTCCCCATCCCATCTTATTTCTCAGTTCTCTTCCTTTGTCAGATAATATCTTGTTCATCATCATTCTCAACATTATAAAACCTTCCAGCTCATGCAAGGCAACAAAGAATACTGTGGCCTCGAAGATTATGGCCTGGTGGGCGACATGCACACCTGCGCCCTGGTCAGCAAGAATGGCAGCATCGACTCCATGTGCTGGCCGGTCTTCGACTCGCCCTCCATCTTCTGTCGCATTCTCGACAAAGCAAAGGGCGGCCACTTCTCCATCACCCCCAGTCGTGGTCTGCACAATCCCTTGAGCAAGCAGCGCTACCGCCCCTACACCAACATGCTAGAGACCCGCTGGATCCACGATGAGGGAGTTATCAACATCCTCGATTACTTCCCCGTCACCAAGCCCAAGTCGTCCGTCGTAGGAAGTCAAGAGCTGCCCGAGTGGTGCCATTGCAATCAGCCCAATCTCCCCGGGGAACCCCATCATGCTTGTCATTCCGGTCTAATTCGCAAGGCGGAATGTGTGCGGGGCGAGATGGACATTGAGATTGAGGTCTTTCCCGCCTTCAACTACGCCCGGGACTCTCATACCGCTCAATTGTCGCGAGGCGATGGGGTTCATCGAGCCCACTTTCAGTCGGCGGCCCAGCGACTCCAGGTCAGTCTGCTGGTCGATGCTGGGGAATTGGCCGCGGACGCACAACTGAATCCGGAACTCCAGCTGTCGGAGCGACCGGGTCACCTGGGTCCGGGTTTGGTCGGCAAGGTTACCTTAAAGGAAGGCCAGTCGATCACTCTACTCCTCCATGATCAGGAGTCAATCACCTCCAATGCCTTGGTGTTGGGCCCAGAGTTGAGACGGTTGGAGCGAACGACGGGCGACTTCTGGTCCGACTGGACCAGCAAATGTACCTTCCGCGGACATTACCGCGAACAAGTGGAACGAAGCCTCTTGGTTCTCAAACTACTCACCTACAAACCTACCGGTGCGATCGTGGCTGCACCGACCTTTTCTCTTCCCGAGCACATTGGGGGCACTCGCAATTGGGACTATCGCTACTCGTGGGTGCGTGACGCGGCTTTCACGGTCTACGTCTTTCTAAAGAACGGCTACCCCGAGGAGGCAGAATCGTACATCAACTTCATCTTCGACCGCATTTTCCCACCCTTGTCCCAGAACGCCAAGCCTGGAGATCCGTTCTTGCCCATCATGGTCACCATTCACGGCGAACGGGAGATCCCCGAGATGGAACTCGATCATCTCGAGGGATATCGAGGAAGCCGACCGGTGCGAATTGGAAACGGGGCGGCCACCCATATCCAACTCGACATTTACGGGGAGCTGATGGACAGCATCTACCTGTACAACAAGCATGCCGCCGACATCTCCTACGACCACTGGCTTGCTATCCGTCGCATGGTCGACTTTGTGATTGAGGTTCGCCATCAACCCGATCAGTCCATCTGGGAGGTCCGCGGTCCTCCGCAGAACTTTGTTTATTCTAAGATCATGCTGTGGGTCGCGCTTGACCGCGGCATTCGACTGGCGGAGAAGCGCTCGAACCTCCCCTGTCCCGCCCGGGCCCGGTGGGTGCAGGAGCGAGACGACTTGTATGACGAGATCATGACCAAAGGGTACAACGCGGAAAAGGGTTTCTTCTGCATGAGCTACGAGAACCGGGATGCATTGGATGCGGCAGTTCTCATTGCTCCGCTCGTCTTCTTCGTTGCTCCCAATGACCCTCGTCTCCTGAGCACGATCCAGAAGATCATGGAACCTCCGGCCCGGGGAGGATTGAGTGTCGCCAGCATGGTATCGCGATACGATACGGGAAAGATCGATGATGGTGTGTGAATGATTGAGAGCGTACAGGTCTCACTGAGCGGTACTGACACGCATAGTAGGGGTGGGCGGGAACGAAGGTGCATTCCTGATGGTTACCTTCTGGCTTGTCGAAGCGATGATGCGCGTACGTACAATTTTCATACTGTTTGCTTCTGCCTTCCGCTCGCCATCTAATCCGGACTTTCTGTACATCCAGGCTGCCCGATCCAAGGAGTATCTCCCTCGTGATCAATTTTTCAAGCAGCTGCGGAGAACGGCTACCTCACAGTTTGATAGTATCCTATCGTTTGCAAACCACCTGGGCATGTTCTCGGAAGAAGTGGCCTCATCGGGGGAGCAGATTGGTAACATGCCGCAAGCATTCAGTCATCTCGCCTGTGTCAGTGCCGCGATGAATCTTGGGGGCGGAGAGAAATGAAACATATCAGACAGGATACAACATAGAGCATACACGTTCTCTGTGTCGATATAAATTCCAGTTGCCTGTCAGCTGAGTGCCTCTAGTTGGCAGAAGCCTTGTAAAGATCAAACCATTCCAAACTCAGAACAAGCTGCGTTGCGTCTTATCTTACTAACCTGACCCATGTCATGTTGACTCTGGTCGTGTCGTGTCTGCTTGTCATTTTGGATGCGAGTTCTTTTCTTTTTCGATCCACTCGCGCTCGCAAAGCTGACGCCCACGTACGCTGACTGCGACAACCACGCACTATCAAGAATGTGAAACCTCAATACGACGGCCTGTAGGACAGCATTACGAGGTTTGTGATACCCGTACACCTGGACAAAGTCATTGCACCTCACGTGAGCGGTTCTTAGCAGCGCCCGCTTTCCCAGCCTGAACACGAGCCGAGGGATATCATCATCATTTTTAGTCATGTTTTTTTGAAGCGTTTTCACGAGGACGGAGATCCCTGATCCCAGAAGGAGGCTGTAGATGGCATTGTAAGGTGGGCCAAGTCGTTTAAATTGCCGATGACTGCCGACTCAGCTCTTCCCCTAGAAGTAGACCCAAGTGTTGCGGAAACAAGCCCTTTAGTCTCCCAGAACTATCATCCTCACCCAAGATCTTCAGCATGGACGGCTTCGATGTGACTACGGCGCCGGAAGCCTACCACGCTGTCAAGCCCGTCGCTGACCTCTTCGTCCTCGGGATGGGGCTAGGCTGGACAATCAACTACATCGGCATGGTGCACGTCTCCTTCCGCGACAAGACCTATGCGATGGCAATCATACCTCTCTGTTCCAACATTGCCTGGGAGACCGTGTTCGGGCTGATCTACCCATCGAAAAGCCTCATCGAACAGGGTGTCTTCCTCATGGGCCTGGCCATTAACTTAGCCATCATCTATGCCGCCATCAAACACGCCCCTAACGAATGGAACCACGCGCTGCTCGTCCAGCGCAACCTCCCGCTCATCTTTCTCATTGGTATAGCTGTCTTCCTGACCGGATTTCTGGCCCTGTCGCGCGAGATCAGCCCCTCCCTGGCTTACTCCTGGGGTGCGGTGTTCTGCCAGCTCGCGCTGAGTGCCGGTGCGCTCTGCCAGTTGGTCAGCCGGGGCAGTGTTCGCGGCGCCTCGTATACTCTGTGGTAACTCCCATTGCCCTATCGATTCCTTTATGCGGTGTATCAGCGGCGTACTGACAGGCTCAGGCTCTCTCGCTTCCTCGGATCCAGCTGCACAGTGGTCTTCGCTGGGCTGCGGTGGCGGTACTGGCCGGAGTCATTTGCGTGGCTGAACAGTCCCTTGGTACTCTGGAGTCTGGCAGTGTTCCTGCTTCTTGATATCTCGTATGGGTTCTGTTATTGGTACGTTCAGCGCTGGGAGCAGATACAGTTGGGGAAAGGGGGTGGCAAAGATAAAAGTGGATGATGGCGGGTAGACTTGGGCCTGTGGATGTTGTTGCCCCGCTTATCTTCTGTTGTTGCTTGCTATAAGATGAGTCCAGTAGTGGCGAGAGTGGTGAGTCGGTCTACTTTGACCATAAATGATTATCGAGAGCCGGAAATCAGGCATCACCGTTTAACTAGACTGACTGCCAAGGCAGCAATTTCTCACCGCCAGCGTCACACAATACACGGCCATAAGTACCAGAACTTAGTCTGGAGTAGTAACTAACTTAAAGTACTAGAGTACTAAATTACTTAGTGACTAAAGTTACTAACTGCATCCTACATAGTCTATGCCCTAGTCTCGGTCCGGAAAAGGCCAATTATTTGACAGGCACGTGGCACGATTCATTGCATAATGCTAAGCTCCTTTCACCAAATTTCCTCAAGACGTGGTCTTTTTCTCTCCCCAAATTAAAAGGAAACAGGAAAAAGCGAGAGAAAATCAAGATAAATTTGCTAAATAAATAGCCAGAATTATTGATTCCTGCTATCCGATCCGTTCACCTGTACATTCCACCTCCATGGCTCATCGTGCAACCACCGATCCCATCGAAGTGGACATAGGGGAGGAGAATCCCGGGGCTGGTGGGGGAACTGAATCCTCCTCGTCAACCACCTCGCTGAGCTCGAGTGTCTTGAAGTATGAATACCGACATGGTCGCCGGTATCACGCCTATCAATCGGGCAGCTACCCGTTCCCCAACGATCAGCCCGAACAGGACCGACTAGACATGATCCACCACGTCTTCTACCGCTTACTGAACCAGCGTCTGTACCTGGCGCCCATTGACCCCAGTGGACTGCGTATGCTCGACATCGGCACGGGCACAGGCGTGTGGGCGATCCAGATGGGCGACGAGAACCCGACCATCGCCAAGATCGTCGGCAATGACCTGAGCCCCATCCAGCCGGCCTGGGTGCCGCCCAACGTGCATTTCGTCGTCGACGACGTCGAGAAGGACTGGGTGGGCAACAAGCCCTACGACTACATCCACTGCCGCTACATGGCCGGGTCCATCCGCGACTGGCCCCGGCTGATCCAGCAGTGCTATGACAATCTGGCACCCGGGGGATGGCTGGAACTGCAGGAATCGGCCAACACGCTGTATTCCGAGGATGGGAGTTTGAAGCCCGATAGCTGGATGGTGAAGATGATGGAGGGGCTGCTCGAGGCCGGGGACAAGATCGGGCAGACCCTGGACCCGGCACCGTCCTTTGAGGGTTGGGTCCGGGAGGCGGGCTTCACCAACGTCCAGAAGCACGGATTCAAGTTGCCCATCGGACCCTGGCCCAAGGATGCGCGTCTGAAGGAATGTGGGAGCTTTATGCGGGTCAATTTCATCGAGGGGGTGGAGGGGTTCACCGCGCAGCTCTTCATCGATGTTCTGGGCTGGACGCAGGAAGATGTCGCTGCTCTGAACGCTGGGGTCCGGGCTGAGGCTCTGAAGGGCGCGGTGCACCCCATCTTCGATTTCTTGGTGGTGACTGCACAAAAGCCCTTGACTGCTTAGGCTGTTTGTTGAGCAGGTCCAGCGGAGGTGGCGGCGCGGAATTCAACGAATGGTAGACGCAAAGCTAGACGCAAAGCTGTTACGTTATGTATAGAAACTGCGATAATATTATTCTTCTTGGTTTTTCCCATCCCCAGCCCTTCCTGTCGAAGAATGCGACCGTCAACAAAGGTTCTTTGCAAGCTTTTTTATGGATTGAGCTTTATAGGGTTGTGAGCAACCCGATCCATGAGGGTTGTGGACTCGTAAGTTTCAGGCTTATTATAGGGCCACCCGAGAACCCCACCACCTTTCCAAGGCAGCGCAGGGGTCCATCACCAGGCCGAACTTCTACCTTATCTTTCTTGCTGTGTGAGGTTGTTCGGGATTCGCTCGGGCTTGAATCGGCATGTCTCGGTAAAGTTTTCTTTCTCTCCGACTCGATAGCCGAGGCCCCGACAGCCTCCGCGGCACACAGCCTCTTGGCAGAAAACTTCAGAAAATATCAACCCTTGCATGTTGATGGTAAGCTGGAGCTACGCGAGCCCCAATCATCTGCGCATAACGCGCAAACGCACAATCTAAGCTTCACTATAGAGGTCCGGCGGTTCAACAATGCTCCGGAGTACTCAACCTGACACCGGAAGAGGCTGCTTGCCTACCGGGAGTGGGATCCCTCGTCGGCCGAATATCATACTGGTTCAGCGAGGTCTGGAGGGGATCAAAGGTAATTTCATCACTGTACGCGAGTCGCGTCAGGTAGAGCTCGCTTTCCAATGCACAGATCCTAGCATTTAGGCGTGTGATCTCCTCGTCTTTCTCTTGGTGGGCCTTCATCAAGTCGACATGTTTCTGCTGTAGTTTCCGGTGGTGACAGGATAACGCCCGGAAACTCTTCTCGAGTTCGCGCGATGTAAGGGTTGACGGGCTGCGCGGTCGTGACGCAATGGTCTGTGATCCTGTGAGTATAGCTTTGGACCGTGTCATGGTATAGGAAAGAGGCCTCATACTGGAGCTGTTTTTCGACTAGTCTTTGCGCTTCGCTGCTCCGAACATAGGCGGGTGCATGCTGTGCAGCTCGGCACATCACCAAGGTTTGTAGTTTCTTTGCTTTTGATACCTTCCGAGCTTACACGTGGCGGTTGCGACATCGTCTCTGACGCGCATGATATTTGCGAATGCGTGTCAGAGGGTGTGCTCGCGAGACTCCTGCTGATCCCGGATACCTAGAAGAGCTGTCAATCCTCCATCCCGGGAAGACAATCTGGCTCACTCGGGGGTAACTGACCTGACTCACGGGACTCAGAAGGGCATCATGTGCTATTGATGTTGCGACTGCGGAATCCATGCTTGTCTCCACGCAATTTGAGCAGGTGTAGGGTAATGCAGTGAGAGGTTGCGATCGTGCTTCCAGAGAGAGATGTCACGCATAGAATTGCCTTCCAATCTGACTCGAGGGATCATATATAGAAAGTGTACTAAGACACACTTGTCCCTTGCGTCATCAGGGATACGCTCATTAGATTGATTGTGAGTTTGGTGCAATCCGGAAAGTTCTCGAGCGTCTAGATTCGGCGACAATATCGCGCATGGCCCCACAACGGACAGACACCTCCATGCGGGTATTGCGGGCAACCCGGCCCGCAGAACAAGGGAACAAGGGTCTCGAGAGACAAACAAATAGGTGTTAATTCTAATTGAATATAGCAATCGACTACTGGTATGAAAGGATACGCAAACGTCTGACACCAAGGCACACTAATACCTCACTGACATCATTGTGATCATTCTTGTTCATCAGACAGACCATTTGCCGGCCGAGTATCTACATCACCTCAGTACCTTCTTTCCATCCAGCGCGGTCTTTTTTAAAGCAAGGCAAAACATACAGAAACCGCAACCTCACCGTCGATCATCCCATCATGCGCGGCATTCAACATAAACAGAACCAATCATCTCCTTATTTTGTCTCCTCCACGAGCCTGGCGTATCTCATGCCGCACAGCAAGTTCTCCGCTCCGTTCGAATGGGCGTAGACCCCGCCAAAGAATTGCTCTGTGGCGTCTTTCCCCACGTAGCTAAGAATGATCTTGGTACCACCGGGATGCTGATGTACAAACGGAGCCACATCGTAGATAACCCCCTTGAGACAGATCAAATGGTGGCCGCCGTTCGCTCTCTCGGTATACTCCGCCCAGGTCAACAGCGGAAGGTCCTCAACCGGGGTTCCCCAACTGATCCCCTTGGCCTCCTGGTTCAACTTCTTCATCCTCTGCTGATGCGCGCCCATGCTGACCTCGTTGTCGGGGAACTGCTTGAGGTCGGAGGTCATCCCAAATAAGGACAGGATGTAGATCGTCCACTTGGGCGGATCGTAGTGGTACCAGCGCACTCCGCTGCGGTAGTCCATGGGAAACTCGTGGTGGTAGTTGTGGTAGCCCTCGCCTCCGGTCAGGAAGGAGGTGATGACGCTGTCGCGTGGGGAGTGTCGGTCGGAGTAGGTCTGGTCACCGAGACTGTGGGCGATGGAGTTGATAAAGAAGGTGCTCTGTTGGACAATGAACATCCGGATGGCACCAGCGTACACCAGGCCGCCCCACCAGTCGTCCCAGAGTAGCCCCGCGAAGACTGTGGGCAAGATGAACGCAGTGAGCACGAACAGCGACATGTAGTTGCGCCGTTGCCACATTACAATCTTGTCATTCTTGAGGTCGGACACGTCGGTGCGCCCGGTGAGGCTGCGGTCCTGCGTGAAGATGATCCAGCCGAAGTGGGCATAGAACAGGCCCTTGTGCACGCTGTACGGATCCTGATCAGTGTCCGTGAAGCGGTGGTGGGCACGATGGTCGCGCGCCCACGTGTAGGCATTGCCTTCGCCAACGGATGCTGCGAAGAAAGCGAGGAAGAACCGCGTTACTGCGGTCGCGGTGTAGGCGCGGTGGGACCAGAGCCGGTGATAACCTGTCTGTAGATTAGCTTTGCACGATCTCCTGGTCAAGGAGAATGGAAGTGCTGACACACCTGCCGAAAGACTGATCCCACTGATAAAATAATAGACGATCGTGAGGATAGCCGTCTTCTTGTGCAAGGGAACCTGGGTGGCTCCGATGAAGCCGAGCAAAGGAATGCCCCAGATGATGAACATCCGGAACCACTCCAGGCGCTTGAACCAATGGATCTCATCGAGCGGCTGGGCTGGAGGCTCTTTCCTCTCGGCCAGGATTTCTTTTTCTTGCACCGTCATCTTGGGGATTGTGAGACGAGAATTGGCGTCAGTCGATCAGTAAGTCCTGTCGCTGCAGATCGTGGTTTCAATATAGAACTCGAGAGCGTTGCAAGTTATGTACAAGAAGTGAGCCCAGTCTCACAAGCAAAACATCCCACAATCCGTCATTCCTGGGAGATACTTCGTGCAGGATTCGTTTGTCATGTCAACCGCTGCAAGGCTGTTTGGAGTGGCATCTGGCGAGATGGACCCTCTGATCCGCAAATCCTTCAATCCCCAAATCCTTTCCCTGCAACCAAACAATGGCCAAATGATTCCTTCTCTAATTCACAAATTGATACGAGACGAAGATAGACGCATATGCCTTTTCGAACGCCACACTCACTCTCCATTTTCTACTCATACGAAGTTAGAGGCAGGCTATATTCAACCCAGGGTTGTATCTTGTCCCATCACATACTCACCAAGTCAATCCACCCGCCAAACCATCACCTTGAACACCGATTTCCAGCAAACACAGCATTTGGTTCAAGACAGCAATCATGATAGCCACCGAAATAGCCGGCCTAGTCGGCTCCTTATCACCCAGCAAGGTCTTTCTCGTCGCATTTGCCGTACTGAACTGGAAATCTCTGCCCTTCGCATGGACGGTACGCCCATACTCGAGTCTACAAACACAATCCCTTCCATCTAGCATCCCACTGACCCAGAGCCATCCAGACTCGTCTCGTCTACTGGTTCATCCGCGGGCTCTACGACCTCGCCCACCCACCCAGCAACCCCAGCCCGCCCGTCGACCTGCAAGGCAACCCAACCCACCCGATATTCGCCGTGGCCACCACCACCTCCTACTGCTCCCTGCTCGAGACGGATTACAACTTTCACAAATCTAACAGCACCTACTATGCCGACTTGGACGCCTCGCGCATCACGCCCATGGCCTACTTCTACTGGCCCGGGCGCGAGAAAGTCAGCGCGGAGATCGATGCCGAACTCGCCGCCCAGGCCACAGCCGAGGGGATCCCGCCGCCGAAAAGTGCACCGATCTTCATCGCTCTCGGCGGCGTGTACTGCAGTTTCAAGAAGGAGATCAAGCCGTTCGAGCGGTACGAGATGCGGTCGCAGGTTGTGGCCTGGGATCGGAAGTGGATCTACGTGCTGACGCACTTTGTGAAGACGGGCAAGCGAAACAAGGATGGGAGCAGCATCGTCGCGGCGGTGGGAATGAGCAAGTACTGTGTGAAGAAGGGGAGATTGACGGTGCCCGTGGAGAGATTGCTCGCCGCTGGAGGGAAGGTGCCTGCTAAGCCGGTGGCGATGGCGGACAAGGGCAGTCGGAGCAGCGTAGATGCACCGTTCGAGTTCACACCGGCTAGCAAGGCAGGAAGTGAGTGGACGTGGGAGCAGATCGAGGCGCAGCGGCTGCAAGGCTTGAAATACTGTCGGTCCTTTATGGGGATTGATGACGACTTTTATGGAACTTCATAGTAGAGCTGCTGGTTCTTTTCTTTTTTTAGCAATGATATTAGAAGTGGAATCATCGACGGAAGACCAGTAGAATATGATATTAGCGCTTCTATTACTCTGTTTATATTTGGTATATATCTATTCATTCTGTTACTCGAATCTACACCCCAGTGGCGTACTGGCTTCTCCTCCGCAACGCCGGCCCGTAAATCCACAACAGAATCGGGGCGGGCACCCCGATCACGAACCCGACCAAAGCAAGCACCGAGTTTCCCCAGCCGTAGTGCAGCTTGTCATAGAGATACGGGGCAAACAGCGGGAAAGTAAACCCCGCCAGCGAGCGCAACGACTGCGCCCCCGCACTCGCCGACGCGGCGTAGGTGGGATACACATCCAAGGCATACAGTTGGGTGCACTGCGTGCCATACTTGACCCCGATGGCAAACAGCGCAATGCCGATGTCCGGCATGATCCAATGCAAATGATGCTGCGCACTCCAGCCATACCACAGCAGTCCGATAGGGACCATTAGGGCACCCGGCAGTAGCAGTGGGAGACGGAACTCGGGCTGGGCGGTGCCATTGTTGCCCGCCACCAACCGGCGGTAGACGATACCGATCAGCATGGCACAGGATTGGGTGCCAATGATGTACCCCACGGCCAACCCTAGATAGTTTAAGCCGGCGATGCTGATCGACTGGTGGTACTTGGTGGTCCAGAGCTCGGCAAAGGTCGCCAACGCCAGGTAGACCAGCCCGAACAAGTAGGAAATGTACAGGGTCAGCACCTGGAAGATGGGCTGCGTGGCCAGCAGAATATACGGCCGGGTACAGGCAACCTGCAGTTTTTTGCGCAGACTCAGGTCGTCTTCCTCCCATTTGGTGCGGAGGGAAGCGTTGCCTGTCTCCTTGCGTAGTCGGGCTGCTTTGCGACCCAGCAGCACCGGAGCGTAGGTCTCTTGGAAGAAAAAGGTGGCGATTAGTTGAAATAGGCCATCCGCGATGCTCACGCTCCAGAAGGTCCAGCGCCAGGAGCTGTACTGAGTGATAAATCCACCTAACAGAGGACCCAGGGTTGGTCCTAGCAGCGTGACCATAGTGTAGATACTGACGGACAATCCTCGCTCTTCTTTGCGCCACAGATCACCGAGAATGCCAGAAGCAATCACACTTGCCGCACTGTAGATGGAATCAGAACATGAAAACAGGTCGATGAGGCCAAACAGGGCCGGATATGGGGCAACCCACCTTCCACCGAATCCAGCAAAGAAGCGACAGACGATCAGCTGAGGCCCTGTCTGTGCAAACCCACACGCGGTATTGAAGGCGAGATAGATCAGATTGAATCCCTGCAAGATGACGCGCCGCCCATAGACCTCGGACATCGGGGCGGAGAATAGGGGCCCGAAGGCGTAGGCCAGGAGGAAGATCGACAGGCTCATCGTTTGCTCGAAGGCATGGTGGATGTGCAGGTCTTTCGCGATCGTGCTCAAGGCTGGAGCGGTCATGGAGGTGGAGATGGGCGAGATGAAGGCAAAGGTTGAGGCGATGGCGGTCATTCTCCATCGCATCTTGAACGACCAGTTCTTCGGGTTGTCGGGATCATCTTCGCCGTCCCAGGTCACCTTGGAAGTGTCAATAGCGGATTGGAGGGGGAGGAGGAGATTTAGATGAACACTGGTATGTAGTAGATGCAGTGTCCGACCGAAAGAAACGACTTACCAGGTTGATGTTGGAGTCTGTCTCGGAGGCTTGACATTCCTTGATCGGCGGTGGCTCTTTGCTTTGGGCAGGGTCGGTCGCGGGGACTGGCCCTTGAGACGGGGAAGTCTCCATGCTGCCACGGTCGGAAAGTTCTCAAATTTAGAGAAGCCAGGCAGACAGCAAGGAAGAACAAAAGCAGTGGAAAATGAGCCGTGACACCGAGTGGGAAGCTACGCAGAGCGTGGCGTACTTCCGACCGGAATGGGAGATTGATAGAGGGAGAGAGATGTGGTGGTGTTGTTGCTGTTGTTGTAGGGCCAGCATCGGTCTTGGCGTTCTCTCAACCCATTTTTTCTGATCAATTGACTGACGGCACTGCACTGCACTAAGCTGGCCTGGCCTGGCCTCAACGGGCAATCTTCTTCCAGACTGATCAGAACTCAGAGAATCCGTTAGCTTCATCATCAAAGTCCAGCTTTGACTGCTGACCCCTCATCTGTTCCTACTCCGCAGCCCAAGAAAATGTTCTCCCCCTCACGCCCTCACGCCCGCACGCCCGTATTCCTGCATTCCTGCAATCCCCTATTCCTAGCCCTCCTTCCCCCCACCTCCAAGGTTGAATTTGAGGCTCAATAGTCCAGCCTTGGTTCCATCCCTCGTGCATATTTTTTCTGGCTCCGATCTGGTAGTGTACTCAAGTTTCTGGTCCATGGAAAAAAGCAACTAGCGGAGTCTTCGACCTGGCGGGAATTTCCGCTGTCATGGTACTCGGCCTTGACGCCTTCGACCTAGAGTGACTCCATGCAACCACTACATATCGCCATGGCCTTTTCAGATACATCTTGTTAGTCTCGCAATTAACTATATATTCCCTTTGTTATAGCAGGCATGGCAGAGAGCCTAGAGCAATGGATAGAAATGGCGTCGCGGTCGGCCCTGAGCCAAGTCGGGCCGAGTAGTTGCCGAAATCCGGAGCTCACGACGGTTAGTCATCTCTGCTCGGCCGGCTTTCGGCATTGCGCCTCTCCGCTCTACCTTGTCTACTACAAAGTCTACTACAAAGTCTACAACCACATGGCTGCTGATGGCCTACATGAATTGGAAATCTGTAATAAAGTATTAGCCAGTAGCCTAGTGAGCTAGTGCCGCTGTATGGCTGCACTGGATCTTTTTCTCGAACATCCTCCACGTGTAGTTAGCTAGGGTCCACTATTGTGGATGCAGGATGCATCCCCAGTACTCTATAGCAGGATGATTTGTTCGGAGGTCAGGAACTTATTCGAATCAGCTTCGTATAACAAAATCAAGAAAACAAAAGAAAACAAAAGCAACAAGTCCGCGTGACTTGGAAAACTGGTCGACACCCGCTACCCTAGCGCCAAGCCACCCGTTAGAGATATATATTGTGTTACTAGAATCCATTCCTAACAATGCGACCTCCTACAGAGCATACCGTTGTCCAGCTTGAGAGCTTTACCATGACAGTGTTAGTTGAAGTCTCCGAATCGTCAAACCACTTCACTGATCGATCGACCCTACAACCACAGAGCACTGAATGAGAAGCGATGAAGCCTCATTCTACCCGCAACGTACCCACATTCCCGTGGACAAGGAAAATCATGCTCCACCGCGCGGATAAGGCCCTGGTCAGCCAATTAATATTGATCAGTAATTGTGGAAGTGTTGGGACAAGATCCCTGCAAGATTTCAAGGCTGGACAGACACCAAGCCTAGGCTAGGTTGCTAGCCCGCTAGTCTGGCTCTCATGCATTATTGCTCCACCAACACGCAAGCGAGAGAGTCTAGCCTCAAACGAGGAATTGGGGTTGACAGGGCCCGGCTATTTTGGGGATTTTGACGAAATCACGCGCTAAATCTGAGTGGGGGAGCAAATCTCAACCCCCAAGAGTGCTTGGACAAAGCTTGCCAACATAGTTTATTGGATTTGAAAGGATTGACAATTTGGAATGGGAGGGAGAGGTGGGACGCGGCTATGCTGGGTGGGGCGGCCTGAGGCCCATCTCGAGCCGATCGTGCTGGAGGTTTGACTTCGGATAACCAAAAGAAAACGGAAAAAAAAAAAAAAAAAAAAAGAAGATTGCATTTGAGGTTTTGAAAATAATGAACATGCCAACTCCTAGAGCCGGTAAGTCCCAGAGAATGTTCCGTTTAGAGATCAGAGATCGGCTTGAGCTGAGAAAGGTAAGCATCCTCACGATGCGTATCGCCATGGATGCTGCTGGCATCGAATCCGGGGAATGCTTCTTCTCCGAGGTCATCGATCACCTCGCGTACCTGGACTGCCAGAGCATTGCGGGTCGCTCGAATTTGACTCAAAGATCCCGATGAACGTGGGTTCAATGCGACCAATAACGGTGGTAAGGACTTCAAAATATCCATACCAGTGTCGCCGATCTCGAGAGCTGCAAATGATACCCCGACCAGGAGAGCGAAGAACCCGATCGCAAATTGCCACAAAGGGACAGAATCCGGGATGTAAGTCTGGACCTGCATATACCAGGGCAGAAGATCAGAATAGTAGCCACCAGAGCGCTCGTAGCGCAGCCAGAAGCAGACCAGGAATGTGTACCAAGTGTACAGCGCCGGGACTAATCCAAGCGCCACCAGGATCTTCCAGCTTGCAACGACGTCTTGGGCTCGGACTTTAACCACTGATGCTGCCAATGCTTGCCGTTTCTTCTTAACCGAAATCACCTTGGTCGTCACGAAGACAGGCCAAAACAAAAGTACCCCAGGAAGGGTGCCGACGCTCAAGACAACCAACTCCGTAAGCCGATACAGTAGCGTAGCAAAGGCCACCAGCCATGGGCGATCGGTGATATTGCCCCATTCCACCTGGTGGTCCTTAATGCCCAGTGCTCGCAGCTTGACATTATAATCCAAGACTGCCTGCGTAAGTCGCACCACTCGCGGGTCATCCCGGTATCTCGTGTACCCCTTGAGTAGCCGCCGGTTCCATTGGACTACCAACGGCAAGGGAAGCTTCTTGCCGATCGGCTTATACAGGCGTCTGGTGGCCTGGATCAGTTGTAGGGTCTCGTGGTCCGGACTGGGTTGAGTGACCGCTGCGAGACCATCATTGATCGTCTCCAGCAGGGAGCCAATGGCATTGCGCTTCTGTGCTCCCCCGGCTTCGTAGGCCTTGACCTGATCGGGATGAACATCAATGGGATGGCCAAACTCAATGACGGCCCGCGATCGGAATTTATGGGCGTGAAAGTAGTTCATGCCGCAAGGGATGATGGACAGGCTACAGTCCGGATCCCGCGATAGGGCTCCGAGGGCCATGATGGCTACACCGGCTTTCAAGGGGAGCAGGTCCGAGCGGTCATGGCTGCCGCCCTCCGGGAAGATGCCGATGCAGGCCCCCTGCGACAACTCTCGCCAGACGGAGGCAAACATGCGTTTCTGATCAATGTGCGGGGCGACCTTGAACCTCGTTCCTTCGCCCGTCACTGGTGTCAGCAGGGCCATGGCGTGGGGAGTCTGAAACGGGGCTCGAAGCCGGAGCTCAGTCGGCCCTACAATCTCCTCAATGTACTGGCTTTCTGGCACGGCTTTGCCAATCTTGGGCAGGATGATGCTGCCCCCGACCATGAAGTCTGGCCCCGTGAAGTCAGTGTCAATCCCACTGATGCGAGTCGGGTCCCCCTCGGGAGAAGGCAGGTAGATGGTACCCTGGCCCGGTCGGACATGGTCCATGGCGCGGGTGACGGGAAGATTCCCCAAGGCGCCCGCGATGGTGCCAATGTAGGGCTCGTGCAGTGATTTCTCTGCGATGAGGAAGGAGATACGGCGGCCAACATGCTTCTTCATTAGCTGCATCAGAACCAGCGAGTCGACGAATTGATTGGCGTGTGGCGCAGCCACCAGGATGACGGGTCCCTTGTTGGGGACCCGGAAGGAGTTACGAGGCGAGACCTCCCGGAAGAAGACATCCAGCGTAACACTGAGAACTTGAAGTCCCAGGTCATACACCCAAGGAATCATTGGCTTGGCTCGTGCGGAGCTTGCCACTGGTTGCTGTTGGAGTTGATTCTCGTCATTTGTGATTGAATCGCGTAAGTCAGCACGATTGGAATCTGTGTGCGGCGGCTGACGGGGATCGTTCTGAGCGGCCATGGCAGTGAGAATCAACCTGCTTGTTTTGTCAACAGGTGGTTGTCTCGTCCAGGAAGAAAATTCTAACTGCGAGCGGGCGTAGCAAACATTGCCGAATTATGAGTGTTTGAGCGAATTGCAGGTGAGAGAGTCCGACAGGATTACCATCAGAATCCCAATGAGCCGCGATGGAGACACTAAGGCTGCTAACCACGCCCCAGCTGGATGCCTCCACTTCATCCTGCCAGTCTTGGAGCGGGTCCGGCGGGTTCGATCGATCATTGGTGACGGCGTATTTCCACGGACGTTGGCAGTCGCTGGAGATGTAGCATCTTGAACTGCCTAATCACTGCCCAGGATTGATGTAGGTAAGAAGGACAGGAAACTCCGAATGGTCGGTAGTTGACTTGGTCATTTCGGCTTAATAATGATCACCCAGGATGCGAACCCGGGCGTTTAGGAATGTGGTGTGAAGTTTGGAGTGTGTGAGTAAGAAATTGGTCAATTTTAGCGTGTGACAGCCTCCAACTGGTGGGCCCTGATTGGGTGGCCGTGCATTCTGTCCGGCAGGGTCCTTCGAAACCTTTGCAGCTGGGACGGCGATAGCTTGTGGGTGTGATAGAAGTGGAGCGCCTAACCACCTTTGTCTTCCCCCCCTCCCCCCCCCCACTTCACCGTGAAGATATGTTCAGAACTTAAGCTTCCGTTTTGGTATCAGACCAGGGGGGGGATCTTAGTATTGACTAAAATAGTCCAAGAAAATACGAGGAAGGCTGCATGGTGGTTTCCAAAAGGACGATCCTTCTATTTTTGGCTAGGAGGCATTCTGGCAGTGAGTCTGATCCTCAACCCTATGTGGCAGGAATTGAGGGTGACTGCATAATATGATCAGCCTCCATGGTTCTCAAATGTTTTATGTTTTGGCCGAGAAATTCGAGGGTAATACTACACAGGAGACAGGTTAAGGTATAACTACCAGCGAACAGGTGTTTGAGTTAAGGAAGTGAAAAGTTAAGGCATCAGTGGTAGGTATAGTATCAGTGGTGGTAGTTAGAGGGAACGGGCCGGGAGATTAATCGGGCAGGTGTGATTGGTGATCAGGTAGGTTTTTATCTCCGCCAGCTAGTCCGGGATCCTTCCGCGGTCTAGAAGCCCTGAACCACTGGCAAGCTGATATTACTTTCCCTCCATTTTGCAGCTTTCTCTATCACTACGTGCCTGTATGAGTGTGAACATGCCCCATGAGGCTTGGAGGGGAGGGGTGAGATTGTATCAGCGGACTCAGGCTAAAGAGCGGGGTTTGCTTTGTCGCGACTCGCTTGGTGGGCAGTGATGACCCCCTCAGTGGATTCTGCACTGGTTTGTGCATTCTGCCCGCAGCAACTCGAATGCCCTACCCTTCCCACGTGTAGGTGGAGCGAAGCATGCAGCTGGAATATAAATTGAGTGGTTAGCATGCAACTCCAACTCCCACCCATGTACTCAGACAGATCTGCAGACACATACTTGCCAGACGCAATGGAACCGTTATCAAGCCCGTTTCAAACCTTCGGTCACCAACCAGATTTCCCCGACCTGATGGATACCCTGCATTATGATGATATGGTTCCCGAGTTTGCCTGGGATGAGAGCTCATCCGTGGAAGGGCTGGAGAGCATCTCAAGGGAGGAGAGCTTGGTGTTCAACCTCGACCAAGCCACAGACTTGCCAGTCATGACTCTAGAGTGAGTTAATCAGCACCACCCTACCTCCAGCGAGCATTTTCTGACCACCCTTCCGTAACAGCTCGGAACAACTACAAGACCATCGCCAACCGTACGGCGACATTGATCCCCTCCTTATGGCGGACTTCTACCAACAGGATACAAACCAGCTAGCCGAGATGCTTGAGACTACGACACCGAAACAAAAGCCACAACAATCTTCCAAGACTTTCCAATGCTGGGATCATGGCTGTAATGGCCGACACTTCTCTTCCAAAAGCAACCTTATCCGACACCAGAAGGAGAAATCCAAGACCACCAGCAATTTCACATGCCCCTTGTGCGCAGCAGTCTTTACCCGAAGCTCCGCGCGGGATACGCACCTGGCTCGTCAAAGCTGCAACCGCATCCGCCGATACTCCAACGGTCGGCCACGACCCAGCCGACTTGCGGTTTTGAGCAACCCAGAGTTGGTACGGATTATAACTTAGCAGAGGAGGGCATGGAAAGGGTGGGAAGAAAAATTAGGGCTACGGATGGCTTGACCCGAGTCCGGGCCATGGGTGTTGGACCGGCACTATGAATATACCCCAAGACGATACAAGATAGAGACAGAGACCGATTCTTTTATGAAATCATACAATTCAATTTTGAGTACAGCACAGTCCGATGGAGCAGGTGTAACATGTTCAATCATTCGTACAATCCCCCACAATAGTATCCCTACTCTCGAGCTGAAATAATCCCTGGCAACAGCGTACAGACTCCCTATCTGAACCTAGTTTTGGTTCAGCATTTGGGGATAGTCGGCCTTCCTTTCATCCTTAGCCTTCTGGACCTATATTCTCGCTCAAGGCAAATTCAGCCTCGTAAATAAAGTTCGTGACAAAGGGCCATGTGGACTGGTACACTAGCCAGGGCCAGGCCGTGCAGCAGTCCCACCGCACTATTGTTGTAGCCATGTGGAGCTCTCCATCTGAAGCTGTTGGTTCCTCAAGTAGTCTAGTTTCCATTGACTGCAGCCGAGTAAGTACCAATTGTGCCAAGCGCGTTGCTTTCCCTTTTGAATGTCGAGTCATAGTGTATACGTCGGTTTGACCCGCCTTCAATGCTGTGCAGTGTCCACTTTGTCGATTTACCCGGCCGAGACAATCCACCGTCTATTCGATCTGATTCACGTTGGACTTTCGGTCCCACAAGGGATCTTGGGGGCCAAAGTCAATCACGATTCATGAATTGTGCTTCAGGAACATCATTGGGCGGTCGCCCCGCATGCCCCATAATGCCGCGTGAAGCTTGGCCGAAGACATCGCCACCCGGATCTTGGCCGCTCGGGTTTTCTCTGGGCAAAACTCGATAAACTCATTTTTGGCACAGTGCACCCGTCGATTTGACGTATGCTTCGAGTCTAAGAATCAGAACCGAAGGGACGATTTATGATTTGGTCAGCGGTGAGGAGGTGGCGTGATTAGTCACTGAAGAGTCCTGTTCACTTCCTCAAGAAAGGTTTGAGATCTTCCGCAAGAATGACTGATACTTTCCCTCAGATATTGACTGTTCTGCAGGTACAAGAACGTCGCTCTGAAAAGAGCCCAGAGTACAAACTTTTTGTTGTCATGCAGATCTCTATTTGTATGGTGACCGCTCCGATATCCTACAATGCTCGCGGTAATCACGTACATGTCCAAGGCGTACGGCTAATATATCTGTGACCATATGGCTTGAGGGATCCAATCCCAGCGATGACGATCAAGCTTGTTCACATCACAAGAATACGGCGTGGCATGAAGATCGTCAGTGGAGGACAACGCTTCATGTGTCGATCGACAGCACATAGGGCTGAACTGCACGGGGCATTCATGGCATAAGTCTCATGCAGTGTACTGTACCTCGAGTGGACCAACGGTAAGCATCAGACCCTGTCGATCAGCCGGAACTCAGGCAGAGATGAAATCATGGTTGACTCGAAACATGACAGATATGGACCGAGCGTGAGCTCCAGCCTGTCAGTAGCTAGTGACAGAGCATCCCGAGCACGTACCAAGGAAAGCAAGTCAACCCGGCCGATCTCTGTGTTTTGTGGCTGCCTGGACCCTGACTCATCTCTGCCAGCGCTTGTAGTTCATTGCAGAGGACAATATGAAAGCCCAGAGGAAGCGTTGAAGGCCATCGTGGGCTATAGTCGTGGCATTGAGTATCCAAATAATTGGATTTTTTTTGTCGCGTCAGATATCTCTTCTCACTACCGCTCTTCTGCCTGTTGGCGAGAGATTGCAGGGGTAGGTATGCTTTACGAGTTTCAATGCTTCAGTCGTGGCAGCCAAATCATGTGAGCAAATTCCAGCCTTCGAGGCTTTAACAGCATTATCAAGTTCCACACATGTGAAACTCCTTACACATCTTCGACTACTCAAGCATATTGCATTATGCATCGCTGTTTGCGCTCTTGCTCTTACTCAGCAGAGTATTCAATAGCCTTATCTGTGTACTTGTATGCAGATATCATATTGAGTATCGCCAGACTCAGTGTGGCCAGAGCACATCCCCCCCGGATTACGGGCTTGAGATTTATCTCCCTTTGTTAGCGCCCATGAACAAGGAATCAATTTTTCTCACAATACTTGCGATAAGACACATGAGAAAGGTTACCAGCGGCAAGCTCCGGCCTGCATGTCAGACGATGAAGCCAAGCAAAGCCAGGCCAGACTGATCCGGCCATCCTGCAATCCCGCAATCCATTGATCCATCCATCCATTGATCCATCCATCCCCAAATCCACGATCCCTCTCCTTCCTGCATCTCCACGAGTATGGTCGTCGTAGCTAACACTATATTCACCATATTCTGCAACGTAGTCCCGGAGCTGTCTCAAACCGACCATCCAACTTTACCGTAACCCCAGATCACCCAAAAGAACTATCCTCAATCACCATGCCAGGCACTCTCGTCTCCCGCAATACCACCGGCAAGGTGGGCATGTGGAACGGCACTCGTGACGGTGAAAACGCCTACATCGACCACGCCAACGGCTCCACCAACATCAAACCCCCCAAAGAAATCGATATCACCGTGACGGATCTCCGCTCGGTGTCGCCGCAACCCACCCACGCCAGCAAAGGTTACCAAGTCGTCCGCCACACCACCTCCATCACCCCAGAACAGTTCCTCGCCGCCGCTGACACCGAGGAAGGCAAAACCACCATCGAAACCCAGTACTACCCGGAGGTCCAGAGACTCGTCACTGAGGTCACCGGCGCCGCAACAGTGATCCCGTTCGGGTTCCGCGTGCGCCAGCAGAACCTGAACGCAAAGAACGTCTTCGCCGCCAAGTCCAAGGGCAGCTCCCTGGCCGTGGCACACGTCGACCGCGACCTCGATAACGGGTTCCTGCGGCTGCAGAATGTCGTCGGCGCCGAGGAGGCCGAACGCCTCGTGCGCACCCACAAGCGCTGGGCCTCCGTCAACGTTTGGCGGTCAATCGACCAGGCCGTCAAGCAGTGGCCGCTGCTACTGATCAACCACGAGAAGATCGAGGACTGGCATTATGACACACATATGGAACGCTTGTACACCATCAACGACCCCTCCGAGGCGGAGACTGGCGGTAAGGACCACGACACGGTGCTGAAGTTTGATCCGCGGTACGAGTATTATTTCGCCAGCGACCTGGATGTCGATGAGGCGTTGGTGTTCAGCTCGTTTGACACGGATGTCACCAAAGTCGTGCCCCATGGGGCGTTCTGGGATAATGACACTCCGGAAGATGCGCCGACGAGGCGGTCGATTGAGGCGAGGTCGTTTGTGTTTTGGGATCCAATTGAGGCGTGACTGTTCTTCTGCAATTAGCTATTCTCTACTCTCTGTTTGAAATGTCATTGTCTGGCTTGACTCCGGTCGGAAACACTATGCTGTTCTGAAACGGTCTGTTACACTCATCCTTCGTGAAGGCTTTCTGGTAGGTAGCCGGAAGCGCATTCCCACCGAGTACATACATATAAAATGGGGCTGCTGCCTCATCGTAAAATATTAATACAGAGACGCTTCTCTCGCTACAGAGTATCTATGTCAGGCAGGAATCCAGCACACCAAATGTGAATGTTAACAAGTCATCATAAAAGGAAAAGAGCTATATACTACTACTCGATATCATTCTCACCATTGACATAAGCGTACGATCACTCCGCCCAAGGAACCTCCAGATACAATAATGGAACATGCTGCTGCGACCCATGAGTGTCCGTCTCCCCGAAAGTTCCGCACACGATCGGTCGCTTGATCGTCGCCTTGAAAGCACAGGCGGAGGGCCAGTACATGCACACCAGGACCTCTTCCGTCGGAATTTGGTACAGACGAGCGATGGTGTCGGCATTGAGCACGTCTGTCGAGCGAACCTTCTCGAGCGCGTTGAGATCGCGAAAGAGGACGTCAAAGGTCAGCTCAAACGGACCAGCGTTCTTACTCCGCACCACCGAAGCAATGTCGCCGAGGTAACGATGGCCTGGAGATGGGGGCGGTTGGAGGAAAACATCTCTGGAGCCCAGCTCGCAGGGGGGCATCGGGCGGTCCTTGAGTTTCCTTCCATTCTTCCGCTGCAGACTGTCTCTCGGGTGCACTGCCAATTGTCCCTGGTCCTCCGACAATACAGGCGTCCATTGTGCGGTGATCGGAAAGTGGGAGGTCGGATCGTCCACCTGCATGAGATGGTAGACGCAAAATTCACAGGCCGGTCCCAGTGTCAAATTGCTCGGGTTGATGGGCATGGCGAGATTGCCGCCCGTGGCCGCTTGGTAGGGGTAGGGTCCGTGGACGAGGTAAGTTCGCGCCAGCTTGCAGGCTTCGGTGGTCTGCGACTGGGTCTGCGCATGAAGATGGGCGATGATGGCCACCTCCTTGGGGATGGTGGATCGATCTCGTTCGAGAGCTCCCATGACTCCATCCTTGCCGTAGACATGCATCCGGCAGTCGAAATCAAACTCCAGCTTCTCGTGCATCGCCTTGACCACCTCCGTGGTGAAGTAGTCGATTTGATGGATCAGAATCGGATCTCGAACGGCTCCAATAACAACACCGTGATATCCACTGACTCGCGCCCCTTCCAGCTTGACCATGTAGGGGTCAGACTTCTGGAATTGCGCTCCGGACACTCGCACCGTCCGGCCATCGGCCAGTTCTTCATAGGACGCATCGGCCAGGAGTAAGGCACCGCCCGGTCCGTGTAGAATATCAGGACGAGCATTCTCGTACAAGGCGTGCGCAGCGACCGAATTCTTGGTGCAGCGCGCACTGGGCTTGAGCGGGGTGATCTCAAAGCACGAGGGCTCCTTGCGAATGACCGCCAGGGCCTCGGGGGACTTGGGCGTGGCACATGACGCCCCACACTCCATGATCTTGCCCATGTGGTAGATGACCCCCAGATCCGTGAAGCCGTGGTACAGACAAGCCGCGACGTAGGGGGCTGGATCGTACGAGCGTCCTCCGATGATGATGTCGAAATCCGGATGCTCCTGCATCGCCTTCACATAGGGCTCGGGCCCCATCTGGGCGACAAGCAACCGGGCCTGGACCAGGTGTTCCTCCTGCAGGGGAGGCGCCGCGCCACAAGGCACAATCTGATCGGCCTGCACCTTTTGCGAGACTAGTTCTTTGGAGATTCCGGATTTGATCGTGACCACCTTCAGCGGTCGAAAGTGCTTCTCGGCGATGATTTGGTTGATAATGTCGACAAACATGTCGACCGCGTCGTCCTCCCCATTGCCTCCGGCCGAGCTGATGATGACGGGTACGCGATTGAAATGACAAGCTGCGATCAGAATGGCCAGATCGCGAGCATATCGCTCGGTCGGAAATGTCGTAGATCCCAGGGCAAGTCGTGATGGTCCACCATCGGTCGATCCGCTGTCCAACACAATCGCATCCACCCCGGCGTCGACGGCTTGCCAGAACAGCGGCTCACTGAAGCCATATCCCAGCATTCCCACTGGGGTGAGAATGCGCAACTCTTTCTTGTCCTGCATGCTGACTGAATGAACCTTTGGCGAGAATTGGACAAGAATGGCGACCGTCAGTGCTCAGCAGCAGTGGGCTGCAGATGAGCCAACAGATATGGCTCTGACAACAACAGTCCACGGTGCCAAGCACAGACACATAATTGAAAGGCTGAGGGATCAAAGGATTGCTGGACTATGGGTGGTATTCTGGCCGATTAGATTGTGTGGGAGGGATTGCGGGATTGTTGGATTGCCGGACTGCGCCTCCTCGACAAGTGAGATCAGGCAAAAGCATCATCAGAGATTATATACACCAACACCACCATTGTACTATTGTGGTTGCAGTTGTTCAACATCATCTCATCTCTTCACACATAATAATGACTACCCAGCTTCAACAAATGGTGGGAGGTTCCCTTCCTCTGGAACCTGCCCATCTACAAGTTCTCGACTCTCGGTCGGGCGCGAGCATCAAAGTCCCCATCCACCCCGGCAATTACATTCACGCCTCCGATCTGAGCAAGATCCAATCCCCTGAACCGACCAAGAACAGCAGCGATGTAGATCTCCATGCGCCTCGGTCCTTGCGGATCCTGGACAATGGCTTCGCCAACATTGCGTGCATGAAGTCCAGCGTGACCCTGGTGTAGGTGACCATGCTTTCTCCGGGCTGTTAGGGCTTGTGCGGTGTCTGACTGACATTCTGCGGGTAGAGATGGCACGCGTGGTATCATCCGTTACCGTGAAGTACCCATTCAGCAACTATTCCACGACTACGTCTATGAAGATGTTATGCACCTTCTCATCTGGGGCTCTTTGCCCTCGGCCAAGCAGAAGATCGATTTCCGCGCCGCTGTCGCCAAGCAGGCTGTGCCTCCCCAGTCGGTTGTGGATGTGATTGCCGCATTCCCGTGAGCTTCCTTTCGACAACCTTCCCTCGATCAATCTCACTCATATCCTGTCCTCATAGACGCGAGGCCGAAACCTTCACTATGCTGATGGCCGGACTGAGTGCCTTCGCCGCCTCCGATGACCTCGTCCGCGCCTCCCATCGCCAGATCAAGCCCATGTTCCACGGCAACCTTCCCGTCGCCGACGAGATGATCGTCCGTACCATCGCCTACTACGCCACCACCGTTGCCCTGATCTACTGCCACAAGCAGGGCAAAAAGTTCACCCCGCCACAGGCCCACCGCTCCCTGATCGGTAACCTCCTCTGGATGATGGGGATCACCGACCCGCGGGTCGAAAAGTGCCTGGACAAGCTGTGGATCCTGTACGCGGACCACGAGATGACCAACTCGACGGCCGCCCTCCTGCACGCAGGCTCCTCCCTGGCTGACCCCATCTCCGGCATCATCGCCGGGATCGGCTCGGGAATGGGCCCCCTGCACGGCGGAGCGATCGACCTGGCCTATGAGATGCTGGAGATGATCGGCTCTGCGGAGAACGTGCCCGAGTTCATCGAGGGGGTCAAGGCTTCCAAGACGCGGCTGTTCGGCTACGGTCACCGCGTGTACAAGACGCGCGACCCGCGCCTGTCGCTGATCGAGGAGCTGATGAACGAGCACAAGGACGCGATCGACGCAAACCCCATCCTCCGGATTGCCATGGCTGTGGATCGCCAAGCGAACGAGGATCAATATTTCGTCGAGCGGAACGTCAAGGCCAATGCTGATTTGAAGGGTTGTTTCCTGTACACTGCCATGTGAGTTACCCACCTTGCTTAGAAAGCCGACTACGCAATGCTGATGTTAATGCAGGGGCTTCGAGACGAACATGTTCGCCGCCATCGTTGGTCTTTCGCGTGTGCCAGGTGGATTGGCCCACTGGCGTGAGACTCAGAGTAAGTTACCCCTTCTCATTCTACTTGTCTCCTAGAATAATAGCCTAATGGTTTTTTAGTTGCCCCGATCAGGCTCTGGCGACCGCAGCAAGTGTATGTCCCTTTCACCGAAGCTGAACCCAAGGCGAAACTATGATTTCGTGATTGTAACGAGATTCATCCCCCCTGATGCTCATTTATACCCTTTCTAATATTTGCAATGTATCTCAAAATTCACAAGCAACACGTCTGTCTCGAAGACTAGAGTCCATGTTCCTGGTAGTCAATTGATCACGCGTAGAGATCGCTGCTATAAGTCGTAGCAAATTATGGAAACCCTTGATATTCGCTTCCATCGCACACGCGTTGCCCAGAGGGCATTTTTCCCAAACGTGTTAAGATTTTATCACGGAAGAGGCTCGTGGTGATTCGTAGTGGACTAGAACGGCTCAGAACGTTGATAAGCATCGAATCTCAAACCCTACAAAGTGGGTATGCTTCTGAGAGGAGAGATTCGATAAGCTCCACGGAAATTCAAGTCGTCTCTGGCTTCAGCAGGCTTTCGGTGTCTCACGTAGGTCAGTGTCAAGGCACTTGGGTGGTATGAGGTGTAAGTGTGAAGGAGAACCCCGGCTCTTGCGGGGTGACCCGTTGATTCAGAGCATTGCAATCATATGGGACATGTATAATGCGAGAAAATCATTCTCCAATCTCCCGAAATAGCTCGTAATTAAAATCTTTCTCGCAGCATTGGGGCTAGGCTGTGGGCGGGAGCAAGACAGGATTGGAGGATGATGGATTGCGGGATTGCGGGATTGCGGGGGAACACCCTAGAGCCCAGCCAGGCCAAATGAAATAAATGATTCAGTATCTGGGTAGACTTGACTGCTGTTTTAGCATCATCCTCACAGATCAACATCATGGAGCAATCGACATTGTCCGCTCAACGAGGTTCCCTCGGGCGCACCGTGGCCTTGGTTGCCAACGAACGGCTGGCTCGCGTCCTCTACCATCCCGATGAGGGCCTCTACCACGTTACCACTTTCACAGAGAATGAATACCCGAAAGAAAGATTCGTCTTCTCTGGCACGACTCCGTTCCGCGTTCAGGAGGTCGATTCCAACGGGAATATTGTACCTGGCTTGGTGACCGAGTCCGACCTCACATTCGGCCGATGGTGCTACCAGCAGAAAGCGGAAGACTCAGCACCGTGGGCCGACATCAACGACAACGTCGCATCAGACTTCCTCGTCAACATACTCTGTCGCTGGACGGGCTGGGACAGTCGCCTCACCAGCATCTTCGAGACGCAACTTCGCTGCTCCACCCAGTATCTGGCCGACGCCTACGCAGAGAACCGGCCTCCTCCCACTCGGGACTCGAGCTTCATCACCTGGGAACAGTCCATCGTGGAAGCCAATATCAACCCTCTCCACAAATGCCGCATGCCGGTTGATCCCAAAACACAGCCCACGAGTGGCTTCAACTTCAAGCAGGCCGAGGTTGCCTTCATGGCTGTGCAACGCGATCTCATCGACTCCTACGGGCCCCTAGAGCAGGAGCTTGCGCCTCTGCTGAAAGCCGCCGGCGTTGACCCACGAACCGCGGCTCTCCCCAACGAGGTCGTACTGCCAGTTCACGAATTCCAAGTCAGATTTTTGCTTTCGCGACCGGAGGCCGAGGGCAAACTCCGGCTACTGCCTCAGAGACTCAAGGCCCTAGCGCAGGCGTCGACACGGAGCATGACGATCCCCTCCCTCCCAGGTCTGGGCATCAAGCTCTCGCTCTCCATGTTCATCGGGGACAATATCCGTACCATCAACCACCGGTCTGCCTATAATGCCGTGCGCTACTGGACTGCTGGCATGCTCGATCCAGCTCGAGTCTGCGGTTTGCAAGGCATCCCGCTCGAGATTCTCCCCGAGGTAACATGCGCCAATGCACTGGGCGATCACCTGGCATGTATGGTTCGATGGGATCCCTATCACAGCTCGCGGCCCCCCGTCGACGCGGACGTGGGTTACGCAGTGACCGGGGCGTTGATTGAGCCAGCGGAGATCGGAAAGAAGGGCTGCGTCGCCGAGTCGGCCTTTGAGTTGACAAGCTTGGCCGATCGTCTCAACTTCCTGCGCGAGTGAGTGCCCACATCCCCGCCTCAAACCTATCCAAGCAAGCATTAATTGAAACTCACAGCTACACTCGCGTCTACTTCCGCTGCTTCCTCACGCCCCTCTTCCGCAACGGCCTTTTGCTGGATGCGCACGGCCAAAACTCCCTCGTGCGGTTCTCGCGCAGCACCGGCCAGATCCTGGGATTCAGCTCGCGGGACATGAGCGGCACGCGATTCACCGGCACGCACTTCACGCGCACAACGGGGATCGAGATCGACCCGCGCATGAGCAACCACGATATGCCCGTGCCCGACCTCCTCGAACGCGCCTACTTCATTTTCTTCGTCGTGCACCTGTGCCCGTTGCTGATTGCCCTGGACCTGGATTCGCTGTCCGCCGCCAGCTTTACATCGGCCGAGCTGCTGACGGGCGCCGCCAGCCCCAAGGAGTCGGCGGATTTGGCAAAGGGCAACGGCTGCGCGGTCATCGTGCGCGAGCTGCACGAGATCATCCGCGAGCATGAGACGCTGGTCGGCGAGGATGCCTCTGCCGTCAGCTCGCGCGAGCTCGCGGCCGCCGCCCGGGCAATCTGGCTGGAGAAGTCGACGTGGCAGTTGCAGTGTTTTGTGTCGCAGCGCATGCGGGCGGATTGGGCGTGTCGCGATAAAAATGTGAGTTCCCTCCTTCCGGTGTTTGAAGATCAAATTCTGACGGTCGCATAGGATAAACGCTCGTTTGCTTCGGTTCCGAATGTCTTGGTTGCGATGTCTGGTTGATCCTTTGATGAGAGCCGGTGGTGGGGTTATTCATGAAGCTCGAGTCTTGTCTAGCTGGATGTGGGGTATTTGAGTCAGATCCCGTTCTAAGGGGGTTGCAGATACCCAAAACAGTGAGAGAGTCCCCGGTATATAGTTATCTGGTGGAATGCAAATGCAAAGCTATCACTGCAGTTGATAACCCCTCACCCCTCATCTCCGCATAATTATACCTGAATAGGCATTCTTCTTACCATGAGATTGCATCATCGCATAGACCGGCTGTCCTCATATAAAGCCGATCCCGTTGCAGTATGAATGATGGTATATTCTTGAATTAAATATACTGATATAACCAAAATGCCACCCTCCAAGGCCAAGCCAGTCATCCTCTCCCTAGAAGCGATTGCCTCCCAAGCCCCAGAATCTTTCCCCGACCCCTCGCACGGCCATCTCACTTGGCGCACTCTTTTCACCCACCCCACCACCCCAACTAGCGACCTCTGTGCTGGAATCGCCATCTGTCCTCCGCAAACAGGCCACCTCTGTGCCCACCGTCACACGCAGGCAGAGCTGTATTATGTGCTGGAAGGTCGCGCGACGGTGACGATCGACGGGCAGCCCCACCAGATCGCCAAGGGCACGGCCGTGTTTATCCCCGGGGATGCAGAGCACTCGGTCATGAACGATAGTGATGAGGATTTCAAATGGCTTTACGTTTTCCCTGGGGGGAAGTTTGGGGATGTTGTCTATCGGTTTTCGGAGAAGGCCAAGCTGTGATGGCTGACGAGGACTTTGCTGCACCGTTGCTATTTATAGCTCGGCCCCACTGTCGTTCTCGTTCTCGCTCTCGTTTTCGTTCTCGCGAGTAAGGTCCAGGCATAAATTATGTTGAATAGAAGGTTGATGGATGAAAGGGGTCCATCTATGCTGGATCTTTATGTGGAAGTATAGGGGGTAGAGTGCGTAGGCAGCAGGAACGGCATTATCTAGATTATAAGAAGTCATGAGCTGGTGTAGCTGGTGGATCATTGCTCCACGCTCATTTTCGCTCTCCAACGCGACAGTCACTCGTTTAGTCTTTCTTTCTTTCGACATTGTTCTCTCCGAACATGGTTGACAGTACGAACATCTACGGCTTTGACCCCAGCGTGGCCGCTGCAGTCGTGGCAGCGCTGCTCTTCGGAAGCAGCAGTCTTTTACACTGCTACCAGACCTGGAAATATCGCGCCCGTTTCTTCCTCGTCTTCATCGTCGGCGCCATCAGTATATCCCCATCCCCTCTTCAGCACGCTCCTGTCTTCAACTGATACTAACGCACTCGCAGTGATGACCATCGGGTACATCACCCGTATCATCTCCGCCCAATCCCCAGGCGAACTAACCCCCTACATCATCCAATATATCTGCATCCTCCTCCCTCCCTCGCTCTACGCCGCCTCGATCTACATGCTCTACGGCCGCATTGTCCTCCTCGTCCACCGACCCGCTTTATCGATCATCGCCCCCACCAAAGTTACCAAGATCTTCGTCCTAGGCGACACCCTCTCCTTCCTAACCCAGCTCGGCGGGGGGTCAATGATGTGCTCGACCTCCACGGCCCAAACCGGCCAGAAGGTCCTGATCGTCGGGCTGATCATCCAGCTCCTTTCCTTTGGGTTGTTCTTCCTCACGGCCGTGATCTTCGAAATGCGGCTGCGCAAACTGATGCTCTTCCGCAGACGAACGCACTGGCGCACGCTGCTTTACTTCTGCTTCGTGGCGGCGGCGTTGATCATCCTGCGGTGCGTGTACCGGGTGATCGAGGCTGCGCAGGGTTCAGGCGGATTCTTGGCCACACATGAGGCGTATATCTATTGCTTTGACGCGATGCCCATGTTTGTGGTGCAGGCGGTGTTTCATCTGTGTCCGCCGGGGAAGGCATTGCGATCATCAGAGGGGGAGAATGACTATGGAGAGATGGAGGAGTTGAAGTAGGGTGTGCGACTAGAGGTAAAATCACGAAGCACTTGTATTAAATCGCTGAATAGAGAATTGGATGATGCTTTATACCTCGTCCAAGTCATGAATATGCACAGGTCGCTTGTCATGGTGCTCGCTTCAAACCGAACCAAAGTCCAACTACACTATACACATGAACGACCATCACCTCCCAAACTCACGCACTAGAGATCTTCTCACTCTTCCAGAAAAAGGTCTAGTAATCTGCCCAGAATGACACCCCTCCCATCCGAAGACGCCCCTACCAGGCGGTATGCCCCCCGTCACAAACTAGCGTCGCGCCAGTCATAAAACTACTGCCCTCGCTCATCATCAGCAACGCCAACCCGCGAAACTCCTCCGGCTGGCCCAGCCTCCCCATCATATTCTCCGCCTCCCAGACCTCCTTCGTAGCCGGGTCCTGATCGATCACCATCTGCGCCATGGGAGTGACCACATGCCCCGGACAGAGGGTATTCACCCTGACCCCACCACTCCCATCAGCATCCACCTTCGCCCACTCCATTGCCAAACTGCGCCCAAGCTGGACAACCGCCGCCTTGGAGGAGTTATAGATGGACGAGTTCATCCCCTTGTTAGCAATCAACCCGCTCATACTGGCCACCAACAGAATCGATCCGCGGGTACGATGGGCCCGCATCTGTCGCCCCGCCGCCGTGGCGGTGTAAAAGACCCCCTTGTAGTTGGTGTCGATGATCCGGGCGATGTCATGGTCAGTGTAATCGAGCGCGTCGGCGACGTGGTTGATCCCCGCCGCGGCAATCACCCCGTCCAGCCGCTTCCGCCGCGCCGCGATGGTCGCCAGCGCCGTCTCCGTGGCGGGCCGGTCCCGCACGTCCAGCGAGGTGTAGTGCAGCCCGCCGCCGAAGTCGGGGCTTGCCCGCGCTTGGGCGGCGTGGAAGTCTGCATGCGGTGTCGGGAGGAGGTCTAGGCAGTGGACTATTATCAATATTCAATATCAGTATCTTCGGGCTACTTCGCAGTGATGTACTCGCTTGTGTGAGAAGTAATAAGCGGGACCGCGTGCATACCTTCACCCCCGGCCTCGACGAGTGCTTCCGCCATGTTCAGCCCTAACCCTCGGCCGCCCCCGGTGACGGCAAAGACTTTGCCCTCGAGGTCGAATTCGCGGAAGCGCTGTTGCTGCGCTGGTCCCTCGGGGAGCGGCTGTTTAATGCTGGTTTGTGCCGTGCTGGAGAGCCGAAGGCTATGCCAAACAACTGGGCGGAAAGCCCGTGGGCGCATTATTCTTGCTGTGAACCGACGGTGCATAATGAAAGCACTTGCAAATGAATCTTTAGTTGTGTTATCAGGTGGTGTTGGGCATGTTAATCATTAATCCAGAATTTATAATCTGTATGCGCGGCATCTGCAGCCGGAGAGGGCAGATCTACCAAGAAAACAAAGCCTTGGCAGGTCAAGGTGATAAGGTTTGAAGACATGGTGAGTGCGATGAATGATGCAACGATGGTGACGTTGCGATGGTAGAATCCGCGATTGTCAAGCGTCCGGAGATTGGATCCGGTTCGTGGCGGTTCCTCTCCCGTAACTTTAAACGGGACGATCGACTCGAATGTATTTGAATGTGTGGACAAGAACTTTCAGAACAGCGGCTGACGTTGCCTGGATACAGCAAACATGGGGCGGCAAGTGCCGACACGGCCATGGGACGTCATGTTGAGATATGTCCGTGCGGTGGACATGACACCATGATGAACTCAGCTGGTCGCTATGGAGGTTGCTTTCTAGTTGCTTTTACGCCAAAGAATGCTCAAGGCAAACGTCCCGATCGCGTCGGTGTCCTATTTATGATTGTTATTACCACAATGAGCAGGAAGTAGAACACAAATAGAGCTAAATAACCAGGCGCAGTTCGAACAGACGTCTCAAAACCTCGCCGTGGCCGCCGCAAACACCCCTCGAGGATCGTGTTTGCCTTTCATCTCCACCAACCACGCATAGTTCTCCCCAAATGTTCGCGACATTTGCACCTCCTCCGGGGCCGTCAGGGACAGATACGTCGACGGGAGAACATTCTCCTGATCAGTGCGGCTCAGCTCGTTCCAGAAGTCCTGCCCCCACGCAGTCGCAAGGTCTAGATTCTCTTCGCGCTGCGCATTTCCTATAATCTCGAACACAAAGTGGGCTTCCCTGGCCGGAAATACCGAGTCAGAGTGACCCTGGGCCGATGGGGTGCCGGTCCGAAGCTCATGCATGGCGACGAAGGTGTGCGGATCCGTCGGCATCTTCAGGACGCCGGTGGAGATCACGTCTAAGACCTCTTCGCTCAATCGCTTCAGGCTGATCGTCCGCACACGCCCACGCGTATGGGACGGCACCATTCGATCCGTGTTGGTCAGATAGGTAAGGGGCGTTGTTGGTTGGACGGCGTAGTGAGCCACCGGAGCTAGAGCGCTAATCTTCTCGGCCCATGATTGTCCAGTCTTGATGTCGGAGGACGCCCACACGAACAGGACAACCAAGGTCTTACCGTGAGGAAGGTTGAAAACACTCTGTTGCAGGCTGAGCTCTGCAGGGATCCCTTCGGCACATAAAGCCTGGTAGCCCGTGTTGTACTGTCGGATGATTGCAGGGAGATCATCGGACTGGAACGCAATGGCGCCTGCGAGAGTCTGCCGATGGTCAGAGTCGCCGATCAGGAATATGTGGATCAAAACATACTTGATCCAGGCGGTGCACCGGAATCGTGAGCTCAGCGACAACCCCGAATGCTCCCCCCGCGCCACGAATGGCTTTGAGCAGCTCTGCATCGGCATCCATCAGCTCCCCCTGAGCGTTGATAACTTTGGCTGCCAGGATTTGATCGACTCCCAATCCAAATTTGGCACTGTACGGTCCGTAGCCACCGTACATCGCCCAGCCCGCGTATCCGACCGAGGAGACCGTCCCGACTGCAGCGGCGAGCCCACGCTTCTGCAAAGCACGGATCAGATCCCCGCCGAGGATGCCTCCCCCGATCCGCGCGGTCATGGACTCCTGATCAATTTCGACGTAGTTAACCAACCGCATGTCGACCGCGACCGCCCCATTTCGGAAGAATCGCCCGAAGGAGTCGTGGCCTCCCGATCGAATTGTGAATGGAATGTCGTTAGCCACCACGAAGGACACGATACAAGCTACAGCCTCCACGGTAGATGGACGAGCAATCACAAGGGGATTCAAGTCGGGTAGAGAAACATATGCCGCGCGCAGCTCTGCATACTTGGGCGAGGATGGGGTGACATATTGGATGGATGGGTTGTTTGCGCAGAACCCGACGAGTTTCTGCAGTCGTTCCCTCGCAAGGTCTTCAGCCATAGCGTCGGCTATTCTCTGCAGTCAAGCGCGCTGATACTGGGTAGATTGAAAATGGTGACACCGTGATGGCCTTCTGCTGTTCATATATGCAATACGTCATGTGGACCCAGACCCCGCCAAATCTGTAAGATCCTTTGTCTTGCCGTGCGGAGGGGTTGCACAGGATTTAGGACTGTCAATTATCCGCTGAGTCAGATTGCAGGAATGTGTCGAGGAGCTAAATTCCGACCCCGATAGGCTGTAGCGTCTGTGTCTGCGTGGTACCTCATCCCTCGGAGTTTGATGTGTTCCGAGCGAAGCAAGGCTGGTCAGCAAAAGCCTCAGATGTCAGGTAAGTGCATATTGGTCAGCAGCCTATTATTCAGCATCCTCGGACCCCTGCACCCCTCAGTCCATGAGCTCGATCAAGTCTTGTCTACCGGTTCTCTGCGCATTCTCCCGCGCACTGCCAAAAGGCCCTCTCAAGTCCGGATCTCCCCCTCTCGCCAGCAGCCACCGCACCCGGTGTCTTGCGCCCGCCACAACCGCATAGACAATGGCATACCGATGTGTCATGTGCTGCGTCTCCTCCGCCGCATTCACTTTCGCACCCCGCTCGACGAGCAACTCCATGATTGGGATCTGCGCACGGTCGGAGTCTTCGTTCTGAATCTTGTGGTCCGGACAGACATGTGGATTCCAGCCACCGGGACATCTACCCGCCGCGCGGTGCAGCGGGGCGCCCTCTTGGATATTGGCGCCCGCATCGAGAAGTAGGCGGACGGATTCGAGATTCCCGTAGTTGGCGGCCAGTTCAAGCGGAGTCAGCCCTTGAGCGCCCGTGGTTGGGCCCACATCGTCCGGATTGAACCCGTGGGCGAGGAACCATTCCAGCACAGGGGCATCGTTGACCACCCGACTCAACATGATCCTGTCTACAGGACGGTGAGTGTGGGGGTGCCATCCGCGCCGGTTGAGAAGATCGAATAGTCGAAGGCGCTGGTCTTCTGGGCCTTCAAGGATGCTGACAGGGGTGCGTTCAAGGATGGGGGCGCCACTCGTGAGGAGATACTCGGCTGTTTGGAGGTTCCCTGCCTGAAGGGCATGGGTCAAAGCTCGATGCAGAAAGGCTGGGCTCAGAGGTTTTGTGGACAGTGCCTCCTGGAGGGCTGAGAGAGGACCCTTCCGACAGAGGTGGTCGAAGGGGGTGCTTGGGGGTGGCGTGCGGTCAATGCAGGTGCGATCGATGGGAGAGCTGATGGGGAGATCATTGTAGTATCCAGCACTCATGGGAAGTCCAATTGCTGGTCGCTGCATTCTTGAGGCCGATTGCATTTGAGCTGCCTGTGCTCGCCGCATCGCCTCTTGCTGGAGAAGACGCAGTGCGTGCTGATTGGAAAGTGCATGTTGTTGCGGCATGGTTGGATTGGTGATGGGATAATTGACCAAGGCGTGGCGGGCCCCAGTGCGCGGGAAGAGCCTCCTTATATACGCCAAGGGGCAGGCGGAGAGGATACTCCTGCTAACCCATTTGGGAAGGGCCATTGTGTACGGCATTCAGCGCATGCCATCGCCGCTTCTACATTTGACTTCATGGCTGCGCAAAGATCCAGTCCATCGGAGACAGGTACACTTGGTTCGGATCGATGCCCGTTTGATTGAACCCGAGTAAAGAAGCGTAGTCAATGGCATCTGCCCGGGTGGTGGAACCCAGAATCTCTGCTTCACCCGCGACACCATGAGCCCCAAGGCTCATGTTCGCATCCATTTGAGGCGAAAATCTCTGCGTGCCACCAGCTGCTATGGCATCGCTATTCGGCGGTTCCAGATTACTGCGACCGGGGAAAGATACTTGCATTTCGAGTATCCTTCTACGAATGTCCGCTACCATTCGTGGTGGCTGTGGGAATCCGTCAGGCGATGCTGCCTCGCGCGCTTCCCAGGCCTGAAGAACGAGGCGCGCGATGACCACGAATATAGACGATTGAGTCGCCACGCTACCCACGTTGCGCGCTTCGTAGTTTTCACTCATGGATTCCCAGATCGCAGCGGTTTGTTTCGCCGATCGTCTCCGCAGATCTTGGAGAATGTGTATGTAGGCGGGTAGCGGGAAGTACATGAGCAGAAACCACCGATATCCCACGGTGAATGGGGAGGCCATCAGTCTGGTGTCCGAGTCGAGGACAGTAAGGGCATGTTCTAGAGCCTTGTCCAGGGCGGATTCTGTCGGCTTTTCGCGAGCTTTTGCCTGTTGGGTGTAGTATTCGAGGAGGTAATTCTTGGCCACTGTCCCACGTACCGTCCAGAGAACCATGTACTGCAGAGGATTATCGAGGCTACAGGAGGCGAGATACTTGCGCTCTATAGTATTCTCGAACTCGGCCATGTCGCTGGGATGCTCTGATGTGCCCACCATGCGATGGAGGAGGGGGTTCGTGAGATCAAGATGAAAGGGACTATGACGGACGAAGTCTGCAATCTCACTCCGAGCCACAGTAAAGATTGCCTCGGTCGGTCGGTCGTGTGCGGCAGGCATTGCCATCATCTCGGGTCGGAGATCAAAGTCGTGTATGTTGGCTGGTGGCCGACAGTCCCAGGTTGGTTCTAATGGAGCTGTTCGGTAGTCGAACATCTCGCAAATGCGGCTATCGAACAGGATGAGAGACCACCACAGCCGGCGGCGCATCTCCCCTTCCAACGCCGGGTAGCGAGCATTGGCCGTTTCTTGATGTAAGCACATACGGCGCGCAATGCGGATAGCCACAGCCAACATGGAGGACAACGACCGGGGGTCCGTATCTTGACGTATAGACACCTTTCCGTGGTCAGGTCAGTATCTGAAACAAGACACGATCTCATGCACCAACCAGGTAGAAAAACAGCGCAGTCAAACTGTCGCGATCGGGAGATCGAAAAACATCACAGCGCCGCAGCGCCTGCTGGCAAGCGAGCTGGTAGCTGCCTAGTTTCTCTTTGCGAGTAGCGCCCAGCACCTTTTGGCAGTCCTCATCCGTGCAACTCAGCAGAGCCATACAGTAGATACCGAGCATTAGTGCCTCCAGTGCCGGAGGGACCTGCGCTAAATCGGCTGCGGCGTCGATGATGCGGGATTGCAAGGTGGGCGTGTGGGTGACCTTGAGCAGTGGGTCAATGTTATCCAGATACGTCTGCCAAAGTCGAAAGATTTGAGCCTGGTCTGGGTGCGCGGCTGCAAGATCCATGTCGGTCGCTGCAGGGCCGAACAAGAGATAATCATTCGGCTCGCGCTGGTACATCTGGTTCCAGACAGTCGTAATCACGCCCTGGCTCACATCCTGGCCGAGACCACCATGGAATGCCTCATCGTCATGGTCAGGGTCCGTTGCATCCGCTGCCTGGGGGTTACATCAGTCCAGTCATCCCGATCTCAATCTGCGACTTGCATTACCCTTTGATTCATGGCATGCCACAGGTTTCTAAATGAAATATGAGCTAGCTGCACTAGAGATTTGCTTTTGTTCTGTAGCGGTGAAGGAACCCACACTGCTTTGGGCTTCGCATCCGATGGTCGTTCTAGCTCGGACCTGCATGAGCTTGGCTCCCTCTCACCGGGTGAGGTCGGGTCATCCGGCGAAGGATGTAACGGCTGAAATGGGATATTGTTGTCGCGTAGGAGGTCCTCATAGTGACGGAGACGCTCTAGGAGGTCGCGCTCGGCGAAGCGTCGACGTCGCTGGCGCGTAGCCAGCACACACTCAGCGCCCGCGCGAAGGCAGTTGGCACAGGGCGATTTGCGATCGCATCGGATCTTGCGTTGCTGACAAAGCACACAGGATAAGACTCGGTGTGGCTTGAAGCCAGGAGCGGTGGGGGGCGACTCTGCAGGGGTGGACATGACAGACAACAGCAACCATTCTTAGGAGACATACGGATGGATGGATAGATGGCTGGTTGTAGACGGAAGAGAGAGTCCGAGGCAGACGCGACGCCGGCCGCCGGAGGTTATGGGCTGCGGTGGCAGCCTGAGGCATCCCGCTAATGCCTTGCTCGGGACTTGGAATTCCCGAGGCTGCTCATCATCTTTCACCAGTCGCATTTGTGCATGCTTGAATTTCTAACTTGATACATTCTGATGATTTATATTCAATCCTAGTAGCTAACCATCAAATACACCTAGTTCCATGATACATAACGGATTTCGAGACGTAGAAACCACCTGCGTGGCCTTACATAACTGGAACTAGATGTAAGAGCTATAACTCTACTCGACAGACTGCAAATCAACTCCTTGAGAACAACTAACTAAATATACTCTCAAAAGGAAAGTATGCCCAGCTCACGTACAGTGTACTCATAGCTATAGGGTGGCGCTGTAACAGGACTTTGTGCTCCCGGCACGGATAGGGTCAACAACCCGAGGTCAAAGCTCAAGCTCTCATACAATGAGCACGTAGTACTGGTATATCCGAGAGGTAAAACACCCTTACACACTCAGTAGTGGTGTATGTACTTGACGCTGCCAATGAGCAAGAGAGCCAAGCAAATCTACGTGGCCTGCAGTGACTCAATTAGAAAGCTCGATGCGTCGTTGGAGGACGCTGTGAGTCAGCGGAGGTCGGCCTTCACATGGCAGCGCCACAGACAAGGATCCATACTTGCTTTTGGGTCCTACGTAGCCACTGTTCAGGCCTATGGGGTGTTGGGATAGGGCTGCAACGATGCGCCAGCAGGCAGTAACAATGCGAAGTGTGGCTGAGGTGGCGGTGGGCCTCGGGCTTAACTTCTTTTTTAGGCATTTGAAGCCTATAATGGCTTGGGTCTGAGTCACGGTGCGCTCTTATTGCGCCGCGAAAGGCCTAGCGCGGCATTATCTCCGGGCGCAGTAAGAAGTCCGAGGCTCGGGATATACGAATTCCGCCTTATCTCCGACCGGCAGCAGAAAGTGGCGAGTGATCGCTTCCCAGGCTGGCAACAAGCGTTACGACGACTATATCGCGGTGGCGAAACTCTATCAAAACATCCAGGCTGGTCACCTTGACGTGAATCTATAAAAGCTGTAGAAATCCCGGCTGATGATGATGACTATCTCCATCACCCGAAACTTCATTCCATTAATCCCTCAATCAAAATACCTTCTCTTCCTCTACCTCAATTCACTACTACCATTTCTTTCATAACAACAACAACAAAAACAACGACGAACAAATAATATGGCTTCGATACGCCAACTCAACCAAACTGCTCCCTTCTGGGACTTTATCGCCGAGATTGAAGAACGCGGGTTCTCCCACCACCATGGTCACGACAACGATGCCACCGACAATGAAGAGCAGTGGCACGGTCGAGGAGGTCGCCGTGGACGTCGTGGCCCTCACCACCGCCGTCACCGCGAGCCCACCCCGGAAGACGACGAAGACGACGAAGAAACAATCCACGAAGTAGAGCTAGAGGGGTCTTCCTCAGACAGCTCCGACGAAGAACACGAAGAGCCCCGCGGCCCCAAGCCACACCACGGCCGCAAGGGTCACGGAAAGCACGGCGGTTTCCACGGCAAGGGACATGGCGGTCCTGGTCGTCGTCGCCACAGCCCCGGACCAGGAGGACCCAGAGGCTTCGGACCCCGAGGCGGCCCTGGTCCTTTCTCGGGTCATCGAGGTCCCCACGGTTTCGGGGGCCCCAGGGGTAAATTTGGCGGTCACCACTTTGGTCCCCGCGGAGGCTGCGGTCTTCGCGAAGATGTCGACTTCCCTGAGCCCTTCGGCCCTCACAAAGGTCACCACGGTGGATTCGGTGCCCGTGGTGGTCATCACGGACCGCACCCGTACTGGGGAGGACGCAAGCACATGCGCGGATTCAAGCATGGCGGCCGATGTGGTCCTCCCCCGCCTCCTCCGGGCTTTTTCGGACCCTGGAGCCGATTTGGATTCGACAACAAGAACAACACCGAGTTCCAGCCCGAAGTGGATGTCTACGATACCCCCGACGCTTTCCTCATTCACGTCTCCCTCCCCGGTGCCAAGAAGGACGCGGTGGAAGTCAAGTGGGATCCGCGCAAGTTTGAACTCAGCATCTCTGGTGCCATCGAGCGCCCTGGAGACGAAGAACTGCTGAAGGCCCTGGCGCTGGACGAGCGTCAGGTGGGTGCCTTCGACCGCAAGGTGCGCCTGGGCAGTGCTGCCCACCCGGTCGAACTGAATGCCGATGAAATCACGGCGGAGATGGAGAATGGGGTCCTCAGTGTGCGGTTGCCCAAGGTGGAATCGGATGTGGTGGTGGTGACCAAGGTCGATATTCAGTGATTGGGACTGCTTGTCGGGTTACTTGCTATGAAAGTGAGGCGTTTTTGGGATTCTTGACATACTTCTGGCTATAGTGTTTTGTGTTTTGTGTTTAATTTACGATGTCCTTTTGTCCCAGCAAGCATGATCCATTACCGGAGTGAACTGATAAGCGTAGCTCGTAGCCTGTATGCCTCAAGAAGTTTCAGCGTGTAGGGGGCTCTTAGTGTAATATTCCCTGCGAGCATGTGATGGAGATTGACTTTGACGAGCGTGGAGGTTTCCTCTAGGAGAGTTGTTGGAGTAAGGTAGGTAGACATGGCACTAGGGACCCAACACGGCACCAGGTCGTATATATGAATCTATTGGATATTACACTGGGTGCGCTTATAATTGATACGAACCCTCCAGAGGCGTCGGTCCCTCCTTCGACTCCATTCCTCATGTATGCACAATCCTGGTCGTCTTACTATGCATGGCTAGCCACATTTAGCCTACACGGTTCGCCATGCAGAGTCTCGGAGTCGGAGGCATCGGGGCAGGAGGCTCGTATTGCGCCACGTGCCGAGTCCCTTTCATGGCAAGATATGCGGTTCCTTCTCCCGCTGCATCAGATCTCATCTTTGCTATCAGCCAGGAAAGGAAGGTACATAGAAACCCCACCGGGGACCCTCCGATCCCCGACAACACGAGGCTCTAGAGTGGAAATCACCTTGAATTATACTACTTCGGCTCCGACTCCTCGGGAAGTATAGTATAGTATACTACTAGTATATTGGTTGATACACAGACTGCGCAGACGGTGTTATTGGGGAGAGTCCGGCCTGTTCGATTGTGCTCCCTAACCCATGGAGGTAAGCTTCCTGGTGGCTGATGGCGCAAGCAGAGCCATACGGGTCATCTTCTCGTAATTGCCAGCGATAGATAGCAGTTTGCGAGCCGTTTCTGCAGCGAGACACACCGGTGCTGCAGACGATTGTCCCGCTTAGCCTAGATTCGGGTTAGGGTGGAGCGAGACCCCTGTCATGCAGGGACAGCGAAGCTGCGGACAGAGTCTCACTCCCCCATTTTATTCAAGACCCGGCATTTCAAACACGAGAACGTTCTGCAGCAGGTTGGGGTGATTGGCGTAGCCACTCTCTGCAGTGGAGGCTTGGGCATCGCGAACAGGTGCGATCTCTCCCTCCTTCATAATGCCTCACTCTTGGCGGAGTCGGGGCAAGAATCGCCGTTAGATTGATAGCAGATTGTCCCCGCATTCACCCGTCATTTCGTAATACGGGACATCTGATGGATAATGTAAGACAGAGGGGATACTGCTTTAGGGTTGGGCGGTTCTGCTAACCAGCAATCAAATGAAAATGGGCGAGAGAGATGACATCCCGCCGGGGCAAAGTGGTTGGAGAAGGGACAAAGGACTCAGGGGAGTGACATAGGGACCATTTTCCCAATGAGGGTTATTTAGTGCGAATTAGTGCACCTTCATACGGGCTTGTTTGTCAAGTGTGCAGTGACAGCTCCTTCGCAAATCCACAATCAATCTAGTTTGCGGGAGGTGATTGGATGGATCGGGTCAACTGGAGATATTGAGTGGGGATGAAAAATACGGCGCGACTTCCTCCGGGCGCTCGGTTGGCACGGCGGCACTGCCAAGCCCGACCAGTCAGAATCCCATAAGCAATCCATAATGCGTACTCCGTTCAGAGAGCCACCAGTGCAGTACGGTAGCCCTAACTTCGGCTCATCGTAGTCCATCTAGTCCATCAAGTCCCTAGTCCCTCTAGTCCCTCTCCAGGCTGCAGCCAAGACTTCTGCGATACGAGATCCCAATCGCTTCAGATGAGTAGATGCTTGACAATCATGACCCAATGCTGAGCATACCCTTCCTTGTCGGAGACACCAAGGTCTTCCAGATGGCAAATGCCTAGGTATAAAGAGGTGCTCCTGGCCCAGGCAAATAGAGAATCATCAGAGACTCATCACTCCGAGAATCACAGCAAGCAAAGACCAAGCCAGTCCAGCAGCACCTTCTCAGCTTCAAAATGCGTTTCAGCAACATTCTCGCAGCCCTGGCTCTTGGAGTCTCCTCTGTTCAGGCGTGGAACCGTATCGACAAGGACAATGCGGTAGGTGCTGACAAGCACGCCCTTGTGTTTCGCAATTTGAGTCTCTGACACTTCTCTCCAGGCCCTCCTTGTGATTGACCACCAGGTCGGTCTCACCCAGCTGGTGCGCGACTACAGCACCAACGACTTCCGCAACAACATCATTGCCCACGCCGCCATCGGCAAGGCCTTCGACCTGCCCACCGTCTTGACTTCCTCCTCCGACACTGGCCCCAACGGTCTTCTCCTCAAGGAGATCACCGACATGCACCCCAACGCCACCTTCGTCCGCCGCCAGGGTGAGGTCAACGCCTGGGACAATGCTGAGTTCCGTGCTGCCGTCAAGGCCACTGGCAAGAAGCAGCTGATCATCGGTGGTATTGTCACTGAAGTTTGTAAGTCGTCCTCTGCCGATCTGATATGAGACATCGGGAGGCTAATGATCCCAGGCACCGCTTTCTTGGCTCTCTCCCTGATCGATGAGGGCTACGAGGTGTATGCCAACACCGAGGCCAGCGGTACCTTTGATGCCAAGCTCGCCATCGATGCCAACCGCCGCATGGAGAAGGCCGGTGTCACTCTCATGGGTATCTTTGGCATTGTCTGCGATCTCATGCGCGACTGGCGCAACACCCCCGGCTTGCCCGAGCTCCTCCCCTGGCTCGACCAGTAAGTTCTGGATGATCTTGTCGAATTCCGTTCTGTGGTGCTAACGACCCCTGCAGGTACCAGTTCGCTTACGGTCTGGTTGCTCGCCACCACGCTGGTGCCATTGTCAACGGTACCCTGGCTGCCGTCGAGGAGACTCTGATCTAAACCTCGTCCGCGCCACTCTGGCACTCCGAGGCTGACGGTCTGTAAAGCAATCCTGGCGACGGTGGCTTTAGTCTTCGTGGGTGCCCGACCGCTGCCCCCTTGTCAAGATAAGCCTTGGACTTGGTTCTAGTTGCTTTGGTTGTGGTCTTGGGTGTTCGAACTATAATACAGTCTAGTAATAGAGAATGGTGATTCGTGAAAATTTGATCAATGACAACTGACATTAATTCACTAATGCACATGTAACGAATCTGTAAGCCAGGGTAGGGCACTTTTAGGCTAAGGGACTCTTCCGTACCCTTTCCGCTACTTTGATCCACTCACCCTTCCCGAAGATTCCAGGATAATATTTCCGCTTCAGATTCTGGCACGGATTTTAGCATAACATGGCTAGTATGTTTACCTCGTGATTGCGGAGTTGTTCTCTTGTGCTGGGTTGGACTGAACTTCTGCCAAAAAGAAAATGGAAAAAAATCAAGTATAACAATAACAGTATAGAACATGGCAGTATCGCGTTTAGGCCGAGGTTCAGGCCGAGTTCCCCATGTTTGGAGATTCGGATTGTTTTTGATAACCCTACTCCGCAACATGAAGAACAATGTAAAATTGATCATGAGAGGTTCATTTCATCTTTCCAGGGACCTGCCAAGACCGTTACAGATAGTCAACCAACCACATATCAGAATCCCCAAGTCCGTTATCTCCGCTATCGCCGACTCACGTCTCACTCCCAAGTCACAGTAAGTTACTCTTCATTGTCCTCATCTAATCAACTCTAAGTGATCGTCATCTACATCGACTGCATACGCACAAATCACAAAGTCAAATACTTCGACATGCACCTGGAGTTCATCGACGGCAACACTGCCATCTCAGCCACCACCCGAAAGCGCATCCGTAGCCATGTGGCTCGAGGCAAGAACGCGGGGAGACGCCTCGCACGGCCATCCCGGCTGAACAAAGCCCATATCCATCCTCCAACTTACTTCCGTATCCCTGCCCTCCTTCAGAGTCAGAATACCAAGGAACGTCAAGAGGCTATCTGCGACATCGAAAGACCCATCACGAGCGGTCTAATCTTCCCTGTGGAGATGGAGCCACAAACTCGGGCCATTGCACACAAGGGTATGCCCGATCTGCAGAACCGTTGCCCCGATAGCAGGTTAACGGTCTCTAGCGTTTGACTTCATTCGCGATCTACGCGGTGCTCCTGGGTTATTTAACATCGTTGAGGAACCAAGCGCTCCTTTGATTTGGGTCCAATACATGTTCCTCGACGCCGCATGTGAGTGGCTTAATGATTTTAACTTGTCCATCAAAAACGCTGACGGCGAGCAAGATTTCCATTCAGTCATCGCCACGTGTCTGTGGATTATACCGGGACTCATATCTGAGCAGCAAAGAGTCATCGAGGCATCGCGCCATTTATTGCGCACTCTACACCTAATCAACGGCCGGCTGGCAGGCGCAAACTCCACCTCGGATGACACCGTAGCGGCCGTCGTTGGCATGGTGCACTACGAGCGACACCAGGGGCAGTTTGAACGAGCTCTCATTCACACCCGAGGGCTGAAACAGATGGTCGACCTACGTGGCGGGGTTCTAGAGTTGGGATGTGAGCTGGCAAGGAAGATATTTCTGTATGGGTTGGCAAAACCGGCTGTAGGGCGTCCCGCTGACTAGCATTCAGGTGTGATATCGAGTGTTCGTTCCAGCTGGGCTGTGAACCTTTGTTCTCTATTGAGGAGGTTGATGCTGTGACTTCATCAACGGTCCACAGTGAGCTGAGATGCATAGCAGCGACGTTTTGCGCTGGCCTTGAACATCTAGATCCGTGTCTAGCCATGCTGCTACGACATGGGATGAATATTGCACTTGTTTACAACACCATTGGAGCCGGTCAACAACCAAAGATTACATACTATGCTCATTTCGATCTCGTTCTATCCTTCGGCTATCAGCTTTTACAGTTCAGTCCATTGCAAGGGCCCCGGCCAGTTAGTCATCTGGACGATGTCATTCACCTTGGCTTGATAATCTTTTTCTGCACTTTCATTCGACGACTGGATCGTGGCATCACTGACAACAATCTACTTGCGAGACTACTTGGATCTGTGGCTGAGGAAGTGGAGAACGATCGTGGAACACAGAAAGCACTGCTGTGGGCTCTGCTTGTCAGCACAGCATCTATTTTCCAGAGGGATATCCCGGAGTGGCTGACGGTGAGGGTTGCAACGCTGATACAGAGTCTGGGGCTTGCTACCTGGGAGGATACTCTATACTTACTTCACCAATATCCATGGGTCAATGCCCTCCACGATGAGCCTGCCCGAGGGTTGTGGCAAAAGGTGGTTCCGTCTTGTGATACATGGCTAATGAAGTGATAAGAGATGATCATATTAACGACAGAGCTATGAACAAGATAGTGCAATCTGGTGATTGAGAATTCACTTTAAGCAATCAAAATCCGACACAAGCCAGTCTCCTTCGCAATGATGCCCGATCTATCAACTACTGCTTTAGCATAGCTTCCACACAACCCGGCTCAACTGACTCCAACACCTCGGCAATAACGTCCCACATTCGTTTCTGCATTGCTTTCCCTTCTTCGTCAGTCACCCAGTTGGGAACATCATTCCTGTATTCGAGCATCAGTGCAGTTCTTGGAAAAAATGTCAACATGCAATACTTACTCGCCCATCTCGCACGAATGGAGAAGACACCCATGAGACTCCCTTCCCGCCACTGCACCATGCAACAGCGTCCGACTCCCATCTTCCGCCGTCCGCCCGTAATGCCGATGCATATCAGTAATCTGTGCCTTATGGTCCGACGGAACATTACGGATCAGTTCAGTCGTGCAAAGCCCGGGACAAACAAGGTTGAAGACCACCCCCGTGCGCTCGACGGGCAGCATAGTCGCGAGCTGCTTCAGGGCCAGGATCTCCATTAACTTCGACAGGGGATAACTATCGCTTGCATTAGCTTGGTCCTTCTCTTCATCAAATCACAAACAGTGACTGAACAGAAGAAGACACTCACCTCTTAGCCTGCAACCCCTCATCTTGTTCTATCCCCACCAGCGGATCCTCCCAGATCCGCTGCCACTCCTCCTGCGCTGTGAACCCGATTCGACTCGTCACCATCACTACCCTGACCAGCCCACCACCAGTCCTCTCCGCACTCTCCCGCATCTTGCCTGCCAACAACACAGCCAACAAGAACGTCCCCAGCACATTGACCGTCACAGACAAGAGATGTCCCTCCGCACGGACAGGGCCTATCATCGCCACCGCCGCATTCTCAATTACCGCGTCGATGCGCTCCAACTCTGTAATGGCCCGCTGCGCAAACGCCTTCACCGAGTCGAAACTGCTGAGGTCGAGGTGCCACACCTCCACCACGCCGGGACGAGCGGTACCGTTCTCGATCGCGTCTTTCGCCCTCTCGCCAGCCTCGAGACTGCGGACTGCCAGGATCACCTTGCCGGCTCCGAGCGCGATTAGATGCTTGGCTGCTTCGAAGCCGAGGCCGGTGTTCGCTCCGGTCACGATGTAGGTTCTCCCTGAGATGGCCTCGTGGGTGGCGAGGAGGGGGAGATTGCGGCGTTGGGTCGAGACAATTTCGTCGGTGGACATTGTCACTTCTTCTGTTCCTTGCTTTGCTCACGAAGAGTGTATATGTGGAGGGAAAGAAGGCTGTGGTTGATGGCTGTTCAGTTCGATTGACTCAAAGCTATCGCTGGGAGTTGACATGCTCTTTATACCCATGATTCGCCAGTGCATCATGGTTCTGCTATGATGGAGCGGAGTTTACGGAGGTAGATTTGTTTGTTCTAATGGCCTTCTTATGTCCGATGCTGGGCGATTGGAATTCCAAGGCAGTGTCTACGGTAGTACCTACGACATTCCACCTGGCAGTGACGGTGTTTTACGGGATACTCCAGATTCGACCACTGGGAGAGTAGTGTCCTAATCGGGTTAGCTTGGAAAGGCGCCGCGGGCGGGCATGAAGTGGGGCACTGTTTGGCCAGTGGCATCGGGCCATGACTCAGCATTTGCACCTCCAGGAAGATTGAGACTCCGGAAGATTGACCCTCCTTCTATCACGTGAGCTTGGGGGTCACCAACTTTCGCGTGGAATGTTGGGGAATGGATCCAAGTGGTGGGATGCCACTTCTCCAGCTGCGTACGACAAGCCCTTGAGTCTATATCGATCGATATAGGGAAGCAAAGAAAAGAAGGAGGGAAAAGCGCAGAAACAAAGTATTGCGACCTGGGAAGCTACTCAATAGCCTCCCGCGTAGCATGCGGCAATAATCAAGTATGTCACACAGAACAATGTCACTGATGCTCAGGCACGCTCTGTATATGCACAGCACCCCCATGCTCTAATCTAAATGTGCAGGGCATCTCAGCCTGAATAATTTATACTATACAAGGTCAAGGTCGGGTCGACCCAAACTGTACAATCCCCTCCCAGAGAAATCAGTACCCCTCCTGGTCATTCCAGTACAGCGTCCCGTGCTGCACCTCGCCGGTCGGCTTGAGCTCCCAGCGCAGAACCAGCCGCGTCCACTGCAGCAGATGGCTGGCCACCTTGATGTGGCCGACGTCCGTCGGGTGGTTCTTGGGGTTGATGTCGTTGTGCTGCAGGATGCCGTCCGTGTTGAGGTAGTGCACGAAGGTCCACCGCAGGTCCTTGAAGTACTCGTACACCCGGATGATCTCGTCCTTGTACTGGATCGTCGACTTGTACTCCGTGCCGACTTTCTGGAAGGGGCCCCATTGCGACTAGCCGACCGTCAGCGGGGAGTCGACCAACATGAGTCGATAGGCGGGAGGTTGGCTTACCATCAGAACGATTTCGGCTTTGGGCCACACGCGGTGGATCTCCTCCACCATGTCGACGTACGCTTGGTAGAATTTGTCGCCGGGCACCTCGTTCGGGTGGCGCCAGTCGTTTCCGCCCATCTGGATGAAGACCAGGTCGGCGGGTTGCTCGGCCGAGTTGTCGAAGGCGGGAGGGTTGTCGCCGTAGAATTGGTGGGCGCGGGCTCCGGGGTCGGAAGCGCGGTTCCACCACCAGGTCTGCAATGGTTAATTCTGGGTATGGGGTAAGGTTCGAGGATTGGGGAAATACCATTCCGTGGACGCCACCGCCGTAGCATTGCATGTCAGCCAGGCAGACACCGGGGTAGGCCTAGATTAGGATGAGTAAGAGTGTGCGGTTCGAGGGGCCTCTAAAGAGAGGGTTCAACTGACAGTGATGGTGAACTCAGCATCTCCGAGTCCAACGCCGTAGAGGAAGGACCAGGACGACAAGGTCTCGTAGGTGGCATATTGACCCCCGGCCAGCCTGTTCGGTCAGTACGAAAACACGCAGGCATCCACCATGTGCACTCACGAGCCTCCAATAATTTCCACCTTTCTCTTGTAGGGAGTGGGTTTCGTGATGTAGGCGTCCTTCGCAACGGAAACGCCCGCCATCTGGACTGTGCAGGGGATCAGCAGCGGAACGGCGTAGGCGCAGCGAGAAACTTATCCTATGCCCCAATTCGTCACTGGCACTTGGTCAGCCTTCATGTTCTGCACAGCACAATCTTATCCGGTTCGCGCACCTCGCATCTCAAACACATTGCTCTTGGTGTCGATGCCATCAGTGAAGTCATCGGGCCCGATGAACTGGTAGGTCGCATCGGCCGTCACGTTCGAAAATCGCCAGTCCAGAGACCCAATCCTGTGGTATCGTAGTTGGTATCGAGGAATGATCGAGGGCATAGAAGGAAGGGTGAACAAGGGGGAGTATACCGATAAGCGACGAGGGCGCCGTTGGAGGTACTGGGGCCGAAACTTAGAGCTAACTGGAATGTGGAGTCGCAATGCGTCAGCCCTTTTTCTGTCTTCTTCCACGATCGGCACGGTCGGTCGCGGGGAGGAACCCTTACCTTGTTGCCGGAAAACTCAACCTTGATTCCAGGGGCTCTATGCGCACAGAGTCAGTACTCAGTTGAGTCCGGCGCATGCCGTCTTTTTCACGAAGAACAGAAAAAACCCACGACCACCCTGGTCTTTAATTAGCCAAGCCACAAACTAGATCGATTGAGGTGTTTCCCAATTGAGGTGTACTCACAAGAAATGTGCTGGCTATCCCAACGGCCTTTGTAGGCAATCTCCGGAACCCCCGCGTCGTAGTTGCGCCAGGAATCATCGAGTTTGATGGGGGACTGTTGGCCGGGGTAAGGGTCCTCGCGCGGCTGGCCATTCTGCAGAATGGTGGCAGCCACGGGCCAGACCCGGAGGAAGATGAGTAGCAAAATGGGGGCGAATCTCATGGTGTGCACCAGTAGCCTCGGGGTGAGGGAAACTTGACGGTCACAGGCAGAGAAGACTCATGATAAAAGAGCAGAGAGGAGCACATGCGATCGGGGGGGAGTCGAACCGAATTGACGGTCAGGGGCGACCACCAGCGCACTTCCACCATTTCAGCCCAGCCCAGCCAAGCCCACGGCCAAGGTTGCATTTCCCCAGCAGGGCCAGCACTGATGATGATGACTGGTGGCCTGCCGCCGATTTCCGCGCCACGCCCGCCCATTATGAGGTGATTGCTTCGGATGATTGGTTGAGAGGTTGAGTCCCTTGATGCCTCGGCGGTAAGGCGTCAAATACTCACAAACATAGCAAACACCGTCAGGCATCCTTCACTGAGCCCTCATAGGCTGGCGCGTTGTATGTCGACTAGTATATAGGACTATATTCAAGGGTTCAATTCAAGGTCACGGATCCGTGATTCCTTCATCATCTCTCAATTTCTCACTTGATAAATCGTCCATCTCATACCTCAATCACCGAAGTACTAGTTCTCTAATTCTCCCACATCATCTACGCTACACCAACCACACTTCGCTTACCTCACGACTGGATTCAAAACACCTACACGGAAGGTCCTTCAAACATGAAAGCCGGAAGTGACAGCAGCTCGAGCCCTGCTAAGCAGATCCGCATCTCCCATGATGAGGGCAATAAGTAAGCATTGACCCCCTTTTCTTATTTACTAGACACTAATCACAACGCAAGATATGCAGGGGCTTGCCTGACTATCATGGTGGGCCCCAGAACGAGTCGCTACACCGTGCATGAGAAGATAGCTCGTGCATCTTCGCCCTACACCGACAAACTCCTGCGGGAGCGCACCACGCGCATCATCGATCTCCCTGGCGATGAGCCTGCGATGGTGGGCGTGTATGTGCACTGGCTCTACCATCGCACGCTGCCCGTGATCTGCGACCAAGCCCAGCAGGAATACCTCCATTTGATCAAGGCATACGTCCTAGGAGTCAAGCTACTCGACACCAAGTTTCAGAATACCGTGGTCGATGCGATTATTGAGCAGAGACAGTCCAGCTCCCAGGATGGCAAAAGTCCCGCTCCCGGCCGCGAAGCGATCAAATACGCCTACTCCCACACTTCTTCCTCGGCCCCAATTCGTCGACTCCTAGTGGATATTACCGCAAACCGCACAACTGATCCCAAATGGCTTACTTCTACTGAGAACGATAAGCCTGGGGCGTTTCTTCTGGAGCTGGTCGCCAAGCTGATGGACCGCCGTGCGACGAAGAAGGAGCCTCTCGTGAAATGACAATGCCGGTTGACCTTCTTGATCGCACAGTAGCCCAGTACATCCACTTTCTCTGCGATTGTGGCTTGAGAGTCTATGCCTTGTTTCGTTCCAGAACTGTAGCTTCGTAAATAGAGCCCTCCAATCGGTCAACAATTGTATACTTCGTGCTCAGTATGTGAACTTCTATCGCCCTTGAGTGCGACTGATCTACCGCGACCAGAGGGTGTTGCTGCTTGCACTTCTTTTTACTCTCTTTGCCTAACCTTCCACGGATAAAACAGACGAGACAGAAAGATCAACAGACTTAGACTTGAGTTCAGTCATTGCGGTGTCCTTGCCTGCAGAATCCTTCACTGAGGAAATGGTTTGGCAGTCCCGTTCAAGTGTCCAGATGATGGACTGGTCGATTTCATACAGATGCAGATGAGCATGCTCCCGTCAGGGTCAATGATACAGAGCCCTGTAATTGAGATCACCGGTGCCGTCGCGCTCGTTGTAAGCATGGAAGGACCGTGCATTGGTACTGGGCAATGAGGACCGAGGGCGAAGAATGCATTCGAAGCATGGGTCAACAGTGGAGTCGTGGACAGGACAGTGGGGCATTCAATTTCCCTGGATTTCGGCCGGTCGGGATGAGTGAAAGTCCACCAGGGAGATAAGCAGATAAACTACGAGAGTGCGGTCATCACGGCCTGCCTTTGAACTTGACCTATTCGCATTTTGGAATGGCATGTAGGATGTAGCTTGTGCATGTAGATACAGACGGACAGAAAAGCTGGAAAGTAGCATGGCCCCACCGTAGTAAGGCAGAGCCAGGCATCGTTGGGGTGGAAAAACCAACGGTGCAAAAAGATATGACAAGAGTGGGATTCGAACCCACGCCACTTGCGTGACTAGGAATGTTGCTCGTTGGAGCGAACATGTGTGATCAGGCTGCCTGACCCTAGCGCCTTAGACCGCTCGGCCATCTTGCCTTGGTGATAGAAGGGCTTGTGCTTTGGTCATATGACCCGCGCATCCCGTACGTCTCCTTCGCACCTGGGTCCTGTCTAGCATCAGCACAATACACCTGCAAGACACTATTAACAAGCTGTTATCACATAAAAGCTATATTAGGTGTCTCTAAAGAGCTCATCAGGCCTCTCTAATGTGCTTTATGATTGATGGCGACCGTGTCTAGAGGTACCCTGGTCCGGGGCCGTGATTGGGGTCAGATATATATCTATCCGCCTGTCATACCAGCACCCCTTCTCGAGTTTCAACAGAAGCAATGGCGATGGATCCAATCACCTCCCCGACGTTTTCATCATTCACAAATGATTTGTCCCCAGACGTCAACCAACAGAAGGGATTCCAGCCACAACTTCATAATCATTCGACAACCGTGTTGAGATCCGTCCTTCCACCAAAATAAGCTCGAAAGCGCCGAATGGAGCAACCGGGAAGATGGCGGTTGGCATGAGCCAATTCCCTGGGTTGAGTTACAAGGCCGAGGAACACCGAGAGCCTGTCAGCCTGTACCAGCGAGCCGGGACTGCTATATCGCAATGGATTGGTGTCACCAGTCCGACTCCGACGAGTAAACGTCTCCATTGAGGATGAAGGGCGCTATAAAGACCAATGCAAAGCCTCGCAGAGAACCAAGCTACTGCTCACCGAAATCTCGACCCTCCCCAGCTTAGTTGTACCCCCATTGAATCCCTCCCTCATTGCCGCATCATCCGACATGCCCGTTCACCCGCAACTTGAAGGCTCAACATTCGACGCCGACCTCCGCGACCGGCACATCATCTACGACTACGCAGCCCACGACGGCAACGGCAACCCGGAGAAATGGCGCTACGAGATCTGGTTCTTTAACGAAGACCGGGTGGTCTACGCCATCTACGGCGGCCCGATGGCAGGCCGCAAGAACTTCCAGGCGGCAACGTATCAGTGCATCCGTCCCGGCGAGCTATGGCAGGTCAACTGGTTGGAGGAAACGGGGACGATTTGCTCCTTGGTGTTCGATATCCCGAGCCGACGCCTGAGTACTCTGCTGGGCTTCTCCAGAGGCCACTGGACACAGAATGAGGCGGCGCATGGCGACAAGCGCAACTTGGAGGATTTTGTCCGCTGGCGGGAGTTGGCGAGGATTGGATCGTCGCAGGCGGACCGAGTGATGTTGAGTGAGCAGGCTGACATCCTGCAGGATTTCCACGGAGCGGGGGAGCTCGAGCCGATTGATCCGTCCTGGCCGACGCTGTAAGTGGCTGGACGTGGCGCCAAGTGGCTGGATTTATGCATACATATTGAACCAATGCTGTACGGTCTGATCCACTACAGCCGATAGGTCAACTTAGGTCATGCAATATGATGTACCGTAAATGATGATGTGTTCATAGATACCTAAGTACGCTTATTCGGACAAGCTTTGGCCAGCCCACCAAGAATCAACTCGCACGTATAAGCAGCAATCCTACTGCCTGCTAGTCTTGCCGCCCGCCTGCATGTAAGCTCTACGTCCATCGTGACCGACCGCGCAAGCACCACATCATCCTTGTCGTGATTCGGAGACATGGCAGAGTCTCGGCACCATATCCGGCGCTGGGATGCACGATCCATGATGATCCTGAACCAACACCCCGGGGTTTCCGGCTTTCGGCACCTGCAAACCCCGCCTCTGCCTACTATATAAAGAACATACCAATCGGTCCCTGCTACAATCAACAGACCGTTGCAATCCGTCCTCAGCAAGAATCTACTACTCGATTTGAAAGAAAACAAAAATGTTGTTCATCATCGGTGTTGTACTGGGCTGCTTGCTTGTCGTGGGTGTCCATACTTCGAAAACGCCCAACCGCAACACTAATATCAGGGCTATCTACAGCACTTCTTCTATCGAGGACTAACCAGCCCTCTCGCCCATATCCCGGGCCCGCCCTCTTCGCGATGGACCAGTGCGGTCTTCGCCTACTACTGCGTGCGGGGCGAGGTGGCCCAGTATGTCCATAGCCTACACCGCAAATATGGTACCGTACAGCCCGTTGGACCCTGCCAGACGAAGTACCATAACCCCAACTAACTCACCCACTCGCTAGGCCCCGTCGTCCGCGTCACACCCACGGAAGTCGACATCTGCGATACCAGCGCCGTCAAGCAGATCCACAAAACCGGCAGTGCATTTCTCAAGTCGCAATGGTACGTCGACCTCACCCCGCGGGAGAGACAAAGCACCTTTTCCACCGTCGACCCCAAGTTCCATGCCGCCCACCGACGGCTGCTGTCTTCCCCCATCTCCGACTCGGCCCTGATGACCCAGTTCGAGCCACTCATCCGCGCCAGAGTCGGCCAAGCAATCGATGGACTGGACCAAGAGATGGCGGTCACGGGAGCCGGGGATGTGTACAAGTGGATGCTGTTCATGGCCACGGACATCATCGGGGAGATGTCCTTCGGCGAGTCCTTCCGCATGCTGGACTCAGGCAAGGTGCGTGGGTACCCATCCCCCAGCGGACAGGAGCAACAGGCTCATACACACAGCAGAAAAGCCAATACAGCAATGACCTGGAACGAATCGCATTGACAGGGATCATCCGCACCACGTTTCCGACCATGTTTAAGCTGGCAGCGACTCTGCCGCTGCCCATCTTCCGTGAGACGGTGAAAGCCGTAAACCGTCTGGAATCCTACGCTGTGGCCTCCATCGGCCGCTATTATGGCCTACTGAAACAGAACCCAAAGGACCCCAAGCCCACCCTGTTCACCAAACTGTATGACGCCGGCGAGAACGGCCTCTCAAAGGCCGAGATCACCGCGGAAGCGCGCACCTTCATCGTGGCCGGTAGTGACACCACCGCCGTCACGCTGACCTACCTGATTCACGCCGTGTGCCAGAATCCGCGGATTCGAGATACTCTGGTCGCCGAGGTCGCGCAGCTGCCGGCGGACTTCACCGATCGGGATTTGCGCGGCCTGTCGTACTTGAATCGGGTCATTCTGGAGTCGCTCCGACTCTACAGCGCGGTTCCGTCGGCGCTGCGTCGTGCCGTGCCTGCTGGCGGGGCCCATCTCGCGGGTTATAGTCTTCCTGCCGGGGTCACGGTGGGAACGCAGTCGTATTCTCTGCATCGCGACGAGAAGATCTTCGCGGACCCGGAGGAGTTCGAGCCGGATCGATGGGTGTCGCCCACGCAAGCGATGAAGGATGCTTCGCTGCCATTTGGTGGAGGGTCGCGTGGTAGGTTTAAGATTGTACCTGTTATCTGGGCAAAAAATGAGTGCTAATTCATGAATCAGTCTGTCTGGGAATACATCTGGCACGAATCGAGCTACGACTAGCCACGGCGATGTTCTTCCGTCGATTTCCGCAGGCGCGCGTGTCGAGTCGCTATGGGATGAGCGAGGCAGATATGGTGATGGAGACCTTCTTCCTGATGGCGCCCAAGGGACATCGGTGTCTGATCGAGGGGCAAGTTTCGCAGCAGAAGGTTCAGTCTTAGGTTGTCGTTATCCTCTGGATGAGGATCTTCATGATAAGGATTCCATAGCACACTACCCTAGATTGCAAATGATTGCAGTGCATCATATAACGAGTAGATGGATTTGCAATAGAATGTAATATGCCTGTGGTGTGTCATCCGATGGGTTTCCCCGCACTCGGCATCAACCAAGCTTCCCCGCTTCAACCTCAGCTCACCAAACAAGTAACACAACAACACAACAACACAACAACACAACACACCACACCACACCGCTACACAAACCACATCCATCCACAGACATGTCCAACACACCCAATACCAAGCCCCTCAGCGACCGCGAGGCACTAGCCTTCCGCCAAATCCCCACGATGACCTTCTCCACTGCTTCCAACCCTCTAACCGCTCCTCTTCCCCCCGACCCGAGCGCCTCCACGCCATCCCTCCGCGCCGCATCGCGCTTCGCCGTCCCCGGCAGAGCCATCATCACCGGCGGTGCCGGCTCCCTGGGAATGACGGTGGCGCGGGCCCTACTCGAACACGGCCTAACCGCGCTCTCCCTCCTCGACCTGCCCGCGACGATCACGACCTCGACTGCCGCCCTGACCGAACTCACCACCTCCTTCCCCAACGCACGAATCCACACCTACCCCGTGAACGTGACCTCCCCCGAAAGCATAACCACCACCATTACCACGGCCGTAACCAGCATGGGCGGAGTAGATCACCTCCTCTGCTTCGCCGGCATCGTCTCCTGCACGCCGTCCACCACCGCCCCGCCCAGCGAATTCACCAAAGTCCTCGACGTCAACCTGACGGGCTCCTTCCTCTGCGCCCAAGCCGCTGCAACCCACATGATCGCCCAAGGCACGGGGGGTAGCATCGTCTTCACGGCCTCCATCTCCGCCCACGCGACCAACTTCCCGCAGCCGCAGGTGGCGTACAACGTCAGCAAGGCCGGGGTGGTGCACATGACGCGCAATCTGGCGGCGGAGTGGGCCGTCCACGGGATTCGGGTCAATAGTGTCAGTCCCGGGTATATGGATACCGTGCTGAATGCGGGGGACGGACTGCAGCCGTTGCGGGAGATCTGGGCGCAGCGGTGTCCGATGGGTCGGATGGGGGATGTGGAGGAGGTGACCGGGGCGTTTGTCTTGCTGTGTAGTCCGCGGGGTGGGAGGTATATCACCGGAGTGGATTTGGTGGTGGATGGGGGGGCGATGACTTTGTGAGCACCCTTGGTGGGGGTGGACAGGGTGGGGGATGGGGAAGGTTAGGGCTAGATGCCGGTTGGTGGTACTCCGAACTTGCCTCCTCCATAGATATAAGACTAGAGGCTGACGTAGACACCCGCTTGATGAAAGATGGCAGAAGCAGTGCTACTAGTGATACAGCTTGTCCACATGGCTTGGGTTCGCTACAACACCAGTCAAGTATCAGTGACTAGTGTCTGTGTTCTTCACTACGCAATACAGTGGCATGCCTTATCAGACTTGAAAAGCGGTCGGAGTTGCACTCGACTTGTTCCGTCGAATGCATTGCCGGTTATGAAATGGCCACGAAGAGTCTGTCTAAGGACTACTTGAAGTGAACCGCTGCGACCGAGGAAGAAGTATATGTGTGAGGCACCCTTGCAGACCACTGGGGGCAAGAATGAGATTCCGAGGTATTACAACCATGAGGGCGATATGACGCTGATAGACTGACTGACTAGGCCAAAAGGGGTAATTCGAATGAGAGCCCCCCTCTCAGATAACATTTCCCCATACAATAAGGAAAGCTCCTTTCCTTCTACAACTGTGTTACAACACCCTTTCATGCGTAGGGCAAGTCATCCCATCAGCCTGATAAGAGACAATCGCATGCAGGTGTCATCTGACATCACAAGCGCATTTAAAAGCCACTCCACGAGCCTATCCACCAGTCCGCACCACCAGCATCTACCCCATAATTCTATCTAGATCCAGAGCCCAAAAACATACATAACGTACACCCACATTACAAATCCACCATGACTCGTCCCCCCCTCCCAGTCCCACCCCCCATCGACCCCTCCTACACCCCCACCACTAGCATAACCACCCTCCCAGCCACCAGCCCGATCGAATCCATCCTCGCCGTCCTCGAGCGCGACGGCGGCCTCATCCTCCGCGACCTCGTCGCCCCCTCCGAACTGGAAGCCATCGCTGCCGAGACCGCGCCCTGGAGCACCCCGCGGCGTCACCTGGACCCCACCGCGCAGGGCGACGCCTTCTACACCATCCCGCCCCAAACCACGCTCATCCCAGGCCTAGTAGGCAAATCCGCCACCGCAGCGCGCATCTGCGAGCATCCCGTCCTCGACGCCCTGCGCGAGCATATCCTCGTCGACGAGTTCACCGTCACTCGCGAGGGATACATCGAGCCCAACCGCATCGACCCCCTACTGAGCATGAGCGCCTCGATGAACATCGGCTACGGGGCACCGCGCCAGCTACTCCACCGCGACGACAACGTGCACGGGGTGAAGCACCAGGTGCCGCCCGGAGGGGAGTGGTCGCTCCAGAATGCCAGCCAGTTCGGGTGTCTCGTGGCCGGGTGCGAGGTGACGCGGGCGAAGGGGGCGACCATGTTCGTGCCGGGCAGTCATAAGTGGGGGGATGGCCGGCCGGCCATGCCCGACGAGGTGTGTTTTGCTGGTAGGTCTGCCCTTTCCCTGGATCAGCTCATCTAAGCTCTTCAAATGAGAGGGAACACTAGACCCAAGACTAGCTGACCGAAGCCGCCATGGTGATGGACGTAGAAATGTCCCCCGGCTCCGCTTTGATCTTCCTCGGATCCGCGTACCACGGCGGCGGTCATAATTCCGTGCCTGACTCGGTGCGGACCATGCACAGCTTCTTCTTCGTCCGGGGCACGTACCGCACCGAGGAGAATCAGTTCCTGGCGATCTCGCGCAGCAAGGTGCTGGGGATGAGCCCGAAGATGTTGCAGCTGCTGGGGTATACGAAGCCGAGCACCTCGTTGGGCATTGCGGATAATATCAGCCCGCATGAGGACGTGAAGGGGATTTGGGAGAGGGTGTGTCAGTAGGGTGGGATTCAAATATTGGATGGGTTTTTGGTTTAGTAAACAGTATGGGTTGGATGTTGGCTGTGAATAAGAGGATCGGACTGCCAATGAGACTCTTTTTTTCTGGGATTAGACAAGACTAATTGTTCAACTACTGATTCAATTCGAGTCGAGTCTATATAACTGGTAAAATCATTACATGCGTTAAACGTATATCCAAAAGCCAGAAACTCTACAGGTGAGAGGTATTGATCCCCCCCGTGACAATCATCTTGATAGTGAGATAGTCGTCCAAGCCGTACTTGCTTCCCTCGCGGCCCATGCCCGAGTGCTTCACACCCCCAAACCTGCAGAACTATTAGCGTCAACACAGTCACGAACAAGCGGAGAACATACGGCGCCGGCGCATCGGAGATCACCCCCGTATTGAGCGCCACCATCCCCGTCTGCAACCCCTCCGACACGCGGTAAGATCTGGCCAAGTCGGTGGTCATGACATACGACGCCAGCCCGACCTCGGCCTTGTTGGCTCTCTGAAGCACCTCCTCCTCCGTCTTGAACCTGATCAGCGCCGCCAGCGGGCCAAAGGTCTCCTCTGCCGTGACGCGCATGGAGTCATCCACATCGCCCAGGATGGTCAACTCATGGAAATTGCGTCCCAACGCCGGGAGCGCATTGCCCCCGAGCAGCACGGTGGCCTTCTTCCCCACCGCATCCTGGATATGCTCGGCCGTCTTGCCCCAGCCGTTAGTCAAGGGGCCATGCGTCGCCTGCGCATCCTCCAACCCATTCCCCACCCGGAACTTGCGCACCTCCTCCACCAACCGCTGAGAGAAACGGTCGTAGATCCCCTCCTGCACGTAGATGCGATTCGCACAGACGCACGTCTGGCCCGTGACCTTGAACTTACTAGCGATGGCGGCCGTGACCGCGACCTCGACATCGGCATCATCAAACACGATGAACGGGGCATTGCCGCCCAGCTCCAGACTCAACTTCTTGAGCGTGTCGCTGCTCTGCCGCATGAGCAGCTTCCCGACGCGCGTCGACCCCGTGAACGAGATCTTCTTAACCACCTCGCTCTCGCACAGCGCCAACCCGAGCTGGGGAGTATTCTCCAGCGCCGTGACGACATTCAACACCCCCTTCGGCACACCCGCCCGCTCCGCCAACACGGCCAGCGCATTCGACGCAAACGGCGTGAGCCCATCCGACTTGAGCACAACGGTACACCCAGCCGCCAGCGCGGCCGCGATCTTGCGCGCCCCCATGGCCAGCGGGAAGTTCCAGGGCACGATGAGCCCGCACACGCCGACGGGCTCCTTGAGCACCTGCACGCGGCTGGCCGGGTTGCTGTGGGGGATCACGTCGCCGTAGATGCGCGCGGCCTCCTCGCCGAACCACTCGAAGAAGCTGGCCGCGAAGAGCACCTCGCCCTCCGCGTCGCCCCGGACCTTGCCGTTCTCCGCCGTGATGATCCGCCCGATATCCCGCTGGTTCGCGACTAGTAAGTCGTACAGCTTGCGCAGGATGCGGCCGCGTTGGCGGCCGGATTGGCTGCGCCAGGCGGGGAAGGCGGTGGCCGCGGCGGCGATGGCGGTCTGGATGTCTTCGACGGTGGATTCGGGACAGCTGCCTAGGGTGGTCTCGTCGGCTGGGTTGGTGATGGAGAAGGTTTGGCCGGATTGGCTGGGAACCCAGGCGCCGTTGATGTAGGATTTGTCGACGAAGAGGGTCGGGTCTTGGAGGGTGGAGGCGAAGGTTGATGACATTTTGGTGGTGGTGATGGTGGTGGTGGTGGTGGTGGTGGGTTTTGTTGTAGGGTCAGAATGCTTTGATGGTTGTAAAGGGAAGGGGCAAGCTGACTTATATGAGGGATGGGACTGTGGGGTAGACGAGGGTCCAAGTATACAGTACAATTCATCATCTACAGTTGACCTTCCTAGTCGAGTCAAGAGAATGAGATACCCTCGGCTGGCGCCGGTCAGCTTTCCGTCCCGATCCCCGACTTCGGCAAGCCTCGGATACAGTTGCCTGTTCGGGGGTGTTTGGAGAGAGCCCTACTCCAGTTCGCCGACTCTAACGGTGAATGGTGTGATGTGTAGTTTTATGGTGGACTGAGCTCTGTTCACTACTTAATTACTATACAAGTACAATTCCCCCTAAATTCCTACGTAACAAAAACCTGCAATTGAGGCAGTTCCGCCGCCCAATTCCTCTCCGCACCCGCCTCCCACACCTGCTGCAGCAGCTCCATCGCTCGAATGATGTTCGCAAACCCATTGCGCCGGAACTGCCGCTCCAGAAATCCCCGGAAGAAGCGCTGGTCCTCCGGATGCCGACACTCCAACCCGATGATGAACGCCGACCACACCAGCACGTGGTCCATCTGCGCCACTTCGGGATACAGCACCAGCAGCTGCTTGAACTGGTCGACCAGGTGCGAGAGTGCGCGCGGCGGACTCGCCGTCCGGGCCAGTGCCCGCTGGAGGTAGATATCGTACGCCTGCTGCCGGAGCTCGGCGATGTGGTCCAGGGCCAGCGCGTGGCGCGGGTGCAAGGTGCGGTAGTAGCGGAGGCAGTCGAAGCTCTGCGCCCCGTGCGACAGGATCGCGCCGATGCCGGAGTCGAGGCTGATCAGCGGGCTTGCATTGACGCGCATTCTATTTTAGACTCGTATAAGTATCTTGCACCCAACGACGGGGGGGGATGTGTGCCTGGGCTACGACTCACTTGCGTATCTCCCGCAGGAGAAAAGCAGACACCTCGCCCCCGTCAAGCCCCCCATCGCCCCCTACCGCATCGATCGCCGATTGCAGCATCCGAAACAGGATCGGAAAGTCCGAGCCGCCCGTGACCATCACGGCCAGCAGGAGGATGAGGATGGTCAGGATGACGGATTTCCTGGTCGCCATGTCGCAGGCGCCCAGATCGCTGCGGCGCTGCAGCCCCCGGATGACTTGCGTGTAGAGCCTGCGGGGGTCGGCACAGCCGGGACTGCTGCCGACCGTGCCCAGGAGGTGGAGGGAGGCGACAGCCAGGACGGAGTTGAGGACCAGCTCGTCGGTGTGGGCGATGGGGAGGATGGTGCCGCGCCAGCCGTTGTGCTGGTCGTCGATGACCACCATCTGCGGGGCGATCTGTTCGGAGACTTTGACCGTCAGTGGTCGGATGACCAAGGTTAGGTTCGACGGGTGCTTACAGTATGTGAGGAGGTATGACTTCCATGCTTCAAGCTCGGCTAACGGAGGCTTGACTATGGAGATCGAGCCGAAGGGGGAGACGGCGGGTTCTGGTGATCGATCGCTGTCCGAGGTCTGGGGCAATGGCAAGGACAGGGCAGGGAGCTCGTCAGGAGACGATGGGGTGTTTGTGCACTCGTTGGGGAACAGGATATTGAGGATCTCCTCTGGTGTATCGAAGAGACAGTCCGACCCGATTTTGCCTTTGCTACAACTCGACCTTCTGTCTCATCAGCATCCATCGGTGTGCGCTGACTTGACCGCAGACGTACGGTGGTAGGATGTGTTTTCGGGGACCTCTTCTTTTGCTTGCATCACGGAACCTGAATCGCATTCCCAGCCCGCTACAGCTGATGCCCTTGGCAGTACATTTCCCACAGGCAGGCTCTTTTCTATCGCAGTGGATGCGGCGCTGGGAACACTCGTAGCATCCTGTCTGATCATCAGCCTCGGCAGTGGCGCTGCATGCTGATGACGAAACGTACCTTTGATCTTGGGGATATAGGGTCTGTTTCGCAGAGGCATGATGTTGATTGTCTCGCACTGACTGGGTTTACAGAAAGAAATGACATCTGGAGTGCAATAAAGAACCAACTTGCAGTCAGTGCAGTGCAGTGACTGCGATAACCTGCCAGATCCAGCCGGCGATCCTTATCTTCCCCGCATTTGCTCTTATCGGGCGCTAGTCCCAAGATGGCAAGAAAAATGAGAACCCGAGAGGCGAACGATGATTGGCCTCGGCTCGTCGGCTGTCCGGCTACTCCATCCGATCGCTATCTGCACATGCACATACACATACACATATACTGTGTAATATGATATCATCATTGATAGCCCAACAGACACTTCGCTCGATTGATTGCGGACTCGGGTTTCGGACATGAATCCTGAGGTGACTGGCTACGTCATCAAGATCGGTTTCGGTCCGGTGAAGTTTGACCCTGGTCCGAGTTGCATCCACAGGTTTTGTGCATTGCGCGATGGAACGAGGACAGAAGTGGTGATGGTGAATAATACGAAATGATAAGCTAGACAAGTCCGACCAACCAGAGCTTGACTGGTTGCATCTGGATGCCGCGATACTTCCACTGGGACACAATCCATGCAATCATCTCGCGATACCATCAATGCGATATGCTCGTTGATACTGCCTGGATGGCTCTTTCTGGTAGGTTCGTTTGAAGCCCGGGTGACCGCGTCTTTTTGTCCTGAAATGGACTGCTGGAAATGGGATGATTAAGACTGAAACTATTTCCAAAACCCCAACAATGGCTGTGGGGAGGGTTCTACGATAGGTTCTCATTATCGACTTCATGATACATGACAAGGTCTGTGATAGATACCGCACACAATCCATGATTGTGTTCAAACATTGATGTAAATACCAAGGAGAAGAAAATGGAAAATATAGTAACAGTGATCTAGGGAGTATGTCCCGACTTGAACACAGCGAGAGCCTCAGGCAAGGGAGGGACCGATATCAAGTTGGCTGATAGGCTTTCAATACTTGTCGCGCAAGCCCTAAGATGACCCCATAACTATACGGTCTCACTCAAGTTCCACATCGATCAACACTCCAAATACAAACACACCCCTCCTTCCACGCACCCCCAACATCTTCCACTGCCACCTAAACAAACCCAATCCCCCCACCTACACCCCTTTGTCACTCTACCTACCTCCCGATCGATCTCCCATCCACCCTCTCCACCACCGTCTCCTCATGCTCGGAATAAGCATCCTTCTCCAAATCCTTTCCCCCCGCCTCCCCTTCCCGGCCTGATAACTCCTGCTGCAGCGGGACCGGCTCAAACCCAACCTTGTACCAGGGCAGCGCCATCAACGCTCCTGTACTCTCCATACTGCGACCCTTGCACTCCGGGAAGGCGAAGAAGACCCAGAGGGTACCGCAAAAGGTGCAGACAGCGAACAGCGCGAACGGACCCCACGGGTGCATGGCGATGGTCATATTCGGGAAACCGCGAGTGATACCAAAGTTCAATAGGTTCTGGTAGGTAAATGCCAGAGTAATGACGGTACCGCGCATGCTGGTCGGGCAGATCTCCGAGGCAGTGAGGGAGAACGCGGGCGCCCAGCCAAAGCCGTAGCCGACGGCGAAGACACACAGGGCGACGACGGCAATGATGGCTGCTGCGCTGGGGCTGCTGTTTGTGGCCGAGAGGTCGGCTTTGCCCAGGTAGGCGGCGATGTAGATCAGGCAGACGAGGTTGATGGTAGAGCCGGCGAGGAGGAGGGGCCGGCGGCCGAAGCGCTCGGTGAGGAAGAAGGCGTATAGAAATACAGACAGGAACTTGATGGTGCCATACACTGCGGTGAAGAGGAGGACTTTCGAGGAGTTGAAGCCAATCGAGTCCAGGATAGTCGGAGCGTAGTAGGTGATGCTATTGCCGCCAGACATGATGAAGAAGGTCTGAACGAAGAGGACCAGCACCAGGACCTTGCGGAAGGTCGGGTCGGAGGCGAACTGCCGGCAGGACTGTTGAATGGACTTCCAGGGTGACTGGCCGGTGGTGGGAGCGTCCTCGCTGTGGTCGACTTTGTTGCGTAGCTCGGTGTACTCGCGGGCGAAATAGGGGTTGCGCTCGTCGAGTCCGCCACGCAGGCGGATGAGGTTGCGGCGTGCGGCGGCGACCTGGCCGCGCATCATGAGGAACCGGGGGCTTTCGGGACAAAAGGGGTAGCCCGCCAACAGGAAGGTTGATGGGATGAGCTGCAGGATCATTGGGATCCGCCATTGCCATTCGGATCCCGCGGGGATGACCATCGTGACGGCGTAGTTGATCCAATACGCCCCGGCAACGCCGGACATAATCCCTGCGTTGTAGAAGGTGGACATCATGCCACGGAGCTCAGTGGGCGCCACTTCGGAGATGTACACAGGGCCTGCTGAGTAGGCAATTCCTGACCCCAGGCCAGAGATGGTGCGGCCTACCATGAGTTCGACCAGAGAACCAAAGTTGACCGCCATGAGCAGCGCACCGATGGTGTATGTAATCGCAGCCAACAAAATCACCGGTCTGCGGCCACGACGTTCCATGATCGGGCCGGAGAGGAGGATGCCTGCGGTTTGGCCCTGTGAATCGGTTAGTTGATCAGGAAGATGCCCGTGGGCGCTCTATGTGCTCTCTAGGAAGATAGAAAGGACACGAAAGCCAGTCAAAGCGACTTACCAGCAGCATTGAGGAGGTGACCCAGCCCTTGTAGTTGGTGACAGTCCCCGAAGAAAGCGAGTCCCAGCCGTACTCATGCTTGAAGGCACTCATCCCCATCACGCCGGAGATGTTAGAAGAGTTGAAGCCGTGAAGGCTACCACAGTAGGAGGCCCAAATGGCAACCAGCCAGATGAATGCCGCTCGGGCTGGTTTGGGGACTTGTTTTAGGGCATCCTTGGAGATGCCTCCACCGGTGGCTCCCATGGAAACACAGATGACAAAGACGATAGAATACAGAAGATAATGGACGATGAGGATGGAGAGAATGAATCCAAGTTTAGAGAGGTCGTTGCTCTGATAGAGAAGATCATTTCTGTCCTGCCGGGCTATAAGAGAGGGCAGGGATGGCTACCCCAGACCTCCAGTCTTGGCAATCTCACCATACGCCTGAACGCTCACTGAATCCCCACATCCAGTTGTGTGTGAAAACTGGGGAAATAGGAAATAGGAGCTCTCCGAGCGGGCGTTTCGTGTCCTGGAGCATTCCGGGGGAGGGATTCTGGGAACGGCTGGTGAGGATTGGTCAGAAATAAACGGAACCTGCTGATTCGCCAACACATACTCGTGAAATAATTCCACTGTGGGGATTTTCAGCCAATCGATGTCGGACGCAAAGCTTGAACTCAGCACAGCCTTTCCAATTCGAGGGTGCGGTAAGCGAGCAGCGGGATTGGCACATATCATATCTCCCCAGGCTCCTGTCCGTGTGGACTGAATGGGCCCATGGTATAATCCGTTATGGTTATTGTTGACATCTGCATCAATCATACAAATCAAAATCGCATTCGTTGATACTTCTGAGTTGAGTCCTCAATCGCAGTGAACTTAGACGTTGACTTTAATTCCCATGATAACCTCACGCTGGCTGGATACATTGTTAGGTCATAGTAAATAAGCAAGAAGCCTTTATAGAAAGAGATTCAGCGCAGGGCACTGCCTCGTAGGATTCAATCTAAGGTTTGTTGAACTCGGAGTCACCGAGTCTCGTACCATAATGCACATTGTAATGATAAACATGTACTGTTCTACCGTTCTACTGTCTCCCACCCCGCAGTGCAGGGGTGAAGGAATCATCCTCTCACGTCGCTCATGACACCCTTTTTAGGTTCATTAAAAAGTAGAAAGCAAGGACCAGACATCATCCGAGTACTTGTATTCCAGTCATAGTATACTAATAATCAGATTGTTTATGTTTAATGCTATTATTCAGAGTCAAAACGACTGCGCGAGGCAGGGTTAGGTTGAAGAGATATGTACTATAATTCTGGTACAGAGCCCGGAGTGCTCCGCATGATACTACCACCTCTTCCTGGTAAATTACTGGTGTTGGAGCTCCACTTCTAGTAGGAGTTGTAAGTTTCCCGACATCTCTTTCGAGCTGACAAGATGAGTGTGTATTGCCCTGAGTCCTCAGCATCATGACGTCCATAGTCAAAATAGTTTCTATTCTATACAATGCCAATTGTCACATTCACGGCCCTCTTTATTCAAGCCCAGCTCAGTTTCAGATTACTTGGTTCCTTGCTGACTGGACCTCCACGCTCTTCCACTTAACCGTTTGCTCGATGACCTTTTCATAGATGGTGAAACTCACCGCACCGGATATCTGTCTGCGTTACTACCACACTCGACACACAAATGGTACCCGGGGAAAGAACCTACACTCAACCGAGCCAGACGAGGCGTCGTCCCCCGCCACAGCGAGGTGATGCCCTCCTGACGGATGACCGACTGCACACAGTCCAGCGTCCCTTTGTAGCGTTCCAAGCCCCCAATCGCCTGCAAACGCGTCTTGATCGCATCGAACGGCATCGTCATGTACACCGTGACCACGCCGGCCAACGCTCCGGCCCCCGCCGTGCTCAGCGACGAGGGCAGCTGCCAGGCGCGGAACTGGCCAAACAGGAAGTTGTAGCTGGTGAACCGTACCATCGCGTTCGCCGACTGCTTCATCGTGACGGGGACGACACCGCGATAGAGCCCCGCGACGCCCTCGGTCGCAGCGATTGTGCGGATGGCATGGATGGCCGAACGATATTGCCGTGCCCCCGCGCGGTCGTCAATGATCTTGGTCTTGAGGGTCTCGCCCGGCGTGACGACGGCGACACTCTCGGCGACGCCGGCGATCATGCCGGCGCCGAGATTGCCGAGAGAGGTCACCTTGCCCTGCGCGTCGACGGGCATATACTTGCGCGCGGTGTCGAAGGCGAAGAATCGCACGCCGGACTTGGAGGCGTTTGAGACGCAGAAGGCCATGCTGCCGGTGTAGAGGTGGCCGAGGCCATGGTGGCGGATGGTGCTGAGCAGGAGGTGCAGCGGGTTGGTCTTTTTGGTCTGTAGTTGTTGGCTGGTCTTGAGATACTCTGTCGGATACTATCGATGGCCAAGTGATTTGCGGTCAGTGAGTATGGCTGTAGGGTTGCGGTTGCGGTTGGGTGTATGGATGCATACCGTGAGAAGACTTTCAAACCCGCCGGCCGCACCACCTGCCACTATCGATTGCCATGGGCTCACTTGCTTCTTTGAAGTCATCTTGTACGCTTGAGTCTATTGTAGCGCCTTGCTCCAGTATTCCACCTGTGTATATCTATATCTTGTGCCCCCGACTCGACGATGCCGATCGCGGAGCCACCCGAGGTGGAGCACTCCGACGCTGCACTTCTCACCCATGACCACCGCAATCGCATTGCTTATCTATAGTATCCAAGTTCATAGACAAAGTTCTTTTCTTACCTTACACAGGTGTATAATATCATTCCAGTGAACAGCTTCAAACCCTCACATCAACATGACCATTCCCGACCTCTTCCCGCATGGTTGCTGGGACACGCACCACCACATCTTCGACCGTAAGCCACTGCCCCCTTGGCCTCAAACCCACAGAATTCCACTGAACACAGAGTAACAACAGCCTCACAATACCCCTACGCCCCGAACCGCCATCTGACCCCCTACCCCGCGACCATCGCCGACTTCCTCTCCTTCAAGCGACGCCTGGGGATCACCCACTCCGTCCTCACACATGGCCTCTCCTACGGTGACGACTGCACCTCGCTGACAGGCTTTACGGCGGAGCTCAACAACGCCAGCGACCAAACCACGACCAAAGCGATCGCGGTTATCGATCCAGCAACCATCACCACCGACGAGCTGCAGCGCATGCACGCCGCTGGCGTGCGGGGCATCCGCGTGAACCTATACAAGTACGAGGCGTTCCACAGCCTCGAGCGCCAGAAGGTGGCGCTGCAGGCGCACGCGCAGGCGCTGGACGCCCACGGCCAGCCGCACTGGATCATGGCGTTCACGCATCCGCACACGGAGTTCTGGCCGGAGCTGAGCGCCTGGCTGGCTGCAGGACACCTACCGGACACGATCCGGCTGGTCACGGATCACTTTGGTCTGCTCAAGTGCGCGAGTATGCTTCCCGTGGAGTCGGGGGGGGATATCACCCGGCAACCCGGGTTCCAGGCGATCATGGAGTTGGTGCGGCAGGGCCGGTTGTTTGTCAAGCTGAGTGCGCCGTATCGGGTGAGTAGTCTGGGTGGCGGGTATGAGGATGTGAAGCCGTTGGTGAGAGCGTATTTCGAAGCGAATCCGCGGCAGTTGGTTTGGGGGAGTGATTGGTATGTACTTCCACCCTTGCTCGGGGACGGTAGATGTTGAGTTATGGGAGTTCTCTTGGTGGAAGAGGATAAGGCTGATAATCGATAGGCCCCATACGCCGCATATGAAGGTTCGTACGCCCGAGGAAGCCCTCAAGCCGACGCCGTATCTGGAGGTGGATGATTTGGCGTGGTTATGGAGTCTGCGGTCGTGGCTGTCGGAGGAGGAGTGGCACTTGTTGATGGTGGAGAATCCACGGAGATTGTTTGATTGGTGAGGTTCTCCCTGGTTCTGATGGGTGCTAGCCTCAGTGGAATTTTTGTATATATCACCATCCAGCTTTCAGACATAGCCTACAGCTAGTCTCTACGCAGCATTGCCGAGTTTGTACTTTGGTGAAAGCCCTCGGATGGCTCCATCAAGGTGTACATAGCCGAACCCGTGACATAAGGAGTCTCAAATTGTCATATACTATGGCGAAACAAGCTTTGCATATGTGCCTTGTACAAATTGTGCTCATTATGTTTTAAGGCTGCTGCAGAAGATGGCCACGAGAGAGGCCCGAGGCTCCGAGTTCCGAGTACCGAGACCCGGCCGAGACAGCCGTTGGAACAATCCCGAATGACGGAATGCCGATAGAAGCTGAGAAGAAAAGTTGCACTGCTGCGTATCTAGACTACCACCAAACTAAGCCCTGCAAGCTCAAGCAGGACAGCTATTGACAATGTCTGCAGACTTCCATCCTCTGTCAGCTTCCCCACCAGATCCGCTCTTGGCCGATCCACCCGAGCATACCATCATGTCTATCCCTAATTGACCCCCATTGGAAGCTACCTTATCCCTTCAAAAATGCAGTCCGAACCTCCGAGCGTCCGTATCCCGACCCGCCAACCTGTTTCAACAATGGGGCAATGAGCCTTCTGATATCGCGTGTTGTCGGAGCTGAAAGTGGCAGATAGGGTCCAGCCTGTTATATAAGGACTGAGCCGCCTCGAGTCCACGGCTTTCTCATCATCACAACCCATCTCACCACCACCTGCATCACTTCCTCTACGATCTACGACAATACACTACCACCCTCACGAACACACAACAATGGCCTCCCAATTCTCTGTGGACCACTCCTTCCGCGCCTTCGTCGAGGCCCTCAAGGCCGACGGCGATCTGGTCGAGATCAACACCGAGGTGGACCCGCACCTCGAAGCCGCCGCCATCACCCGTCTCGTCTGCGAAACCGACGACAAGGCGCCGCTCTTCAACAACCTTAAGGGCATGGGCAAGGACGGGCTCTTCCGCATCCTGGGCGCCCCGGGCTCCCTTCGCAAGTCGAGCAAGGACCGCTACGGCCGCCTGGCCCGCCACCTCGCCCTGCCCCCCACCGCCAGCATGAAGGAGATCCTCGACAAGATGCTCTCAGCCAGCGAGCTGGCCCCCATCGAGCCCACCGTCGTCCCCACCGGCCCCGTCAAGGAGCACTCGCTCGTCGGCGACGAGATCGACCTCACCCAGCTGCCCGTCCCCATGATCCACCAGGCCGACGGCGGCAAGTACATCCAGACCTACGGCATGCACATCGTGCAGTCCCCGGACGGGCAGTGGACCAACTGGTCCATCGCACGCGCTATGGTGCACGACCGGAACCACCTGGTGGGGCTGGTGATCGAGCCGCAGCACATCTGGCAAATCCACCAGATGTGGAAGAAGGAGGGCAAGGACGTGCCGTGGGCGCTGGCGTTCGGCGTGCCGCCGGCGGCGATCATGGCCTCGTCGATGCCGATCCCGGACGGGGTCAGCGAAGCCGGGTACGTGGGTGCGATGACCGGCCGGTCCCTGGAGCTCGTCAAGTGCGACACCAACAACCTATACGTCCCCGCGAACGCGGAGATCGTCTTCGAGGGCACGCTGTCCATCAGCGAGCGCGCCGACGAGGGCCCCTTCGGCGAGATGCACGGCTACGTCTTCCCCGGCGACACCCACCAGTGGCCCGTGTATAAAGTCAACAAGATCACCTACCGCTCCAACCCCATCCTGCCCATGTCCGCCTGCGGCCGCCTCACCGACGAGACCCACACCATGATCGGCGCCCTGGCCGCCGCCGAGATCCGCAAGGTCTGCCAGCAGGCCGGCCTGCCCGTCACCGACGCCTTCTCCCCCTTCGAGTCCCAGGTCACCTGGGTGGCGCTGAAGATCGACACGGCCAAGCTGCGCCAGAGCAAGGTCACCGCCAAGCAGTTCCAGAAGCAGGTCGGCGACGTCGTCTTCAACCACAAGGCCGGCTACACGATCCATCGGCTGGTGCTCGTCGGCGAGGATATCGACGTCTACAACGGCAAGGATGTTATGTGGGCTTTTTCGACACGCTGCCGCCCCAGTGCCGATGAGACCTTCTTCGAGGATGTGCGCGGCTTTCCCCTGGTTCCGTATATGGGCCACGGCACCGGCTCCCCTGTGCAGGGCGGCAAGGTCGTCTCCGACGCCCTGATGCCGTCGGAGTACACCACCGGCGCTGACTGGCAGGCGGCCGATTTCGAGAACTCGTATCCCGCTGAGTTGAAGGAGCGCGTGCGGGCTAAGTGGGAGGAGATGGGCTTCAGCAAGTTGGAGTAGAGTGGTCGATGCTTGGGTTATGGACTATAGATTGTATAGAGTTGGATCTTGTATAGTAAATTGAATGTATAGTTTATTTGATTTCTGGTGTATCGAGTAGGTTAGGGTTCAGACACCGGTAATGTCCCTCAAGTCTCATACAACCCTCCGGGTAAGTGAATTCCGTCACAACGTAAGCCCACTTCCCCGTTTAGATGATTTCGATGCAAACAGATGGTGGAATCTGTGAACATTGAGCAGACAAAAGCCCTCGATTGTATTAAATGTGATTAGGTCTATAGTACAGTACGCTGGTGAGCGTAATGGGGTTTTAGGAGGCTAACTAGGTAGTAGCTAGACCAGTCCCCTCTTACAATCTCCCCACACCCGCGTGAGCAGTCACATTGGCGGGCACCTCGGCAACGCCCACATGGCCGATAAGGTACTGCTTGAACTTGGCGAACTCGGTCAAGACGGTGGCGTCGGTGCGATCGGGCCAGCTGCCGGAGCCACTCGCGCGGTTCCATTCGCAGATATAGCCGAGCTGGCTGGTGCAGCCGCTGGCGGCGGCGACGGTGGAGGTGGTGTACAGCTGGCCGCCCTTGGTCAGCGAGTCCGGGGTCATGGGGGTGGTGACGGCGTCGAAGTAGTTGCCCTCGAGCAGCAGGCGGGTGTTGGTGTCGACGTCGAAGGCGTGGCCGCCAACGTTCTGGAAGTAGTTGTTGACGCCGTGGAAGTAGATGGTCGAGGCGTCGTAGTCGGTGCCCATGTGCGGCGCCCGGCCGGAGACGTCGTGCAGCCAGTTGCCTGCGAAGGTGTAGTAGTCCTCGGCGCCCAGCAGCAGCAGCGTCCAGTAGTGCTTGCCGTTGCATCCCGCCGACCAGCTGGTCTTGCCGTCGAACTCGTTGTTCGAGATGGTGACGTGGCCTGCCTTGTTCCAGCCGCTGACGATCATTTGGCGGCCGATGAGGGAGAACTGCAGCGCATGAGTGAGGGACTATGGCAAGGACATTCAGAAGTGAAGGGCTACCTTGTTATGGTCGATCCAGACCTTATCCGCCCCGTCGAGGGTGAGGGCATCCCCACCCCAGACGTACTCGGGGTTGAGGTCGGTGATGTGGATGTTCTGGATGATCACGTTGGATTTGCCCCCGCGCACGCGCAAGCCCTTGCCCTTCAGCACGCCCTTGCTGCCCACCCCGACAATGCTCTTGTTGCTGCCCACGTCCAGCGGGGACTTGGCGGCATTGTCGTAGGTGCAGCTGATCCAGGTGCCGTCGTCGCAGTGGTCCTGGATCCAGGCCTGGCCCTTGGAGGTGCCGCCGGGGCAGGTGGTCGTCTTGGTGCTGCAGCATTTGCCGGTGGTCGTGCCCTCGGTGCCGGTGAAGTCCCATTCGCGGTCGATCATGATGGTGCGCGCCACGTCGTCGGTGATCCACTGTTTGAGTCTGACGAGTATCAGCATTTCATCGTGAGATTCCCTTCTTGGGGAGTTCGGTACGCATGTACGAGGAGACTCACTGGGCAAGACTGGAAGGCGTGGCAGCGGCCGCGCTGCCGCCACCGGTGGTGCCCGAGGCAAAGCCAAAGGCCTTGCCGGTGACGCCGGCGGCGTCGACCTGGCCCAGCAGGAGAGCAGCCAGAACGGCGGAGATGGTGGTGCGCATGATGATTGACGTGCGATGGAGGTTGAGAGTGATGGTGTTGTGCTGTCGAAGTTCATGCAGCCGCCTTGAGCCGAATTTATACTGGTGGTCTACCTCCCTGTCAATCTACCTCTCCGTGTCGCATTGGGCGGTTGCAGACCCCATTACCGTTGCCAAGACTTGGCACGTCGCAGCTTGACACCGGATGAGCTATAAAAAAAGGTGCTTCTGGCGCCGGGCCACTGGTTTGGGGCATGACAGCCAATCCTCTTGCAGGGGTTGATTTGGGGGTCTGAGACTGAGCACATAGGCAAAGACCCTTCCACCACTGGAGACACAGTTCGTCAGAAGACAGGCTAGCTGTGGCTATTGCTATTTCGGTTGCCAAGGATGAGGGTAGGGTTCGGAGAGGAATAAATGCCGATGTGGAGGGCATTCCGGACGGTCCGACAAGGTTAAGGTTGTTTACCTCCGACAGTTGGCGTTGCAGCTGCGACAAAACCCCTGGCTAGCACGGAAAGAGACGCCAAGACTGGAGCTCTCAACGGAGTGAGCACCTGTTCGCGGAATGTGGTGGCCTGCTGCATGTTGGAAGCAACAAGTCGGGCATAGCATAGGACCGTGCTGGGCAGTAGGAAGCAAAAATGTCTTAGGTGAAGTCGGCCTCGGCAAGTGATCACTTTATCTCAAGTGCCAACCTCGGGAGCGAAAGCGCCTGCTGGTGGAGTCGTTTTTGATAGGCTTGAAGGTGATGCAGAATTTGCCTTTGTTTTATGCTATAAAAATACCATAATGTGCAAAAGCAGAGCACTTTCAACACCACAGGTTGTGTAGTGTAATGGTTAGCACCCAGGATTCTGATTCCTGTAATCCCGGTTCGATCCCGGGCACGACCTTTTTTGTTTTTGTCATTTCAGAATGTTTCCCTACCCATCTTCATGTATCTTTGTCCCAATTCTTGATCTATAGCCAGCAACACCCAACAAATCCTAACTTTCCAAACAATGAGAATTTTCACCTGGATCGATAATGTTGAATCGAATTCAACTACAACCATATCATGGTGTGGATGAAGTACTCGGTGGTCCTCATTTGCCAGGTGTGGTTATATATTTCCCTCGCTCGGGAGTGTGCATTGCTTGCGAGGGTCTCTCTAAGACAACTATAAACCACTGCATTGAACATCTAGAGGCTTCTATACCTCAATTAAAGAGAATAAAGCTGTATACATTCCGATTTGTTATGAAGAAACTACTTTCATACAGTGGTGGACTAGAGATTAGATAAGATAAGAGTATGTCGGATCTTCGGTGGATCTTGGCACGGGCTTGACACCCAGTGCTGCTTGTTTTGCTTGGGCATTGAGATGATGATTTCAGAATTCATTGCATTCTCTTGAAAGAGTTGGTTACCAGGTTGAGATCGAGTATCAGATTATGTCCTGGATAACAATCAACAGAATAGGATGGCTATTTCCTGCTGTTGAGCCATCTGTGTCAGGATGGTCATGATACTTAATCGCTCAAACTAGGTATCGATTGCACAGTGACATAATGCTGTATGAGTTCTGTTACTACAAACGGGTACGGGCAGCTGAAATTAGCAGTTTGATACTCGTAGTGGTTAACCTCACGCAGTCCGGATCGACTATTACCTTGAGATATTTCCTCAGGTCTACACACCGTTGCGAGACAAGATGAAAACAGTACTTTCTCACTCAGGGACGAAGTTCGAGACGAGCAGAGGTCAAGAACCCCACGCATTCAGGCTAAATAACCAGCCAGTAGTGCCAAGACTTGACGTGCATTTGCACGTAGTCACATTGCTTTACATCAGCACCAGGGTCTCGGGCTTGATTTCAACCCCGTTCCGATGTGGGTTCCTTGTGTAGCTCTATCTACCAAATATCCAGAGCCTTCTCATGTTGTTACGCATCTCCTATGGTCTGAGCGAGGGCTAGTCCAGAAAATAGCCATTCGTGGGGGTTGTCCCGAAGAAGCCCGAGTTTGCCGTTGTGCAATGTGGCGTTATGGACAATACTTTACTTCAAGCGCAATTACAACAAGAAGCAGGGAGATTAATGTTGTGCAGATTGGGTAGGACACGACCCAAGACTTCTAGGATTGATAACATGACTATGAATGAACTGCACCTTGACGCCAAGAGACAGGATCTAACAACAAAAAACACAGAAACCTCTAACAGACCGACTTGAAAAACAACATGCTTATCCCGATCATAATGTGGACAGATACGCATGCAAATTATCGACCGCAGCAGTCGCGCTCGCCAGCTGCGCCCTCGAAGTGGCCGCCCCAATATGCGGCGTGCTGATGACATTGAGATTCTCCCAGAGCGCCCCGTACTTCTCTCGACTGGGAGGCTCCTGCTCGTGGCAGTCTAGCCCTGCACCCCAAAGATGGCCTTCAGACAGAGCGCGCTCGAGCCCTGCCTCATCGACAATGCCTCCCCGGGCCGCGTTGATGAGGATGGCATCCGGCTTCATGCTCTTGATCTCTGCATAGGACAGCATCCCGCGCGTCTCCTCTGTCAGCGGCACATGCAGCGACAGCACATCCGCCTGCGCAATCACCTCCTCGACGCTTTGGGCGCGCACATGGGGCAGATGCTCCCAGACCCCGGTGGCGGGCATGTAGGCATCATACGCGACGATGCGAGCGTTGAACCCCCCGTGGAAGATCTCCGCCACCGTGCGCCCGATGTTGCCCATCCCGATGATCCCGATGGTCTTGCCGTAGAGCGTGAGCCCGTTGCACGTTTCCTTCGGGACGGGCTTGACCATCTGCCGCGTCGTGATGGAGCGGATCCCCCGCGCCACAGCCAGGGCCAGCGTCACGACCAGCTCGGCGACGTCGCGCGCGTTGGCGCCGGGGGTGTTCAGGATGCGGATGTTACGGGCCTGGCATGCGGCCTGGTCGATCTTGTCGATCCCCACCCCGTGCTTGCCGATGGCGACCAGGTTGGGGCAGCTGGCAATGTCGGCGGCGGTTACGTACGAGCCTCGGATCAGCAGGGCTCGGGCATTTTGTCGCCAGTGTTGGAACTCGGGGTCACTGGGTTGGATGAGGTGGAAGAGGGTGCGGGCGTGTTCGATGGCTTTGGGGGGGAAGGTGTCGAGCACGTAAACGGTGGGCTTCTGGGCAGTGGAAGTACCGCCTGGTGATGGGGATTCAGCGATGCTGGGTGCCATGTTGACTGTGCTTCGTTGGAATAGGAATGGAACTGGTGGATAGTCAGAGAATGGGTTAGTGCAGGAGCTATCATCGTTTATTTGTGGGGTATATGTATACATGATCCGGCTGGACGAGCGGATTGCGAGTCGGAAATCTCCCGTCGGAAGATTCCCGATACCACTTCTTAGGTGCTTTGCTTCATTCTCTGCAGGAACCGGTCAACCAGATGGTACAGTCCGTCTGGCAAGTCTTCTGGGAGCTCTTCAATTGTCTGCGCACACGCGGATTAGTGTTTGTCACACCGCAGACCTGCCACAGACTCACCAATGTCTTTCCTCCATGTAGGGCGACACCGGATAGGTCCCACAGCAGCCTGCACATCGTTCTGAAACAAGTAAATCTCTCCCCAATTAACGTCAGCAAAGCAGTGCATTTGCCAATGAAGCTTGTCTCTCCACCCAAAGGAGAATTTGGCTGACAGACGAGGAGCACTCCTGCGGCGAACAGATCGTACCCATCCAAGAACGACCCTGTGAAGCACCCTTGTTGGGAGCTATTGAACTCTTGGTCGATATACTGCCGGCAACTATTCGCTACATCCTCCTCAAACCCCTGGTCACTTCGAACTATAGTCCTACGAGGAGCTGGCGCTGTTCCTGCAACTTTTGAGATCTGTACAAACCCCCGGCACGTGAGCTGTGCAGTAGGGTCTGCGTCTTGTGACGATGGACCCTGGTTGTGGAGAGCTACGTCTCGCCAATGACGCAGATTGTGATGATGGAAGGAAGCAGACTGGGAGGTTAGTGTGCAGATGCTTGACATGAGCCTAGCGTGCATGAGAACGTGATGTTGTGTATCACCTCCCGGTGACTCGGTTGCCTTTGGGACAAGCGGATTCTTAGTGTTTTCTCTGACAATCTGGCAAGTAGGCTTACCTTAAGAGTGATGTCCTCATCCTCGATACTGAATGGTCGATCCATGACGCAGCTGATAGCTCTACAGCGTGATCAGACGCTATTTGTCACAGCAGTAGAACGGAGTGTACCAACCGATCAACTACATAGAGACTCCAGAATATGCGTTTCCTTTCGAGTACCTCTGCTTCAGTCAGATTCATCTCCGGCTGTGGCTCTTTGTGAAGCTTCAATGCGATGCACTTCTTCATGGCAAGCCCAATTAGATGCCAGGTGGAGCCTCCCCGAGGGTGGAGGATGGAGAAGTGAATAAGCAACAGCAGACATTCGACCACTTTCAGGCCGTCAGTACTCTGCAGAACGGCAGGAAGATGCTCCGTGGCCAGGCTGTGTAAGTCATTGGCGAAAACCCTGGAGTCGTGATCTCCGGACAGCAGCATGCCCAGGGCAACGGCCATGCAGGCTCGGAAGATTCGGAGGTGGAACTCTGCGGAGCTGCTGCCTCCGATCTGGCATTGAACCTCGCCACTAAAGGTCGTGACCACACACTGTTTTAGGGTGGGCTCATCGAGGGGAAGATAAATGCGCTGGCTCCCTTGGAGCAAGTTTCGAAGGCAAGATTCGGCGACTTCCTTGGTGATTCTGCTGGCCGCACCCACAGCTGGTAGAGCACATTGTCCTGCACCCAAGCCTACAAAATGGGATGGATTACCTCCTGGAATCTCAAGCGCCGCTCGGACCATGCTTGCCACGCCCAGCTGCGGAGGGAATCCATGCGTCTCGTTGCGTGGCTCGGCCATGGCGTTCCGGGAGAGGAAGTCAATATCTCCCATGGTTGCTTGCACCGACTGCTGGGTCGCAGGAGTAGGGTTGGTCACTGGAGAGTCAGTAGAGCTTTCTGGGCTGACATCGTGAGTCCTGGAAGTCGACCCAGGGGGCGCAGGAACCGGTGCTGCGGCACGTAGGCAAGCACGCTGGCTGCGACCATTACTGTGAAGCACTTGCGCTTTTCTTTTCAAAGTCTCCACATAGCTAGGCAACGGTTACCCAGGAGTATTATCTTGAGCGTGTGCTGTGCTTCTTACTTGGACATAGCAGCGTGGGAGATGCCACTGGCTTCCTCTGCCGTGCAGCTGATTGACAACTGCCGCGATTCGCATTGTGCGTTCGCCTCTCGACAGCTGGTACAAACCGGTAGCAGTCGATCACACTGGGGCTCATTAGATCCTCTTTTGTTGACACAATGTCCTAACAACGCGCTGGGCCTCACCTTCTGTTTCCGTTTAGCGCATCTCTCGCATGCTTGGAGTCTGCGCTTGCCCGGGGTGACAAGATGATTCGGTCCGGAACTAGTCCGAGGGCTGGGTTGCATCCTGAAGATTGACAGGCTGATCACAATTGAGATTGCGTTGAGAGACGACTCCTCCTCAGTAATGAAGACAGACAAACCCCGTGAAACCCGAGGGCCAACTCGCCAAGAAGTGGAGCAAATGCCAAGGTATTGTGGCATTACTAGTAAATACTGCTTCACGAACATCGGGTAATTTCCGAGCGCCGCATCTCGTTTAAAAGTGCACGGATGCCGCCAATGACAAAGCTGTCGTTCAATAATACTCATACAAATTGCATCCCGTACTGTACCTTGATAACCCGCAATGTCGAAGTCAATGCTCCCCCGCGAGGCGTGGGACAGTCATCTCCATTGCCTGGACCCACAGCGTTTCCCGTTCAAGCCAACGCGCGCCTATACCCCTCCCCCGGCCACGCTCGAGAGGATGGTACGACACCGGCAGACCAACAAGCTGATGCTCGTGCAGGCCTCCATTGAGGATGGCTATGAAGGGCTTCTGGCTCACCTCACCGAGTGTCCGAAGTTGTACCCATCGATCACCATCCGGGGGACCATCTGCTGCGAATCGGAGCTGGACCGGTTGACTAAGGAGGAGTTCGAGCAGTGGCACGAGGCTGGTGTGCGCTGCGTTCGCATCCACGGAGTCTATGGGCAATGCAGGGACCAGCCAGAGCTCATGCGGGACCAACTCCGAGCATTGGCTGGGTCCTACGGGGTGCGTGTGCTGGGGTGGTCCATTTCGGCTCAGCTTCCATTACCAGTGTGGGCTTCTTTGAGACCTTTCCTCATAGAAGAGAAGAGCATGCAGGATACTATCCTCATCGCGGATCACAATGGCTGTGCGGAGCCAGATGACATCGAGACGTCGGATTTCCGGGCTTTCATGGATCTGCTAGGGTCGGGAAGGTTGTACGTGAAGATCGGGGCTTTGTACCGTCGCAGTCCGGACGACTTTCTCCGAATGGAACCCGTCATCAGGGCGATGGCTGAGCAGGCACCTGATCGTCTGCTCTGGGGGAGCGATTGGCCACACGTGGTCACGAGGGGTGGGAAGCTGCAGGTAGGGGATGTAGATGCTGAGCTGGCTGCGTTGCGGGGATGGCTGTCGGAGAAGGAGTGGCGTCAGATGCTTGTTGATAATCCACAGTCATTGTTCAATACAAACGAATAAAACTACTTTTAACATAACAGACTGAGCACACGCTGGATTGCATTTCAATCGTATGACATACAGTACAGTACCAGGTAAAAGCTTGAGGTCGGAGATGGCCCGCAAGGAGACGCGACCCCACCCGGTCTGGAGCCAACCCTAACGAACCTCGTTTCTGTCGGCAAATCTCCGTCTCTCTCGGTGGTTGTTGGTTCTCTTTCCCCAACTTCCCCGGATTCCTGTCCCCACGAGGTGTCTCGGAACTGAAGGTCCTGATAAATACTCCAGCCCGGTCTGGGAGAGAAGCGACTGTTGGTTCCTGCATTCGAACCCTATAGAACTTTGCCTCACCCCCGTTGTGTGAGTCCGATCCTTTCTCTTGTATTCTCCACCCCTATCTTCGGGATGAGTGTGCGCAGTCTCAGAAAAGACGAATTGGAGCATGAAGTTAAGCCCGAGAATGTCTGGGTCGAAGATTGTGCAGCCGACGGAGGCTCCGGGGTCATGGCCACTTATCGGGGCTACGATCCAGAGTTCGCTCGCAAGACAGAGGGTGAGCTGCTGAAGAAGATCGATCGTCGGATCCTACCTTTGGTCCTGCTCATCTACCTGTTCAACTATCTGGATCGAAACTCCATCACGCAGGCCCGAGTCTATGGGCTGCAAGAAGACACCCACCTGAAGGGAGCGGAGTACCAGACCGTCATTTCCATCTTTTCAGTCGGATACATTCTCATGCAAGTCCCCTCCACCATGCTCATGACCAAGCTTCGACCCTCCATCTACCTGGTATGTTCAAATTGTCTCTTCTCACAATGCGATCGATGGGGAGCTGACCAGATATACAGCCGTCATGCATGATCGTCTGGGCGATCGTGAGCGGATGCACGGCAGCAACCCACAACGTCGGCAGTATCATGGCAGTTCGGTTCCTGCTCGGGTTTGTCGAAGCCCCCTTCTTCCCCGGCGCCATCTACTTCCTCAGCTGTTGGTATACAAAGAAGGAACTGGGAGTGCGAACCGCATTGCTCGTGTCGGGCATCCTGCTGTCCAACGCTTTTGCGGGACTCATCTCCGCCGGAATCCTGACTGGAATGAACCACACCACGCGCATCGCATCCTGGCGATGGCTGTTTATCATCGAAGGGCTTGCCACCGTTGTTGTAGCCCTCGTGGCCATGGCCTTCCTACCCGACTTCCCCGCCACGACCAAATGGCTGACTGAAGCCGAACGGATCGTGGCGCAGGCGCGTCTCGCCGAGGACGCAGGCTCGGAGAACGCACTGGAAGACGAAAAAGTGCCCTTGCCCCGAGCATTGGTCTGGGCCGCCAAGGACGTGCGCACCTGGATCTTTGCCTGTATGCAGATGGCCACGACGGCCACCATCTCCTTCTCCCACTTCTTCCCCACGCTGATCAAAGAGATCGGGTTCTCCAACAACACCATCGTGCTCCTGCTCACATCCCCACCCTACGTCGTGGGATTCTTCTGGGCCGTAGGCTGGGGCTGGTGGGCCGATAAGCGCCAGACTCGCTCCATTCCCGCGGGCGTGTCAGAGGGGGTGGCCATTCTCGCGGCCATCCTGTTGATTGCGGTACCAGAGTCCAACCAGTGGGCGCGGTATGCCTTTACATTGTTGATCTGCTGCGGAACGTACGGCGTCTACGCGACCACCTACGCCTGGCTGTCGTCGACCATCGTCCAGCCCCCGGCGAAACGGGCCGTGGCGATCGGCATCGCCAACACCTGCGCCAACGTGGCGTCGTTGTTTGCCAACTACTTCTGGTTGGACCAGTATGAGCCCACGTATCGGGTCTCTTGGGGATGTATCCTCGCTTTTGAGTGTCTCGGAATGGCGTGTATCCTAACGCTGCGTTTTCTGCTTCGTCGCGCCAACAGAAGGTTCGAGGACTTGGCAGCCACGGTGGATGTGAATGACGGTGTTGCCATGCAGAGATTGGATCAAGACTCGCGGCGCGCCATCTTGAATGGGTTCCGATATGTAATCTAGCTTGACTGTGCTTGTACACACCTTGATTGCGTGTTCGTAGGAGGCGGTTGTTGGGAGGGTCAGGAATGCTTATCGTTGTGAAGTGGAGCTTAGTCAAAATACTTAACTCATAGTACCCCACGGCATGGTACGTCATACTATATGCTGGAGATATTGTACTTATTTTGAGTCGTTGGTGAATTTTCCGTCTGAAAAGTGATATCGCTCATTCATCTCGGAAGGAGAATTGCCGAGGACCAAGCAGAGTACCGTACGATAACTTACAATACGCGGGGCCCCCGCATTTCCCCACTCGAAATCTCTTTTATATCATGTAAACCCTCGTGTTTCGTGCCAGCTTTGTTGGCTGCATGCCAAGAACCGTCTCCTCCTTTCTCCGAAAAGTTAAGCGCACCATGCTTGATGTAGACGGCCTCGAGTTGAAGCTACCCAGACTCCCAGCATGCCAATCATGCTATACCAAAAAAATCAAGGTATGGTTCAGCTTCTCCACGTCTCCCCCGCAGAAGCAACGACGGGGCCTAGTTGACCACATAACAGTGCGACAACGAGCGTCCTAAGTGTGGTCCCTGTAGTAGAGCAGGAAACGGTTGTCTCACAGTCAGTCTCGATGGCAGTGAGCCTGTCTCACGCGAGTATGTGCTCAATGCTGCCTCTACACGCCACTGCTGACAGGAGAAGATACATCTGGGAACTGGAGCAGCAGACGCAGGAAACCCAAGCGCCTGAGGCTGCGAGGGAAGCGAATACCCCGGTCTTATCAGTGCCTTCGCCGGTTGTTTTGAATGCACCAGCAGAGAAATCCGTTGGAGAGCAGGAAACCCCAGCACAAGCAACACATGCATGGACGTCGCCGGCAGACCCGTCTCCTAGGGTGGTGGAGTTCTCGGGGATCAAGTATGTCCTCAACATTTCCCGAGCGTGTATCGTCTAATATTTTCATCCCAGCTTCATGAGCACGCTTTTTGCAGACGCCAGATGGAGAGACCAGAATGTCAGCCTGTTGCAAAACCTGTCCAAGCCCTCAGCGGTACTGGAGACCTCCATCCGAGCCAATTCCCTGCCCCCGCCGGAGGAGGCGCACCTACTTCAATACTTAGTAAGTAACGTGCCTGGTGCTGAATGAGACACTTGGCTGAAGGAACATAGTTTGAATGGCTCCCACGTGCAGAATCCCTTCTTGCTGCGCCGCGACGTCCAACAGCTCTATCATTCAGTTTTCTCCAGTGCTCACGGCGCTGCGTCCCGACCACATCTCCCTCTCCATTTGCAACGACAGACTGACTTCCGAGTGTTCATGATTCTTGCCATCGGAGCAGTGCCTCTATATCGATCTGGCAGACACCCGAGTCATCCATATGGGTACTTCCTGGCCGCCATGAATTATATGGATTCCAACCTACTGTCCAGGGGGCTAGACTCAATACAAGACTTGCTCCTAGTCGTGAGATTTGGTATATACCATCACATCGGTAGTACACATCTTTTCTTCGATACTCTACCAACCAGAAAAGCTAATTCCCATCCAGGAACATCCATCTGGGGGCTCACGACACTCTGCATGCGTATGTGCATCGAGCAAAACCTACACAAGCCACCTCGCTCGAAGCCCGCGAGTCGAAGAAGCCTCCTGCATCAGCAAATGCAACGGCGAGTGTTCTGGGAATGCTACATGATTGACCGCTACAGCTCCATCACCCTGGACCGGCCCTTCGCGATCGCCGACAAGGACATCCAGGTCGGCCTTCCCGCGGACGCCAGCGACGAGGAAATTGATGCCGCAGAGGCATCCGGCTCGTTTCCGGACCTCGATTCCTTCTGCCGGGCGATTGCCTGTCGGAGTCCAGGCACGACGACGGAGCTGTCGGTGTTCTTCCTCTGCGTACGGCTGCGGAAGATCACCTCGAAAATTCACGCCAGGTTTCGGCACCAGGAGGCCCCAGTGTCGCCAGTCCACCCTACTACGATGCAAGACATCACGGCCTCGGGGAGAATATACGGTGACCTCGAAGAACTGCTTCAGGAGCTGCAGGAGTGGCGTCTGTCGGCGCCGGTGTTTCCCGCTCCGCAGAGCCTGTACCAGATGCAGGCGTGGTATGACCTGCTTCTCATGCGGGAGAGACTTCTGCTGGTGCGCAAGGCGATTGACCTGGTACCCAAACCGGGCAACACACCCCCGGAAGATCTGCTGTCGCTCTGTCTGGAGTATGCGATTGCGACGATCCAGACATTCTGCCCGTTGTTCGACGCCAACACGATCACGTACACACGCAGCTATTTCCAGATGCTCTTCACAGCCGGGCTGTCCGTAATGTTCTGCCTTTCTTCTCTCGCGGCTCCGACCTCTGCTGTGCGGGGGCAGGCCGTTGAGGCAGTGGAGCAGAGCGAAAGGGCCCTGAAGAGGATGGGCAAGGAGCTACCGGATGCAGTGCACTACATCGCCGTTTATGAGGCGTTGCGCTCGCACGTTATCGGCAAGATGCGGATGGCGCCGAGGTTAGCTGCAGAGTGGGATGAGGCTTGTCGACACGAGCGAGCAACCGCACAGGAAGAATTGCTAGTGCAGGACGATGCCAATCACTACCCAGCCAACTCCCCTGGCCTCAACCACAGACCGCCCTCCAGCAACAACAACAACCCTCCGCTCGAGAATGACCCCCAGCTTGACCCTTCGCTCTTCTCACTCGACATCTTCGGCGACAGCACCTTTTGGAACATGGAATACGGACTGGGCGAGTACGCGTACGGGGATCCGCTGCTTTACTCCTCGCTGCTGCACGACGAAAGTCTATGAACATTTGCAACGATGCAGAAGACACTCTATAACATGATGTATATATGACTGTATGATAATCTGACAAACATTCTTCCCCTATACCCATAACCTATTCACGTCGACTTGGCAACCCTCTCCCCAATCTCCGCATAATTCCTCGCCATCTGCCTTAACCCCGCCTGCAACATCGACGCATCCTGCCCACTCAACGACCACGACGCGCCCAACTGAAACCACTTCTCCAGAATATCCAACCGACCCCCAATCCCCCCGATCCCCACGGGCTTGCCCGCCTTCCTCCCCGCCTGCAGCACCTTGGTGACCGCATCCTGATACAAGGCACTATCATACTTGCCGGGGATCCCCAGATCGGCACACAGATCATTCGACCCGACCAACACACCATCCACCCCCTCGACCGCCAGGATCTCCTCAGCGATCTTCACCGCCCCCGGCGTCTCAATCATAGGAATCAGCATCGTCTCGCGATTCAGCACCTCATTCTGCGTCAGGGTGGGCACATGCTGGAAGTTGAACGCGGGAAGGTTGTTGGTGCACCCGCGGGCCCCGAGGGGCGCGTACTTGGCGTACTTGACGAGGGCATGCACCTCGTCGAGGGTCTCGATGTGCGGGACGACGACCGCCGACGCCCCCGCGTCGAGGATCCGGCTGATGTGCCAGTGGGACTTGCTGGGGCTGCGCACCACGGCCGACACGCCCGCGTAGTTGCAGGCCAGGATCAGCTGGCCCACCTGGTGCAGGTCCAGCGCCGAGTGCTCCATGTCGATGAAGAGGCCGTGCACCCCGGCCATCTTGCACATCATCGGGATCTCGTTGCTAGTGATGAACTTGATGGACATCAGCGGGGTGATCTCGCCGGCCAGGATGCGCGTGTGGAAGGGGTTGGAAAGGGTGTAGGGGTGAGGGGTTTGGTCGGTGGGGTGGGGGGTGATGGAGCCCATTTTGGTGGTGGTTAATGTTGATAGAGCTGGATTGGAGATCTTGGAAGAGGAGCTGTCAGGGAATATTCGTGTGGATTTGGATTGTGGTGTTACAGTATCATCGAGCATGCTTGGTGGTCCTTATAACCCGGCGGCGCTCCGAGGGCTGCCCGGAGATTCTCCAGTGCTCATCGGAAATTTCCCGCCGCGTCCTTAGGGCACGCATCGTCCTCCCGAGCATCTGCCCAGTGAACCTTTTGGGCACAGATATGCATCGGTCGAGGATGATCAGGAATCACGGCTGAAGCTGTTGCCGGATACGCGTGATTCACCTATCAATCCATGCATACTATTGTCAGTATTAGCCTAAGGCATCAATATGACCCTACTCACAACTCTACGAGCTTCACCGATCTATATCTCACAGCCTCTCAGTATAGAACCTGATATTCTACTGCATCATACTATCCCTTCATTTCCCGGGCAACAGGCACCCCGCGACAATGCCACCTGACAACCTGCACAACCCCCTCAATGCTATCGGTAATAAACAACGACCGCCCATCAGCCCCCCCAAACGTACAATTCGTCAAGTTCCGTCCCCCACCCACTGCACTCACAATCCTCGCCTTTGGCACTCCCTCCCTATCGACGACAAACACCGACGCCAGACTGGGATGACACACGAACAAATTCCCCTCCTCGTCGACGGCCAACCCGTCGGGCCCCGCGCACCCGAACGACTGGAAGAACAACCCCACTTTGCTGGTGGTACCGTCGGCATGTAGCGGGAGGCGCCATACGGCGTTGGCCCGCGTCATGGCCACGTACAGGAACCGCTCGTCGGGGGACAGGGCCAGCCCGTTCGGCGAGACGCCGTTGGCGATCAGAGTGTCGAGCTTTCCCGCCGGGGTGAGGCGGTATACGCGGCCGGTGGGGTCGGAGAGGCCCGTCTGACCTTGGTCCGTGAAGTAGAGGTCGCCCGTGGAGGCGATGATCAGGTCGTTGGGGCCTTTGAAGCGCTCCAGGTTACGGCGGGGCAGGAGGGGGCTGATTTTGTTGGTTGAGGGGTCGAAGAGCAGCAGGCCCTGTGGTTCCATCCTTTGGTCAGTGGGCGAGAGATGTAACTGATGCGAACGGATTTACTTCAGGGTGAGGTGAAGTGGGCATACCTGCTTGTAATCCGCCACCACGATACACCCGTCCTCGCGCACCACCAGCCCGTTGGGCTCCCCGTCCCACCGGACACACTCGCTCACATTTTTGTCAATGTCCACTTTCAGGATCCGGCCGTACGGGATGTCGACGAGGTATAGATCCCCGTTGGAGACGTAGGTTGGCCCCTCCAGGAAAATATCCGACGCGGGGTTGGCGGACCCCGGGCGCCATTCTGTGGGCTGGCCGGTGCAGCGGAGGGAGTCCGGGATGCGGACGTAGATCTCGGCTTGGATGGTTGGGGGCGGGGGATAGAAGTTCATCGTGGTCAGGTCCGGGTACTGGTTGTCGCGGAGAATTGACGGCGGATAACTTGGGCTTGGGACGGAGATAAATATCAACGCAGTTCATTGGGGCTGGTCGGAAATTCTCCGACGAGTGATGTCAAGCGGGGGGTGCATTAGGGTTGTGGTCAGGGTTGGCATAAGCTGGGGAAATGCGGGGCGGGGAATGGTACGATAGAGAAGATCTATATTTCTGATGTGTCCGAGGGGTGAAGTTGGGCAAGCATTTGCAGACTCTAACCATCACGATGGGTCTTATTGCAGACGCGAGAAAGGCTATGAAAGATGCCCCCAAGGGCACATTCAATCGCCATGTTCTGTTCTGTACATGTGTGTTTGCTCTCGCTGGAGTATCGAAGGGATTCGATGAGGGTAAGTGGTATTACTTTAGCCAGCTATTGTTTCACCTAAAAAGTCTTCTAAGTGCTGATATCTCCTGTGCATGCCAGGAAACATCGCATCTCTAGTCTCGCAGTCTCACTTCAAGGTTCGATTTGGTCTTGACACGCAGAGTCCCACACAATACTCCAATACTAAGGGCTGGATCGTTTCCATCGCCACCGCCGGTGCTGTCTTTGGATGCCTTGGGGTAAGAATGGCCATGAGGCAGTCTTGGCTTGAGCTGACTATGGACCAACTCTGAAACAGTGCTCGCCCGTCAATGATCAGCTAGGTCGACGCTGGACCCTCCGAATCTTTACCCTCTTCTATGTGGCAGGAATTCTCGGTCAAGGTCTCTGTCATGGCAATCTATCTGGTCTGTATGCCTCGCGATTCATCGCGGGGCTGGGTATTGGACCTCTCTCAATTGTGCCGCCCGTCTACATCACCGAGGTAATTTACTTGTACAAACAACCCCATGTTAGTGTTCTCAACTGTCATCCACATTCCAGATCTCGCCAAAAGTCATTCGCGGACTTCTCACCATCCTGTTTGCATCTTGCCAACAACTAGGCGTGGTGCTGGGTTTCTTCATCAATTACGGAGTCACAAAGCAGTATCCTGGCGTGGACACACAATGGATGCTCCCTACCCTCCTACAACTGGCTCCGGTGGTTATCTGGATCACGGGCTCCTTCTTCTGCTCCGAGTCACCCCGCTGGCTCCTCCTCCGTGGAAGATCAGACGAGGCAGCCACAGCGATGTCTCGCCTGCGCGGCCTCCCTCGAGATCACCCCGTGGTCCAGACCGAACTCGCAGGGATGGACGCACAGATTCTCCACGAGATGGAAGCCACCAGCAACGCCAGCCTGCTTGACCTACTGACAGAAACCTTCGGCCCTGTTGAGAACCGCCGCCGATTCTTCCTCATCTTCATGGCCACCCTGTTCTCGCAGTGGTCCGGCGCCAACGCCATCACGCAGTACCTGCCCAGCATCTTCGCCTACCTGGGCATCTCGGGTGACGAGTCCACCTTCCTGACCACGGGCATCTACGGAATCGTCAAGTTCACCAGCACGGTGTTTTTCGCCCTGTTCATGGTCGACATCCTCGGCCGCCGGCGGTCCCTCCTCGCCGGCATCGGCCTCCAGCTCACCACCCTGATCTTCGTGGCCGCGTACCTCGGCGCCACGCAGACCATGTCCACGGTCGAGATCCAGGCGTCCGCCGGTGCATCGCGGGCTTCGACCGCCGCCATCGTCGCCATCTTCCTCCACGCGGTCGCCTGGAGCATCGGCTGGTTCAGTATCCCCTATCTGGTCGGGTCGGAGGTGTTCCCCATCCGGATCCGGTCGCTCAATGTCTCCCTCTCCATGGCGTTCCATTGGGCGTTCTACTTCGGGTGCTCGCGCGCGATGCCCAGTCTGCTCGCGGCGACGCATCAGTGGGGGGCGTTTGTGTTCTTCGCTTGCGTTTGCTTGGTATCTTTGCTGTATGTTTACTTCGCAATGCCGGTGAGTCAGCCCTATTCGGGTGGACTGTTAGCAGAATCTGACTGGGCTAATGTGAGTAGGATACGACGGGACGGTCGCTGGAGGAATTGGATGGTCTTTTCCAGCGGCCCTGGTATACAGTGTATCAGGTCGCGTACAAGTCAGTGCAAGTCGCTGAGAGTGAGACAATGGAGGCCAAGGGTGAATGGGGTGGGAGGGCCCAGCATGTGGAAGAGGGCAGGCGAACTAGTCAGGTCCAGTAGTTGTCGGAGCGTGTTTATGGAAAGCGCGGGTATATAGTTGGGTTGATGGATACACTAGAGCCTCTCCAGAGAGGAACAGGTCACTGCGTTCCTGACTTGCTTCTAATTGGGACAATGACGATTGCCTGTGTAATCGGGCATCAAAATGCCAATAGTCCATCCAATTCATGGAGCTATTCCCGTGAAGACCCACCGAGGCCAACCCACCAAAAGCAAAAAACGACAACAGTCGGATTTGAACCGACGCCTCCGAAGAGAATAGATTTCTAGTCTATCGCCTTAGACCGCTCGGCCATATTGTCTTCAGATGGTGATTCGTCTGTAGTTTGAATTTATCACGCAAAAATTACCGAAGCTTCAAATGAGTCTCTAGAACAACCACCCCGACCACAACGCAACATTCCACACCCCTACAGCCTAAACCCTATTATACAGCCGGTCCATCTCACCTATATTTTTTCCGCGATCAAGGATTTGGCTCGGATGATACACCACGAAGATTCCCATCATGATCAGCATAAGCGCCGTGTCGAAGACATAAGCATACGCCTCATGGCTCTGCAGCGACCCCGTCGACCCCTGCGCATACTCGATGACCCGATAGAGACAGCGAACCAGAATCAGCCCGCTGGCCGCGTACAGCACCCACAGATATCTCTTCCACGGTACGCTCAACGTCATCGCGGTCGACGTCGGGTTCGCGGTGATGCGCCTGTGGAAGACGAGGGCGACGGTGACGAAGAAGCCGAAGAAGAGGATCTGCACGACCAGGCCGACGATGATCACGTTCTCGCCCAGTTTGAGCGTGCTGCTGGTCTTGGCGCTGGAGAGGATACCACCGCCTGTGAGACCTTGTCAGTTTCAGTTTGCGGAATGGAGTCCGGGGAGGTGCATCGTACCGCCGCACTGCATCAGAAAGGCGAGCACGTCCCCGAGGACGAAGATCTTGGTCATCCACCGCGCGCGGATCAGACACCGCGAGTCGCCGTCGGTCAGGGTGACGATGCGGCCCAGGATCATGTAGATGGAGGCGGCGAAGAGCGACGGGGCGATTAGGATGAAGAGGCTCTGGAGGGCGTAGGGCATGACGGTGTAATTCGGTTTCTGGTGGGCGCTCACGGCCCGCGCGACGTACCCGATTGTCTCGACTATTGCGACCGCATTAGCTGAGTCTTGGGTTGGAGAAGAAAAATGAAGCTCATACTTAAGCCGCCGATCACAAAGGATGTGAAGAAGTATGCGCGCTTTCGAACTAGCAACCAGAGGTGGTACGCGGTGGCACCGAGGAAGAGAAAAAGCGCCAGCAGGGCGCATGTCACGGACGGGGTATAAGCATAAAGGGTTGTTTCCGCCATTGTGATTGTTTTTGTCTGGATTAGTGAGTA